CTTTGACCAAACAAATGGTGGTAAAAACAAACATTTGTAGGATTATTAAACACGTTTTTTTCTAGTTACCCATCAATTAATTAAAAAGACATAATTAGCCACTTATATATTATTTTTCTTGTTTTCTTTTTAAATTTTGATATTCCTCAATTAGATTTATAGCATGTTTGGCTTGGGCAGGTCCTTAATCCATTAAAGCCTTTGTTCCCTTTTTAATAAAACAAACAAAAAAAGCTTTATCAAGTGCTATAAAAGACCGTAACAGGTTTGCCTTCTACAGGTTTTCAATAGCAAATGGGCAGAAAAACATTAAATAATTACAACATCTTGGCGAAAGTGTTTGGTTTTAACAGAAAATTATTGCCTTTCCCTTTATGTTTACCCACTTGTTTTAAATCCTACACGTTTTTCTTTTTCATTTATTTTCATCACACTTGTCTCGGTGATGAAGGAAACATGCTAACACATATTGGCAGCTTTTGGGAGCTTACAAACCAGCTTTATTTATTTTTTTGGTGTCTTTTCTTTTCTCTTTATTAATAAAATCTTAGATTTACATAATGTATCTTACCCTAATTGTATCTTTTTACTAATTAAAAACTAATTCAACACCACCTTTCCATCCATTTTTAGTCCATGTAAGTCACCACTCTGCTGAATACAAAAAGAAAGACTCATATTATAAGGCAGTGTAACAGATTTCTCTCTGAATCAGGTTATTCATTATGCATAACTGTTAGTGTTACTCTGTGGCCCTACGCCCAGATTTCCAGGTAGCTGGACTGCTTCCCTGAGCGGTAGGAAGCCATTAAAGCTGAAGGAGCTTGTCACTTTTATGCAGCATCTTCTGCATAATTGCATTATTTTGAAAGAAATCGTGATCACCCATCAGATAAAGTGTCAGTGATGGATTAGTTAGCATAGGTTCGGTGAGGAATGTTTTCCTCTGGTGTTGGAAACAGGAAGAAGGGTGAAAAATCAATGTAGTGATTTTCTAATGAGCTTGGCCTGATTAGTTTGGATGTTAGATGAAAATGTGATTACCCAGTGCAGGTGATAGATGTGTGGCTGACCTGTGGCGATGCACAGAGCACAGCAGCATTGATCTGGACATTGTTGGATTGACAGGCTTTAAGACAGCTGTAGTGAGGGGGAGCAGTCTGAGCAACAAAGCTGAAAGGGAAGAGCGGTTAAATATTAACCCCGTTGTGTCTTTCCAGGGGCCTGGCAGCTGGAGAGGACAATGGGCAGAGGGGCTACATGTTGACCTTCGTCATCGCATACCTCCGGGTGGGTCACTCCTCTGACTGTTTCTCCGACTGAGCCAACGGGCAGGTGGGGCAGGCCGGGTGATTGCAGTTTGACAGCGGATAGTAGAGTGAGCAATGATGAAAGGCTGCAGAATATGACCTCGGGAGGTCTTTGATTTGATCTGGTCACAGTTGTTGTCAATGTGTCCAACACTGAGGCAGGAGAGCACAGTGGCTACTGACACAATAACAATGGAGAGTCGGCTCAGGTCAGTCCTCTTAGAGGCCCCTCAGATGACCACAGAAACATCAACAAGCTTTTTACATATACTTCAGTTACCATGCCACTGATAGCTCTCTGTTGGAAATGTTCTGAATGTGTCTCGGCTTTTTTTCTGGGGAAAGCACTGATCTTTGATTGGGGAATATTAACACAGCATCACATCCAAATTGAAAAAAAAACTATTAATCTACCTTTATTCTGATGCATAGTTTGAGTGTTTATATTTAACATTCAGACATTTTTTGTTAAAAAAATAAAATAAAGATACACCCTAAAAAATTCTGCCTTCTAATTGTAAAACCTACCTAACATACCTAAGTATTTTTCAGAAAAGTACTTTTATAAATATATTATGTACATTATTACTCCTGTGATCTACACACTATTAACTAGTTGTGAAAGGGGGTTCTAAAAACCTCATGTGCACAACATTAAAAGCTGCTGTCTGTAATGGATTTTAAATAAGAACACTAGTTTCCCAGTAAATTGAGAGCCAAAGACTGACTGCTATGCATGTGTGTTGAAACAGTTTGAACTTGGTTGGACATAAAACCTTTGTTAACCAAATTTAATGTGTCTGTCAAGATGCAACGGGTTCACCCAACATGTTTGGGGGAACGAATGTGTAATAAATGTAAAGGCTCTGGAGAATGAACTACCTTTTGATGTTGTTTTCTGGAGCACTGCCTTCTTCTCTTTAGTGCACACAGCATTAATTTATTTTAACCCCTTCTTAGTCTGATTCAGAATAGGGGCAGGACTTTAGGGAATACAAATACCATGAACTGTGCATTAGAGAAAGAACATGTTTGCAGAGTGGAGAGGAGTCTGATGGGGACGATAAAGTTCATTAAAAAGATTAAATAAAATATTTTGGAATGCGTTTCACAGCAGAGTTAGTAGATGGAGACCTGTTTTTAGGCTTTCCCGGGCCCCAATGAAGTGGATAATTTAGTTCCAGATTATTTTTTAACGCGTTCGTATCATACACAGACTCACTGAACCAAAAAGCTGTGAGAAAGTCACACAGGACAGTTGATTGTTTTGGCTACAATAAAACTGGATTTGCCAGGTGTACCCTTTTCCAACTACAGCTTTTGCATATAAATGTGCTGAATTCTTGAACTATTCAGCCTCCTAATAATGGCTTTGTCCTCTAACCAGGACTTGGGGATGGACTATTATGTGATCGGGGAGTCCTTTGAAACCTCTGTGCCTTGGGACAGGTAAATCCACTCCACTTTTTTCTTACTGCTCCTGCCCCTGCCCACCCGCCCCTTTTAACTTATTTCTTCGTTTTCTCTTTATTTTATTTGCACTAGTCTCCTCCTTAAATAAATATGTTTGTGGAAGCTTGCCTCTTCATCCTACAGCCCCACATGCATTGGACATGGGACAGAGATCTATGTTGGCCCTAAATGGGGGCATATGATATTATTATTATTATTATTATTATTATTATTATTATTATTATTATTATTATAAGAAGAATGATATGCGAGTCCCAGATCCACCTCACGTACATGTTGTGTGATCTGAATTTCTGACATGTTTTCATTATCTGGCTCCCTCGCACAACAAACAGCAGCACGTGCAGCTCCCTGTTGTGTAACATGCCTGACGGGAAAGACCAAGAGATCAGGCACCGAGGCGAGCATATGTGCCTGGCTCATTACCCATCCTCCTCCCCATCCTCCACATTGCACACACGGCTGCACATGCCTAGGACTGGCGGCCATTTCCACACCAGTGGGAATCTGCGGCACAGTGGTCGTCATGTTAGTCAGTCTGTCCTCCTCCTCCTGCCTGGCCTCCTTGCCACTTTCAAAATTCTAATAATTTAGGCACCACTATTTAAAGCAATGTACAACCTGTCCCCCAAGCATAACACTCTTATGGTTTAAATGCACAAAATGTTTGAGAGGCCACATTTTATGCTATTGCAATGTGATCTTGTTCAGACATGGATTATTAAATCTTTCATTAAATTTACTTCCAGGGTGTTGGACATCTGCAGGAATGTAAAAGCACGCATTGTTCGAGAGTGTAAAGATAAAGGAGTTCAGTTTCCACCATTATCTACTTGCAGGTAACAGTTACAGACACGATAACCCTGACAAACCAGCTGTATTTTTAGATGATAAATGACAGTGAATTTCTGGGTTCGGGATTCACCCTTTGAGCAACTAACATTGTTGTGTTGCAGTACGCTGCTGTTTGCCATTAAATTGCTCTTTAATATTGTTATAATATTGCATGCATCAGAGTGTAATTGTAAAAAAAAAAAAAACATCTGTTTCTGACCAGGTTTTAAAATGAAGTAAATACAACCACAGAAGAAAAATGCATGGCATTTTACACATGGTCATAATTTGCTGAACAAACACTTAGCCAACATCTTGGTTCAGTAGTAAAAATTAAATTGCATGGTTGGGATCATTATTTTGTTTTATAACCTATTTTCAACAGAACTTTATGACATGGCCTCACATTTGACTAAATAATACTAACAGAGTACATAGGAGCTCAAGCAGGACTCACTGACTAAACGTTTTTCTGTACCTAAAAATCAAACAGCTTTACTTCGTCCTGTTTTGCTCATGGACTTTCTTCCAGAAGTCATGTGGCTTGTTTACATGCAACTTGGCACTCATAAGCAAGAAGAAAAAAAAGCCATCTCCTGATTACCTTTCCTAACAAGCCATTTGTTCAGCTTTCTTCTCATTTTCATAAATGTTTAATATGCCATGTTTTTTTCTTGATCAGGGCTTGTACCCTTATCTCCTTTTAAGGCTTTATAAGGAGCTGATTCTTCTTTTGGGTGTGTGTGTGTGTGTGTGTGTCACTTATATAGAAACAAACTACAGAACCATCAGTTCTGCTATATATCCCATTATTATGTTTTGTCCTTTTTGTTGGGTCAACTTTAACAATTTTTGTGTTGTCATAGAAATTTCGTACAGTTTTCCGATGGTTATAAAATTCAGTCAGAGTTGGAAGTATTTTATTCACTCTGAACACAAAGTATTTGGGCATTAACTCTCCAAAGTCCTTGTTGAGCGAGCCAGAATGGAGCGGCCCCACAGACGGCTGGACAATGTGACGGACAGACGGCGAGCTGCTTGAGGAGCACCAGGCTGCCGCTCGCAGATTGCGGACAGATTAGGCCTCAGCCTGATTATGCTGCAGCCATTCATTTCCCGGCCGCAGTCTGTCACATGATTGATTTGTCCATTTAACCTCTAGAGCAGTCAGAGTGCCAGGTGATGGGCCATGTCAAATGAACAAGGGCTCTGCACCCCGCTCTCCACAGGGAGGGAGGCCACAAATCCAGCGTTCACATTGGAGCAGCATTTTCATTTTAACTATTACACCTGAACCCAAGCCGCATTTGATTAAAAGCCGCTACACGAGCAGTTGCTTTTTTTTAGTCACTCAGGTGATTCGGCAACACGATCTATATCCCCATGACATGCACGACATGCTTTTTAGCTTTCACTTTCCTTCTGGTAATCATAAGTGGTGCCAGCTAAAGAGCACCCTTACATGTTAGATTACATCTTTAAAACCTTTTTCGTGCTCGCAGGGTCACGCAGACGTATGACGCCGGCGCCTGCGTCTACTTTTACTTTGCCTTCAACTACAGGGGACTGGCAGATCCAGTGCACGTGTATGAGCAAGTGGAGGTACGTCCATAAACACTGTGATGTCATCTGTCCTCACAGGTCCTGCAGAGTGAGCACTAAGCTTACATTTTTATTTGTTTTTGCAGCATGCAGCTAGAGAAGAGATCCTTGCCAATGGAGGAAGCTTGTCGCATCACCATGGAGGTACCAAATTATTTTTACATTTATGCTAAACCAGCCGCTTCTGTTCTCAAACAACACAGAGCAGCTGTAAGATCTTTGGGCGTGATCTCGGTGCCTTCACCTGCTTCGCCTCTGTCATATTAGCCAGTTGTAGTGAGGTACGAGGACAGCGTGACGGGTTCTCGCCACTTCCTTCGGAATCTTTTCCCGCGGCTTAGCCGAATGGCTCTGACTCATTTCTGCAGTGACCAGATGAAAGGGGAGCAGGGAAGGGGCCTGCGGAGCAGCTCGGGGCCCCATCAGGGCTAACCGAAATGGCTGCCTTATCTATATTGCCATCCGCCTGGCTGTTTTCATACATCACTTCAGGCTATTCATCACACATGTCAAAAACAGTATGCAGTGAATCAGCTGCGATATTAAATCACAATTTCTCCTGAAGGCGGGGACGGGTTCAAAATTAAAAGATTGCTAATAATAAGGAGGCAGCGGGTCGGGGTAAATGATGCTGCCGTTATCGCCGGCTGTATACTGACCTCCAAGCGGTGGCCCGGCCACCCCAACAGCTCCAGGAGGGGGGTCAGGGGGGGATATTGATGCAGCTCCTGTGTGCGCGAGGCCCACTCTGTAATTGTGATTAATAACAGCGGGGCTCACTATCTGGGCGTAGACAGGCCAGTTTGTCTGCCCACAATCGGTGCTTGACAAATGGAGCTTGTTTCGCTGGGTTCTGTGTATCAAACAAAACAGATGTAGTCAAGGATGGTGAGGTGGGAGGGCACCGGAGGAAATATACATTTTTGTGGCCCTGTATTTACAGCAGGTCAGCGTTGTGCTTGCATGGGCAAACGAAGGGAATCTGGGCGTGTAGGGAAGTCTGACCTTTTCTCTGCGAGACGGCCCGCCAACACCGGCATGCGTCGGCTACTTTTCCAGGCCCGTGGAACGATCAATTTTAAGTTCAGAGACGAACCTTTTGATTCGGCCAATTCGATTGGATGGTAAAAAGCAGAGCATGGGGAGAAGTGTCCTCTTTAAGTAGGTCACCGGTGTCGCAGTGGTGAGGAGTTGTCCCACATCCATCACGGGGAGCGTCATCCATCTATCAGCCCTGCACCAGGGCCTCTCAGCCAATACTCCAGCCCAGCCCTATCTCAGGTACACAGGGCTCCCTGCCTGTCAAGTCCTGACCCCCATTTGTCAGCGGGAGTCCAGGCTCCTCTCAGCCTCTGCAGCCCTCTCCCCCCATGGGGACGCCCAGCATCATCGCCTCACTTCTCGGCCTCTCTCCAGCTCTGCCCACAGCACCTGCACACAGGTCGCCGCATTCAGGAGACCAAAAACAGAATAACCTGATATCCAGATGGTCGCCCTCATGCCCCGAACTTCCCATGGCTTTTCCACACAGGAAAAAGCATCACCGGGAAAAGGAAAAAGAAAGAGAAAGAAGCAGTTTTCTGAAACTGCTACCTGCTCTGCTCTGCATGTCTCAGCTGCACAGACCAGGCCCGCCGAGATTGATTGCAATAGCAAGCAAGAAAGAGAGAATATGACAAGATAGATGTGTAAATTATCACAGTGATGGAGGCAATGATGCAGTCCCAGCACCTTCTGTTTTCTCTCCTCTTCTTTAGAGGAGGGAGGGATGGAGGTGGCACAGGGGGGAAGAAGTAAGGAGGAGGAGGTGGTAGAGAGTTGGGTACTGTCTTAGTTACTGGGCAGCAGCTGATTGGTCCCTCCGTCACCATCTGGACGCTTGGGTGGTAGCAGAGTCCCTGGTGACCCTGCTGTCTGGCCTGTTTTGTCAGGAGACGGGCCTGACCGGCCCCATGGCTCATTCCCATCTGGATTTCCTGGCTGGACTTTGATAGCGCGGGGCTGTGAGGCGTCAGGACAGCCCCTCCCTCCATCATGCCCTGTCAACGCCGGGGCTCCCCGCTGCCGGAGAGCAAAGCGTGCTCAGAAAAAAAAAAAAAAAAAGAGGAAGGAAGTTGTGCGAACAGTCCCGTCATTAAGCCGACCGGGTCAGGGCTCTCTATCTAATCTGAAACTGTTTTCACAGTGAGCAGCACCTGGCCTGAGCGGCTCCGTTCACACATCTATCTTTGTGAATTTTAGAGATACAGAGCGACTCAGTAAAACCGGAATGACCTCTAAAAGTTAAAATTTACCCAGCTCTGAGACACCCAGCAGGTTCTGGCTGCTGGGGTTAAAAGTGGGTGGCAATCAAATTTAAAGTCAAGTTGTCTCTAAACTAAAATTTGGTTTAAAAAAAATCAGAAAAGATAGAAAACTTTGAGCAACAACCACCACCAAATTTTAATCATTTTTCGTCAGTGACAGTTACTCCTAATTATTCAGAATGATATACTTAATTAGGTATATAAGGATAATGTACTGTTGTACACATATGATGAACTAATATAAAAAATGCTCCACTTAGTAAAATCGAAACAAATTAACAAAACTCCTTTTTAATAACATTCGCTTTATTTAACATTTTTTCATGAATGATGCTCATTTGGACAAATCTACCAAAAAGGACTAAGACTATGAGGGTTTTCTGAGCTTTGCTTTGTTTCTCAGTGAACAACCCTTTGTCTGTCATTTTGAATATGTACACATATCAATCAGAAGACTTGGGTCTATTTCTTTTTACAAAATGGAAAATACCCAAGGAACTACAAAAAATCTCTGAAATGTCCAATGTGCCTTTGAGTAATTGATTTGACTCAATTTAAAACGGCTGTATTTTTAAATCTCGCATGAGAGAAAAAAAGAAAAAGTCTGCTGCATTGGCCCCCTTAAAGACAGAAGTTTCTGTTTTTTGCTTTACAACTTGGGTCCCGCGGGGGGGGTTCCCCCCCCCCCCCCCCCTCTGGCTGCAGACCCTGCTGTTGACCGTCAGAGGGGACAGCTGGTGGTTTTACGGGGACCCTGGCCAGGCGCTCACTCCGGTCCTGGGTTTGGAGAGACGGCGAGGGGCTGCGAACAGAAACGCCTGTGCTGACAGAGGACTTTTGTCCTGGAACCCTGGTGGCCATCGGGCCCAAGGCGGGGCGGGGGGGGAGTAGAGCGGCGTGTTCCGCAACCGAGCCCCACCCCGGTGGGCCGGCCGGAGTGCTGCCGGCGTGCACAATGAGACGGAGACGCGCAGAGAAAAGGCTCCCGGTGGCTGTGGAGGGAGGGAGCGGGAGAGGAGTGGCGGCTCTCAGAGCGAGGGACGGACGCTACAGTGGCCAGCCGGCCCCTCCTCTGGGAGCACGCGCAGCCTAATGAGTTTGATAGTCTGCTGAGCTCCATAAATCATGCCATGCAAAACATTTCTCCTCTCTGAATAAAAGCATTTATCACCCTCTGTTTATTCACTCACTCTCACAAGATTGATTGGCTCCCAGCAGCCTGCTGAGCAATCAGCCATGCCGATTCCTCCATTTCTCCCCCATGGTTGTCTTCCTCGGTTTGTTTGTTTATTTATTTATTTATTTATTCTCTCCTCTGTCATTCAGTGGGAAAACTTCGGAAGGAGTGGATGAGGGAGACTGTCTCCAATGTGGGCGTCGGAATGCTCAAGTCTGTCAAGGACTACGTGGATCCCGATAACATCTTCGGCAACAGGAACCTCCTCTAGGTTCCTGCTGCCTCCGGTCTTTGTCTCACCTTCCTCCTAAAGCGTCCCGTCCACTCCGGATTAACAGATACTAAATGTGAATTCAGAAAGGGACGGAGATGGTCTTCTGCTTCAAATGTGTGATTCGGTGCCATTAAATGATTCACCCGAACCTTTTCTTTTTACCGTGTAATGCACTTATCTGCTGTAACAATCACTGTCATTCGTGTTGAGGGTCAGTTTCTCTGTTTTGTTGCGGCCTCAGCTTCCTGCGCAGTGACCACGATGCAACTTGATGCAACAAAACTCTGATGTTTGTCCTATTTGCTTTTTGTTTAATCGGCTCTTTAAGCGTTCTTGCCAACATAGGAAAGATTTCTTGTTTTCGTGTTCCTACCGTGTGTGTGTGTGTGTGTGTGTGTGTGTGTGTGTATTTGGGGCACTTCTTTAGTGGTCATTTTGAGGTGAATGCGCTTTCTAAAGCTCTGTGCCTTTCTAAAGCTTTTGTCTGCCTTCCCCTTCTCCTCCTGCACACTTCTGTTCAGTGAGTCTCTCCGTGAAGAGAAGTAGTCATGACAGTCCTCGGCGTTTGTCTTTTCTCTCCTTTCTGCCTTCTGTTGTGTACCGACCCGTTGCCATAAGAGACTTGTATCTGGACTGAGTGTGTTTGTTTGTGCCTCCTCAGACAGAACCAACCCGAACCCCCTGTTTTGTGCTCAGATTCTCCAGCAGTCCCTCCATGTCCCGCCCGATAGCAAAGAGAGATGTGCGTTTAGTTTTTGTACTGAAAGCCTTTACCCTGCTCGGTTTGTCACTGAAAAAGCAAAGTGGGGGGGGGGAGAAAAAGCCGTTTCAAAAACGGATGTTGTAGTTTGATCATGTTTTCAGTTTAAGGCCTCCGGATCACGGTGCTCATGTCGTACCAAAGACTCAATTCATCAAATCATGCAAACACACTGCACACCTTTGATGTCCCGACCACCACGTCCACAGTTGTCTGGCCTCCTCACACACTATTTAATTCTACTTTGTTGATAATTATATGCAAAGATAACCATCTTTATTTCTCTTACATGTAAATCTTTGACTGTTACACTTGCTAAACCTATCTGTTTGAAATATTTAACTTGTACTCAGTGTAATTTCTTTTTCTGAATCATGTTTGTTTCATTGGTATCCCCCCCCCCTCTCCTCTCAAGGGACAAAAAAATCTTCTGCTCCTCCAATAGTAGAGTATTTAGTCTTTCTATATTGTGTAAAAGGCTTTTGGAACGATGATGTACCGTGTTACATTTTGATACTGAACTTTTAGCACATGACCAAGCATTTTGAAGAAATTTTCATCTTTTTATCCGTCTGAGCTGCGCTTCACATTTTCCAGGACCGTTGTGTCCCTTTCGTCCTCCTAAAAAGACTCCTTTTGGACCCAACATTTAACTCTGTGTCAAAAGATGTGCGTGAGCTTTTCCACGTTATGACTGTACCTTTTGTCTTTTCTTTCATTCTGTTTTCTGTCAATTTTCCACTTCTCCTAACGACATAGTAACATCAAAGTACATTTTGTCAATGCTGTTTGTGCAATAAACTGAACTAAAACTCATCGGTTGTGGATTTTTTTTTCTGAACGGGCACACTTTTTTTATCCCCTGTTTGTTTGGTAGCACAGAAATCTTTTATCTAGTCAAGTGCAACATCTCCTGCCAGCTCTGCTGTAGCTGGTTGTTTTTTGTACGGTCAGACGACGCTGGGGAAGGTCAGTGAGAGCCTGGGAGCAGCTTCCTGTCCACTCTGCCTCTGCGTGTGGCAGGCAAAGCTCAGGATAATCCCGCACGGCAGAGCTGAAATGAGCCTGTCCTTTGCTTCATGACGGGCTGTTTTATTCATTTATTTTTTTTCTTCCGATGCACAGGCTCATTTGGGAGTCGTTTTCACTCCCACACAGGCACCCACACACTGACGTCAGAGCCTCCCATCGACGACCGTGGAGCTCAGCCTTGAGGAGCAGAATGCACTGCAGCTCTGGTTTATACTCAGGGCTGAGTGGATGGATGCAGCAGGTGCAGATCATTTGTGAATGATGCAGAATTCATCTTATCTCTTGTTAGATCGATCTGTTGTTGATCACAGGTTTGTACATTTGCATTTGTTCATCATTGGTCATGTCCTGTGATTTGCCTTTCACATATATTCATGCAGCTCTCAATGGAATGTGCTTGAATCGGCTGTATTTCATTGAGATGGAGTCAGCGTGTAAGAACGTAGCTATCCACACGAGGTCAGCACTGCACTGGGATGAGTGTCAGCATTTAGACAAAGCCGTGGCTCATGTGGCTTACAGTAGAGTGCACAAGACAGATGAGACCACCTCCGTGCAAAGAGCTCAGTTTGACTAGAAACGTGGGTCTGAGATTGAGATCTCCCCACTATATAAACTAGAGACTTCTCCCAGAACAGAATCATGGTTTTGAGATGATGTGTAATTCTGTGTTTTAAGTGTCAACCAATAGCCCCATTCCAGACATTAAAGGTTCTCTACAATAAACAACTTCTTAACAGATTCTCTAAACTGTGGAGGTTCGCCATAGACATGCTGAAGATGAGTACGTCTTCATCTAAAAAATAATTCTAGTGTTTCCAGGCAACATATGATAATGTTCATGGCCAGGAAAATATAAGTGTGTACATTAACATGTTAAATGTAAAGTAGAAAAAAGGTTTAATTTCTTGTATTACTTATTACTCATTACTCATAATTAAATTAATCTGAGTTCAAATGAGTCCAGCTTATACAAGGGCAGTAAAAAAAAACACAAAAAACAGCTGCCTATGTAATATTCAGATAGCATGAAAACGTATTTTCCTCCTTTTCCGACCTGATGAGCATGCACTGGGTGACAGTGGAGATGGAAACTCCCTTTGAGATAAAAAAAAAAAACTAAAATATAAACAGATTTAAGCGTACACAGCAGCATATTTGATAGATATATTTTTTATTCAAACTCTGAACAGAAACATTGCACATTTGCCTTTTCATGCCTGGGTTTCTTTCAGATTAGCTTGCCGTGAAGAAATCCAAATTGGGGGGACAGGAAAAAGCGAAACACAAGAAGCAGAAGTTGGCCACATATGGAGGACCTAATATAAAAATAGAACTGCAATATTCATACGTAACCCACCCAACATGATGCAAGAGAATTTAAGTCATGCACGTCTGATGACATAAAGAATGTACTGATGAAAATATGAGGTATTTGTCGGCTCACTCGGTTGCTACATCATTAGCAAGTGGTTGGATTTAATACTGCATAAAACATGCAATTCAAAAACTTTTTTCTGGCTGACTTCCACTGAGCTCTTCAACTAAAACACAGCAGAGCACACAGATCCATGCCACACAATGTGCACAGTCACATTTGAAACTCCAGTTAACAAAGCTACAACACTATCCATGAGGCATACTCCTACCCAGAAATAATGCTTGTAATAACAATTAAAAGAAGGATAATACCAAAGCAGCAGCTTTGATATTACATGGGCACTTGAAGTACTACAAGTCTCAGGGTGTCAGTTTTCAGTTTGTAACAGCTGTGAGCTTTGAGAAGAGGCCAGAAATGAAACCAAAGCAAATATTTGCTGATGTGATCTGAGTTTACTAAATCTGCTTCTAGTCACCGGAAGCAATCAGTTACAATATTTGTGCTTGTCCGGAGCTCTGTCTGATTTCTCCTTGTTATCCTTAATAAGGCAGTCACATTTCAGATGTTTTAACTAATGGAAAATGAATGAGTGTAACATGTTCAGTGAGCAAATCATTGACAAGCCCGGTCATTTATTAAGTCACTGGTCACCTTGTACTGTCGTCAGTCCACATGTGCTCTTTTTTTTGGAGAGAAAAGATACATCCATGTGTATTTCTGTAGAAATAGCAACTGGCTGAGACTTCCTCTACAGTCAAGTTTGAAAAGTGACTTCATTCTGTGCATTCACCTGCAAGATTTATTGATCTGTCTGCAAATGAGCACCATTTGCCTTGTCTTCAGATGGGTTTTTTTTTTAAACTAAAGGGTTGGGATTAGAGTTATCAGATTTAGACTATTGGATGATAGCATTCTCCACAGTCTTTAATGGAGTTATCCAACCAGACGACACTGCAGGAAAGAGCCCCTAACGAGAGACTTTAAAAGTGCACATGGTCAACTTAACTCGTTTAGCACATGACTGCAACAAAACTTTTGCCCAAATTAAATGAAGACATGGGCATTTTCTGATTTCTGCAAATCATAAAAATGGTATCCTAATGTTAACAGCCACAAAAAGCGTAGTCTTACTCCCAGTTTGTCGCATACTGGCACATTTGCAAAAGTGGTCATACCGCCATCTAAACGTCATAGCTTAAAAGAGTGTATGACCACTACACTGTGTTCCCCAGAAAAACGCCGTACCTCTGCAGAATTCTGAGGTAGAAACAAGGAGATGAGTATTAGTATGAGCAAAGATGAAATAAAAAGGAAAGAACACTAGTGTTAAAATGATTCCGTCCTTTGTTGCTCCCTACGCTCCAAATCCACAACAATGGCTGATGAGGCATGCTGCTGGAATATCTGCTGAGAATTGTTTTCATTGTCCACATCTATTGTGTGCAAGGTTGTTTTTTTATTTTATTGAACGCATCGCTAATGTAGGTTTGTGTCACCTTTGGTCAGAGTCCGGCTAATTGACATCTCTCTTTTATATTTTTAACTTTTAGCCCGATTGTAGCCCGATATTTACCAGATAATCATAGCAGTGGCATGGACCTTCCTTCATGGGTGAAAGTGTGGCTATTCATTTTTTTAACTGCTGCTTTGTAAATAAAATGTGACAATTTTTTCCAGCTTACAGCTGTCAGTAATAAATCAGTACAGCGGAGAAATTATTTTTGTATCAGAACAACTTCTAAAGGCACATTGTGTGTGTGTGAGAGAGAGAGAGATAGAAAGAGAGAGAGAGAGACAGAGAGAGACAAGGAGAGGAAGAAGAAGGATAGAAGTGAGACCCTGCATTTATAAAACTGGGTGAAATATATCTTTATATGTAAATTATGTTTTTTTTGTAGCTAACAAGGGCTAACAAGAAATAACCGCAGTCATTGGTTTTACAAATTATGGCAGAAATTCAGTATGGATCTACATGGATTTCCATACTGTATAAGAACCTCAGCAAAGAGGCCATGCATTTTTCATTAGGATCTTAAAACAAGGCACAGGAAGGGAGGGAGCGGAGAATTCAATTTGCATTGCAAGCACTGTCACAGGTCCTGCTGCCCCTGCACCAGCTCAGAACTTCACACTACAACCCAATCAATGCATACAGGTTTTAAACAGCACTTGTAAATAACTCAATAGCATATTTACAGATTTACAAAAAAATGTCTGTTAACCCACAGACAAAGTTGTAACAACAAGGAGATACCAAGAGCGAAACAAACCACAGCAGAAAATAAAGATTACACTCTGTGTCTTATGTCCGAAAAATATGTGCATTACCCAGAATAGACGGTGTTAGTTGACACGTTGACACAGTGGTCATTTCCCTTTCTGACACGGTGTCCACAGCTGATTTGTAAGTGTTCCAACAAGCTTGCCGGACACACGGCTCTGCTATCCTTCAGCACGGGGGAGTCTGAAGGGAGCAGAAAAACCTCTATGAGAGCGCCACGCCCAAGTCTAAAGCTCCACTCTGGTAGCAGAAGCGAAGAGGAGCAGAGCCAGAGAACCTCTGCATGCAGCGCGCTGCCTTGCTGCAGGTTGCATTTGGGAGAAAAAACTCAAGACACCGGCTGCTGGACAAAAGCTAACTGGCCGCCTTGAGCGGCGGGCCCTCGGCGTCTGCGTTGCAGCAGGGCGTGCTGACAGTTTTGGCCGCCGTGAGGCCGCTGGTTTCGGGGGGGCTGTCGGGGCTACAGGGGCCGGCGGGGTCAGAGGAGCTCTGACCACTCTGTCTCTGCCTGTTCAGCTCCTCCCATTTGGCCCTGTTCGCTCTGATCATGTCAAGCATCGGGTCAAGTTTGGGATTCAACTTGACCAGTGTCTAGAGAAAGAGACGGAGAGAGAGAGAGGAAATGTCAACAGCACGAGTAAAGAAAACAACCGTGCAGAAGCGTTTGAACTGGTTATTAAAGACTGGTGCACAGGGTCAAAAGTCACAGGACGCCCTTTTATTGCAGAAACAAAAGGAGAAATGAGATATCTGAATACCCCAGCAAGTAACTGAGTGGTCCTAACTTTTAGGCTATGTCCAGAACATGGCAGCCATCTTGAAAGCCACAATATTGGATCAAAGGCAAGTTTTTCCAGTGGGAAGGTGATCATGGAGTATATCAGAGAAGACGAGAAGTGTCTCAAATCAATTGTTACAATCACATTTGCAATATCTGTCAACACATAAAGTTGCCAGAGCAACTAGGAATGCTGCAACAAGACACACTCTGCTAAATCTGCTATCAATGCCTCTGACTGACAGAAGACCATTGAATCGGTCATTGAATCGGACAGTCCCAGAAATGGCAGATCAAACAAGGGGATCTTTACTATGATTTATTTTGTGCGAGCAAATCATCAAAATGTTTTTTTAAACACTGTGTATTATTCTTTTTTGCTTAGACTTTAAAAAAAAATCTCTACTCAATTTGCTGGTAACCCCAGGTTTGTAAATCATGTATGTTTCTTTATGATAAGCAGCTTCAAGTCATGCCTTCTTCAGGAATCCTCCAGGAAGCAATGCTTAGCTCTGAGACTCAATTAAAATGATGATAATATTTGAGCGACTGGGGTCTGAAAAACACTGCATCATTCATCAAACGCTTTAATACTTAAAGACAAAACAAATTAAACAAAATAGAAGGAACAACCAACCACAATAACAGCAACAAACAGCCACTTGATAACTGCAGTCCATTAAATGACTGCTATTTAAAGATTAGAAGCACATGCATGACTGAGATTAGTTGCCGTTCTCATTTTTCTAAGTTGAAGTATAATTGGCAGTGCAGTGAAATCTGTCACCCTCCATTTGATAAATGGCCAAACAGAGAAGGGGATTTGGTTCCTGTAACGTTGTCTTCTGTGTCTGTTTGGTTTCCAGAGGAGTCTGTATAATTAGTTATTGTTTCATTAACCTGGTCTCACAAAGAAATGTGGACATGCATGTGCCCGACTCATAAAGCAAGTGCAAACTCTTTTCTTTACACAAATATCAGTGTCATATTTGAAGCCATTTTAATCAGGACTTTGATTAATACACATGTGAGTATCACAACCACCAAGGGGATTATGTTTTGTATGCATAAAAGGGAATCAAATCTTTTATGAGACCAGCCAATCCCTGGTGTATATTAACAGAGCTTTAGGAGAAAATGTGTGTGTTTCTTTGATCTGCTCATAAAGAATCAGCTAATATGTCAGTTTGTGATTCTCAACATTGCATTTATGTGGAACTAAGTGCTAAAAAGCCAAACAGTTCCAGTTTTTATGGATGGGAGAATGCCAACGTGCATTTCTGTAGTTGGGCTGGTTGAGTTACAGACAAATATATACCTGTCTTTAATCACACTGGTCTGTTACAGCTTTAAACTATTTTGAATGTAAGGTTGCTGCTTTTTTTCTGCACGTCCCAACTCGACTTTCCATGCACCAGCTTGTCATTACTCACTGAATCGGAAATTCAAATAGCAATTGACAGGAAATCCGTCAATTAAAGAAAGTGGGTCATGCAGTAGGATGACCTTAAATACAAAAATACTCAGAAATATTCGGAAACTGGCCCTGACCCTAATCCAGAAGAAATGTTTAGGACCTCCAGAGAGTACATGCTGACATCCAAAACTGAAACTCATTTGATGGAAGGAGTGGGCTGAAATCCCTCCGGCCTGATGGGTGGGGCCAACTAACAGCTACAATGTGAAGATGTTTACTTGCAATTTATATATGTTTGCCAGAAGCAGATATGTAATATAAGATGATTTAGCTCATTTGTCAAGTATTTTCATGTCATGGGTTTTTCTTCAGTCCACATCCTCTGAGGGAAGTCGTAACTATCGTTATTACAGGGCGAGCTCAGAGCCAGAAGACAGGGACTGTCATACGGTGGCATAAAGATGGAAGGTTATATAATGGGGGATTAATATTCTACAAAGTAGCAAGCCACCACCAGGATAAGGAGATCAGCAAGATCAAGAACAAGATCTCTTCCGCCCACGGACAAAAACCCTGCTGCCTCTGAACTTCCTCAGCTCTCCCCCTCGCAAGTTTAATTGGCAGCAGCATGATCGTGAGCTCCATATCTGCACCCCCCCCACCCCCAACACACCACACAGACAACACACAAACACGCACAGCTTTGATGCCTCCTTTATCTGCACAACACAGGCAGTAACAGTATAGAGAACGGAGCCCAGCTAAGATGGTCGCGCTTTAACTTTCAGCACTGATTGAGGGATAATTCAGCAGCCATGCACACCATCAGTGATATATCTTCTCATAATGTCAGAGTGTATTTCCACAGTGCAGAAATTAGAGAAAATCCCCCTGTGCTGTGAGAATTTATGTTTTTTTTTTTTTAAACCCTTGACTCCTTTCACAACTCCTCTTCTGTCTTGGCAATCATTCATTTAAGTACAACACAACTGGTGCCCTAACAGACCTGAGCTTCTCTGTAAGTCAGCCTCCCTCTTCCGCCCACACAACCCTCGCTGATGGCGGTGGGAAGGGCAGGTGGGTCTGCACACACTCACACATTACTAAAGCAGAAAGGACACAGCAGAGACTTCCATTCCTTTTCCGAGAGAAAACTTGCTTGTCCTAAATAGTTTCCACCCGTGAAATCACACTCATTTCTTGGCGCGTCAGAGGAACGGCGCGCTGCTAAGAGTCAGTAATTGCATTACCGTGTGCTGTGAAGCAAACAGTACACTGTCTCTCTGAAGGAATTCAACCCAACCTGCATCACAGCGATGTTCACACACGTCCCCGGGTAGTCTGAAAGTGCACACTCAGTCAGCTGCTCGCAAAAGAGCTGGATGCAACCTTGGAGTTGCTCCAAAGCTTTCAGTAAAGCTTTTTTTTTCAGAGAGACATCTGTGAGCGTGGATGTGACACAATGAAGGCCAGAAAGCAGAAACTCTTCAGAACGTTACCTCATACAACGGCGCACAGATCCCATCAATCCACTCCAGCTGAAGCCCCGGCAACTCGTCCTTCCTGTTTCGGTCAAAGATGGCCTGAAACCACAAAAAACAAAAAGACCTGGTTTTCTTTTACGTTGTTTTGTTTTTTTCAAGTTTGCAGGCTTAAAGTGCCGCTGTTCACGCTTTTGTCAACTGACTTTATTTCGCGAACATTTTCTATTCTCCCTCATTCTTCAGCAGCCTGAACTTAAGAGGCTCCACTGAGGCTGCGTTTCAGAGATAGTTGCCGGGTACGACTCAGAAGTTAATATTTCATTTCCAACACCCACACACGGAGCGCTAAAGGTTTGACACAAGCAGCAGTCCTGAGGCTACTGAATTGGTTATTTCAGAGAGGAGGCAATGTGGCCTGGCTCGATTTCTCAACAGTCATTAATTGCACACACAAAGCTGCCGGTTTCCAGCCTTAAAAAGTCCTCCATCAAACAGACTCTGCCAGCTTTGTCCCCAAAAAAATTTCTGAATCAAGACAGACATTTTAATTGGGACCAAAGTCTCTCATATATTTTGTGCTATTTTTACACCAGCACGAGGAAACAGGTTGTGTCTTACAGATGAATGAATGGAGGGAGGGGGGGTTAAAAATCTGTGTTATTTATTTATTTCTTGGAATCTGCACGGCAGCGAGGCACCAGAGCAGTCAAGCTGACCGTACACTTTTCTTACACTGCGAGACAAAAGCTCTCATGTTTCCTCCACAGTCAGGAAGTTCTGGCACAGCGGAGAAAAATATATCTTTTGCTTTGGCATCATCAGCTCTAAGAGGGCACAGAGGTGAGAGAAACTGCAAAAAGCACAAAAGCAGAGTGGGTTTGATTTACTCACAGAGGGCGTTAGCTTCAGCTCCAGCCTCTCTCTGTCGCCCTGCTCAAAGAACTCACTGGTTACCAACTCTGCGACCTGAGGAGATAGAAAAGGTTTGAGTAGGGCTTTGACTTTGCAGATGTTATCCCATGAGCTACATGGTTTGATTCCTCAGAGAAAAATAATTGTGATTATTTAGAAGCTGCAGTCAGTCAGCATCAGGCTTTAAAATTACTTGAAATGACTCAATGTTTTCAATGTATTTCTTCTAAGCTAAAAGGTGACTGGTTTTAAATGTGTGTAGGTATTTGATTCATTGGGCTCGCTTTGTATTTTTCACCTTGCGTGATATTTCCCACGGCTTTGTGACAGCTCCCAGATCACATGCTGTCATCATCATGGATCTGAGAAGAGGACAGGTTTATTTTAAGCCTTTAAGGTGACGTAATGCAAAAGTGCCTTTGGAGAAAGAAGAAAGGGGGGGGGGAGACGTGGGCCATTACCGGCACATGTCCCTGTGAGCCTTCACGTTCCAGTTGTACTCTTCTTTGCTGACGAGCTCGAAGAACATGTTTCTGTTCCTGAAGGCAAGGAGAACATTTTTACACGCACATGTAAATCACGTCAAGGCCACTAGGGGGCGGTGTTAGCTCAGAGAAGCCCTGCCACCCTTTAATAAGCAGTGTAACAGTGTGCCTCTCCATAAAGGTGTCAGTACTGTGGAAAATCTGTGTGTTTCGCAGAACATACTCAAAGTAAAGCGTGAGGTCTGTGGCCAGAATCGACTGTTTCAACAACTGCATGAGGTCGCTGTACTCTGTCGATGAGAGGTTGGAGAAGATGTTGTGGCCCTGTGGAAACAGACCCACACAACATGATAAAGAACACCCATTCCACTCCCACAATTGAGCACAAAGAGATTTAAACACAAAGGCTGCAGGCTGCACGTGAATTATTGAACATATTTGGCAGGTGTGCCGTTTATCTTTTTTACGTTGGCTTTGTTTGAATTAACAAACAGGTGATGGGAACCAGAGTTGGTGGGTTGGTATTAAATCCTTAACGAAGCTAATATCAAAACGTTCATTGAGCTTCGAATAATCTAAGCTCACACACAAACCTTAACTTTAATGCTCTAACAGAGTGTCCCAGTGAGTCCAAAAAGTGTTAACAATAGCAGGGATCATCTCATGTATTCAGATGCTCTATGTGTAGTGTTTGTTTGTGATTGTGTGTTGAATTCACAGTTTAATCCTTTAAAGATTCCTAAAGTGTTGAAAAAAAACAAGTATTGGCACTCTCACTACTTTTACATTGTAGTCCTCTGTGTAATGTGCACCATTAAATGGGGGAACTTAATCAGCAACACAACAGAGTGTGTTTAGAGGTCTTAGGAGTACTACAGCATAAGTGGAAAAAAGCTGTAGGGCATGTTGTGGCCACAGCTGACTGAAGTCTTATACACTGATGTCAGCACTGGTTGGAGCATAAGAGAAGGAAAAATTAAATAAAATTTGTTAATGTGGAGATGACTGTAAACACTCTAACCTTACGACCACTCTAAAAGAAATGTTCAGATATATAGCATGTATTTTCTAACATCTGAATTGTTAAGTGTGTTAGGTTTAAGTTCAGGTTGCCGAGGTTAGGCACTCCCTCATACTCGGGTATAATAATCTAAATTGGCTTGAAACATTTTTTCTACGATGTGACTATGGTTTTCACTTCACCATTCATCATCACGGATGTGTGAGAGTCCACCAGGCCCCTCTGTGGCCTCGTACTGGATCATCTCCATTCAGAAAAAAGGGATTCAATGAAGATGATTAGGAGGGTAACAGAGAACTGGTTAATGGAAATGTTGCACTGTCCTTAGCCTGGTGGTTATGGCCTCAGAGCTAGAGAGTTCCCGATTCGAGTACCTGGGGGAACCGGGACCTTTCAGCCTTCCGTCCAAACACATGCATGTTAGGTTCACTGGACATCCTGAGTTTCCCCCAGGAGTGAATGTAAGCGCGTATGTGTTTTGTGTCTCTGTGTTGCCCTGCAATGGACTTGCAACCTGTCCAGGGTGTACCCTGAACCTCACACAGATGACAGATCCTTAGCCCTAGATGTCCTTGTCCCACAACGCCACTTTTGAAAGCAACAGGTACTATTTTATAGACCTTTTATAGAGCAAATAATAGTGTATGAGACAACAAAAGAGTGATTATTCTTTTTTATCCTACTGTGACTCATAAAAAAAAGTCTTCCACAGGAATTGTCACAATGAAACTAATTGGATCTGTGCAAGGGAACAGCTTCCTGGTAGCTCCTAATAAGTAACCAGTATATCTCACCTTATCATTAAAACAGGCTTTTACCGGCATTGTGCATTCATTCACCACCGAGGTTCTCTCCTCAGAAGGATGGTTATGGAATTAGCAGAGCTCTTTGAAACTAGGCAACTACTGTTAACTACTGTTTGAAACCAAAAAAAGCATTGGCTCTGGAAAGTGTGTCACCACGCCCGTAGCACCTTTCATCAGCTCATGGATTCCTATGAAATATTGAACCACGTAACACAGACACACAAAGGACATCTCTCATTCTGTCACAACTGGAGCAGATGGAGGATGGAAGCAAGTGAAACAGTGAGTGAGAATGACTGAATGAAACAGTGAGATACAAGGGGAATGAGTGATGTTTTAAAGTTTACACTTTCCTTAATAGCTCGTGCAGGCTGGCTGACTGAAGCAGGAGCTGCCTCATCTATTTGAATTAACCACACTATTCATTTGTATGCTAATTAACTCCGGACAACAGCAGTTCAACCTCCAATATCAACAGACGCCGATGTGATATTCCGAGCAAACATTTGTCAGCTTACTGTGTTGTCAGCACCGTGATAATGAAGCCAGTGGAACACACCACTCTGCCTGGTCTCGCCTGCTCCCTCAAAACGCCTCCTATTACAACTTCACAAAACCCAGTCACCTGGTAAAATGTCTCTCTCAAGCAATTACCACTGAATCTATCATCTCTGTAATTACATTGATTTGAGGGCAGCATGAGCTATTTGTTTCCTCGCTAACATGCAGCACAGGCTGGGGCAACACACACGGCTGCCTTCAATCACTGCCAGGACGGGCGTCTTAGTTTTAAAAAAAAGTTTGTTTGAAGGGAATTTGGTGTTTGTTTTCTAATCCTATTAGCACATCCATTAGTATTTGGACAGTGACACATCATCTTGTGGGAGCCTTTAAATGAAGAGATTATGATAATACATACCAACTTACTGTAGCATATTGTCATTAAAGAAAAGCACATTGAAGAAGGAAGCCATTTAAGTTAAAGATATAACTAAAAGAAAATATCTTTATCTCAATGGGAAGTTTTACAGTGAATACAATTATTTGTACAATGTATTGCTACGGTACATTGACTTTAAAGTTGCTAGTGTTTACCCTTTACCCATTTTGTGTTAATGTACAAATACAAAACACACTCTCTTCTATCATTCTGTACATTACTATAAAAAACTATCATGTTTTAGCTCCTGTGTCATCTCTTAAAATGCCTGGTAAGCTCTGGCTGGTTGATGGACTAGTCAAAATGCAAAACAGTCCATTTGTAGACCTCACACACTCACTCTCTTTCAGACATCCCTCCACAAATCAATGTACTCTGAGCCACTGGATTCATGAATGAATAGATGACTTTCTGCTATTTGAGAGTGCAAGGCTTTTACTTATTTCAGTTTAATTGTCCTTTCAAATGAGTTTGAGGTGGGAAGTCAGTCATATAGTTGCTTAAACCTTATTAATATCAGACCTGTAAGCCTTTTTTTATGAACACTCTGTCATTCAGTTATTTTTATTGAACAATAATTACTTTACAAGCCTTTATAATTAATGTGTGCTCACCATAAAAACTGCATGACAGAGCAGTCAAGTTTGTATCCCCAGGTAAACACGAACAGGTTTATTGAGCTTAGCACATTACTTATTTAGTCATGTATAATGAAGGCTATTTGTTTTCTAGATAAATGTATGAGATTTGTAGATTTTGGCTTTGTGATTGTTTTGTAATTGGTAATCCTTTAAGTTTAAAGCAGTAGTTTGAACAGGAAAACTATTATAACCTATGATGAATGAAAAAATATGACTGACAAACCAAGCAATTCAAATGCTTACATCTCACCTCAGATCTTTTGCTACAGATTGTAAGGGAAACTTGAAAATAAATAAGTAAGCATTAACACCTGAGGTCCGAATTTCAGAATTGCAAACTAGCCACCAGTCATGATATGAGCTCTTTAACCACTTATCTAATGTGGGGTGAATGACCCTGGAAAGAGCTGTCCAGAAGTGCTGTTTTGCCTCCTGTATTTACTGTTGAACAGAGTCACAAGTGCTGTCACAGTTCCCTCTGTTTCAAGTCTGAACACAGTGTTAAGCCTATTTTCTGCTTGTTGCTACTTCACAGTACTCTGAGGGGCACAGACATAAGCAGGGAAATGAATCAATCGCTCCCTGCTCCACCTGCAACATTCATGACTCTTTTTGCACGGCATATTTTGGCATGGGATATCATGGAAAGGCCAGGTGTTAGCTGGTTCTTGGTACCGTGCATGCTGGTTTCATAGTTTACTGGGAGCCTCGAAGCTCAGGTAACAAATTAGTTTCACCTGTGCTGTTCCCGAGAACCCATTTTTCTACAGATTGTGCTGAAAAATGGGTCCTTAGCTTGAACCAGTAGTCTGATTACCAACTAAAGCACATTGAAATGTATCATGAAAGTGCTCATGTAATGAACACTGAGATGCAACAGTTGACTAATTAATGCTAGAAGTTCAATTTTAGCAGAAGAGACGTTGTGCGTTGTGTTATTGCACAGTTTAAAAAATATGGAGGTTACCTCCTTAAGAGCTTGGCTTAACACGAAACACAAAGTGTACTGCACAACAATAACAACAACATGCCGTCGTAAGCATTAGCAGAGGCTGAATGGTAACTGCATTGCAGCAGATATTAGAACATAGCGCACCTCACTCTGCAGGATCATAACAGCATGGTTGAAGTGGTGGTGTTCCAGCGTAGCAGAGGTCCCATAAAGCAGAGCCAAAGCTGAACCAGTCCTGCAAACACATTTTAGAATAACCTAACAAAAAGCAACAGAACCATAATATAATAAAGATTCCGCTTTAGCTGAGAAACCAAGTATGCTCAATAACTCTTTTGCAATCCCCTCATCTATTTACTTTGTCTCGAACTCATGACTACACGATAAAAGAAGCTGGAGACTTGTTGCTTAAACTGTGGCTGATAAAGAAATGTCAGAACCACGATACGGGCAGTTTTACAATGTTTATAGGAAAAGAGATCAAGTTGCAAGGCAAAAGTTCCTTCATTTTCAGGACATGGGATTTAATTTGACAGTGGTGTTTCCAGTTGCAGCTGTGATTATGGCCAGGAAAACATATGTTCCAACACAGATTCTGTCTGCAGTCTGGTGTACCATTGACCATTTTGTCTAAAAGACCTTCATTATTGCCTTTTGTTACTCAAATCAATTTTGCATTTAAAGAACCGTTTTTTAAAAATATTTCTAATCTTTTAGCTCCATATCTCTCTCTCTCTGTTACTTACTATACTTGGCGTACTATATGTGTACTACTATGTAACATACACTCTGCTGTGACTGGCAGAACTGCAGTTCTGCTCATCATGCATTTCAGATTCAATTGACAAATACAACCATGGTGAGGGAAGAAAACACTGCCTATAAGTAACTCAATAGCGTTTTTATCTGGTGAACTCAATGAGTCAGCAGTGTTTAGCCTCCTTGTTAAGCAGACTCTTATATAACTCTTAAACAACTTCCCAGACTACTCATGCTGATCTGGGCTGGACCATTGCAGACAGCTGCAGATTGGAAAACACACTATAAACAGAGTGTAGGAGGCAGAGTGTCTATCTGTGTCTTTTGCATCAAGAGAGAGAAACGTTGAGTCCACTTACTTGGCCTGAAAAGCGTTGTTGGTGCCCCTGTGGTCCAAGTCGTGGCACACACAGCCCACGATAAGTGCTAAGATCTCCACCTCTGTCAGCATCTCCTGGAAACCAGCCGTCTGATTGGCACACATCACAGAAGGCAAATATGAAAATGGACAGATGCCTGCGCACTATTTGAGAAGCGGTGCCCCATATGATAAAGCTAAGAGAGACACATTGAATAGAAATACATTTTAAAAAACACACACAGAGAGAAGCAGCATCCTGAAAAAAGAGAGCCAGTGGGAGACTGCATTTGCACACACATTCAAATTCAAGACTCAGATAAATGGGTTCCAGAGATCATGTGCAGAGTGAGTTACTATATGTCATTATGGGGATAACGTAACAGCAAAGACAGCAAGGCCTATTGGCCACTCATTAAAACACATACCAGAAGAAAGTTGGGGCCAGAACAGCTTACTCACTACTATTTTGTTTCCCCATGCCAATAATCAATTCAGATGGGACACCGCACATTAATGCTGTGCTTGATTAAATGAAATACACTGTGATGTTTGCATAAGAGCACATGTGCATGTCTATGATGTGTGTGAGTGCGTGTGGCTCCGACAGCCTGATGAACTAAAGGAAGAATATTAACTAATTCTCCTGGGATCTCTATTCAAACAGTCACATCTGTGCAAAAGTGGCAGTTTACACAGTTAATATTACAATGTGACACAATGGAAATCTCAGTGATGATCTCAGGTCTAAAATGTAATACTCAAAAAAGAAATTAATATATATTTATTACACTTAAGTATGTCTCATTTATCAGCAAATTTCTATCTCACCAGTCAGTTTAATTGTTGATTCCTTTACAGTTACTTTATTAAAGGCTTTAACATACCAAGCATTAAAAGGTGTGATGAAATTCTATGTGATTATGTGTCATAGGTTAAACGTGAAAGCAACTGGTGTGAAATCTTACAAATTTCACAATCAGTGATTTACAGGAAACGATGAGTCGTCAGATGTGAAAGCCTGATATGCAAAAGGTAAGGCACATCTCCATCGATCACAACATTTAAATACTGATAAGAAATTCATGCACGATTAAACAGTGTTTTCTTTGTTATGTTCCTTTTGAAAGACTGGAAACCACCTCATAACACATAGATTTTCCACCTTTGTTTACATAACCTAAATCATCAGTGATGCTTTCTTTGAGACAATTAACTGCACAAACAGGTGCTGCAAACACTTAGTGTCTTTATAGATATATATGAAGCTGGGTGTTTACCGTTAGCATGGCAAACATGCACTGGCAAACGTTGAACGCATGTCTCCAGTTGTGGTAGAGAACCATTCTGTAGTTCTTTCTGACAGTCAGCAGCCATCTGCATAGTGTCTGGAGGGGAGAGAGAGATGAGCACATGGGTCAGCTGTCTTCACGGGGATCATTTTCAGCATTCAGGGCAAACTCCATCAAGTATTCAAGGGAGAGAAGACAGAGAAAGTCAGAGGTCTCACCTCATAGTCAATCTTAAATTTCTGCACCATTCCTAACTCCATGAACATTCTCAGAGCAGCAGTTATCATGGCGTCGACGTCCAGGGAAAAATCATCAAAGGAGAGCTTATCAATGCCCAGCTCACAGACCAGAGGGATGTTAGCAGCCTGTTTCATCATGGCGGGAGAAAAACAAAGAAGAGGACTGAGAACATGAGCCTACACAGCAGAAGATGATAGGGAGGTCAGCGGATGCTGTGCCATTTTCGGATGATACATGGAAATATGTAGACATGCTAATTAAGACTCTGAGGCCTCATTTGGTGAGGGTTGAGATTAATGAGGGAGCTGTACTGAAGGATTTCACTGCTGTTAACTTTTAGAGCTCATTGACAAATGTTGTGCAATAGTAAGCATCAACAGCTTTTTTCCATTGTTATTCAGACAACAAAGACGAGGTTCAAATTAACACCATTCATGCAGAAATATGCCTTATTTCTTTTAATGAGGCCAATAAGTGTCTGAGAAGAAAATGTCCTGTCTGTCTCTTGTCAACACGACAAGACAACAAAATGACCATTTTCAAGATTAGGAACTAGAAATGCCACCGGGTAAAGGCACCAATCTGTGCTGTGCTTTCAGAACAGCTGTGTCTCTCTTCCTCATTCAATCTTTTACAGCCACCATGGCCCAGTGTTTCCCTCACAAACATTTGCCTGTTGGGTCAGCAGGTATTCTGCTCCTCTTAACTCACAGCCCCCCAGTGATAAATGTCAGCCAGGTTTGTTTCACACTCCCATTTACACTCCGGTGGAATCCAAGGCGGGTGTGCTCAATGAGACTCCTTATGTAGAACGGTTATGAAAGAAAGTAGGGGGGAGGAACAGAGCATGGTGCTAGATGAGGGGGCTGAAAGATCACGTGAGCACACCAAAGAGCAGGAATCCTACTATGCTGTGACGGTCGCAGGGGAAAATCCTACACATGAAAGTGTGGGAAAATAGGTCATATCTATATTTCAAAAATGTCATGCCAATTAAACATGTAGATATACTTTCAGCATTTTTTCATCTTTATAAATAATGCATTTGAAATGATTGCTTATTGATTGAAGTAATCTATTTCAAATGCCACAATTAGTTTGTTTTCATTAGGGAATTGTTGGCCCATATTTATGCTTGTGTGCTACCGCAGCTCTTTGGAGAAACTTCTAAATGAATCTTTCCAGACAGGGTGCCAATATTTCCTCTCTGTTGCAGTAGAATATCCCTCTACCTTTCAAGGTAACAATAAGTTCTTATTTAATTACAAAGAAGATATTTTAATTAAAGGGCCCACAAATAAAGCAAATGACAACATCCTGAATTTACCTGCATTTCACTAATAGATCAATTTGAGGTATCAAAGTAAGTTTAGTTTCCTTTCATCATATTTCTGTGAAATAACAAGGTTTAGGTCAATTATCCAGCATATCTTGTATTGCTGTTTTCTTTAATATGTTTTTATTGAATTGGCTCTAAAGCCTCTGCAAATTTAGAAAAACAATCAAATTATACCAAGCAATTATGTGCACCGCAGAGCAAATTACAAATTGTAATCTGCGATGACAATGAGTACCTACCACAAAATATCAGGAGACTGTTCATTAGCTAACGGCAGATAAAGATCCAAAAGCAGCAATATTTTGCTCAGTAGCGCAAGATTTTGAATTCTTGACCGTGTGGAGCATCCTTTCTTGGATCAAACAGGAAAACAGCAGGCCTTCTTATCCTTTCTTGAGATTTAAATCTTTTAAAGTGGGTCACAAATCTTATTTTAGGTCTTCCTCGAAGCAGCTGCCATTGTTTTTAGTGGGCCCAAAACAGTGGTAAACACGACAGTTTTAGGGTTGTGACTGAAGGAGAAAATGACAAAAAACCCAAACAAACATGCAACATAGATCCGGTGCTTCTCCTCCAAAAGACAGTTACTCGTTCAGTTGTAGTTCAATGAAGTTCCAGTTAAATCAGAGGTTTAGAACAAAGGGAGTCGCCTAACTCGAGCTGAATTCTGTATCAAAATGAACACATGTTCTGCTGAAATGATGCCACTGTGGGGGTCTAAGCTGCCAGGGTAGCACACGGGAGTAGTTGTGTTTGATGTTTCACTAGCCTTCAATGGGTTAGACAAATCATCATTATTGCGCTGTTATCTGTGTTGCTGCCTTGTTACTGCTGTTTTTTTCCTCTTTAAAATTACCGTCTTTTTTCTGTTGCAGTACACCTTTCAAGAATCTTCAGACAACACATCAACACTACTGACTGATTACATCATCTGTGATACTGAGCTTTACATGAACCTGGGAAGCTGGAGGTTTTCCCTGTGTGACACCAGACCTCTTCTTTAAATGAGTAATAGGTCATGAGGCAACATCATTGTGAATATTTTTGTTGCATCACGTATGGGCACATCTGCTACGTTGCTGTTGCCCAAACTACTGTATGAGTCATAGCGTGGTATGGCATAAGTCATTTCCCCAATGCGATACTGGGGCCTCGTCCAGCCGACATTGGGCAAAGGCGGGGTTCATCGAGGACAGGTCCCAAGGGCTCGGTCATTATAATCTGCTGGGTGGCAGAATTCTAAGCAAACTGACTCTTACCAGAGTGTCATTTGCATTTATCATAGGAGAATTACCCTGACTCTATAAACGTAAGTCCAGAAGGTGCCGCAAAAGAATGGCGGGGAGTTGCGGAATGTTCTGGGTTTTTCCACTGACCTTATTATTGTTTTTTTAGAGACTTTTTACCATGTAATCAAGACATAGACCAGGGCTGGTAATGGAGGACTGCAGATATCTGTCCACCCGGACAATCGACTGGAAGTGCAATGTGAAGGCTGTCTAAAGTGTACACCCGGGTGTAGTCTGAGTTTAATAGATTGAGGAAGCTAAGGTCTTTCCATGTCAGCAGGAAAATATTGTATGTCTTTTACACACATATAGAAAATGCAATCTGCTTTGCAGTCGTCTGCTGAATCTGCAGCATCGGAGTCAGCCGTTCAAAGAAAATGCATAAAGTTAGTTCAAGTCAAAAGAGGGCAGAATGCTGCACAAACAGTGGAAAACACTGCACATCCTGAACACAAACTTGTGATCAAATACAGTTTGATGGCAATTTGAAGTGTGGCAAGTCAGGGGCTTCATTCACTCCACTGCACAATTAGTTTTTATACAAATTTTTTTTTTCTATGGCACAAAGAAGATTTCCCATTTAGGGATTCAAGAATTATGGGCCTGTGTCCCGATAGAAGTGATTGTGCACCCACCTCATAAACTATAAATATAACACTCATTGGAAATATCAAAGATTGGTCAATACTGATGTGCAAACGTGCTCAGGATGGGACCGTTATCATTTAAGCGACTTACACACACACAAACACAGACTTCATGCATTCCTTTGGACTCACTGCCTCGCTGTTACCTTTCCCCTCCTTCCAACCCCCCATTCCTCCCTCCCTATGTGTCCTTGATGTTGTGATTGACTGTATCTGTGCTTCAGTGTAAGAGGTGTTTTTTTAAATCACTGCTACGTCCCCTGGAGGGGGCGTGGCATTGGGCCTTTTTTTCCCTTCTCCCCGCAACTGCTTTCCCAATGTATTCTTTTTGGTTCTGAAGATGTCTTGGCGCCGAAAATGGCTGCCTCGGTGCTTTCACCAAAGCAAATTCCTTGTATGTGTAAACCTACTTGGCAATAAACCCCAATTCTGATTCTGATTCTGATTCTGATCAAATACATCACTTGCTGTTGTCATTGGGCGTTCTTATGGCAGATAATATGCATAACGATCCGTTCGGGAAGCCAGAGTGAATAAACGTTGTGGATTTGGTGATGTTTGGATAAGAAATGTACATTTTCAGTGGTCATGGTGTGCTCATTAAATTCACAGGTTCTCTTGTAGAGCACGTTTGAAGGCGATCTGGTGAAAATTTGTTCAAAAGAGCAACAAGTGGCTCTGTAAAGGCAGTTGTTGCTCTTTTGAACAAATTTTTCTTTTCCACATTCCCTTGAAGTGGTACACAAAACCTGAGTCCTGAAAAAGTGTGATTTGTTTGGTACAAATGTTTGTGTTTCCTTTTGTATACTTCTTGGATAGCTGTCACTTGGCTAAAAACAATATACAGCCAGATCCGGTCACTAGTCCATCACAGGGCACAAGATCAATCTGCATTGCAAATCTAGTCTTATTCTAATAATATCTACAGCTACCTTGACAACATGGGAGCAGAACTGAACAGTTTGCAGTGAACAGGTTCAGACAGCTGTCGTTTAAATGCAGCTGTGAGCAGTGGAGTTGAAGTAATCAACCAAGGTTAAAACCAGTCATTCAACCGTAAACCGCAGGAAACTGACACATGTTTTACAAATAGAGTATCATTGCCTAGGAGGTGTATTCAGCATGGGATAAATGTTATTTCCTGACTACAATATCCATTTGCCAATGTCAGATAATGTCTGTGCAGTTTGATGTCTTCCTCACTGCATTTGTTGAGCTGCAGCCATAACAGAGCGCATGTTCTTTCACCAAATGAAGCTTGAGGAGATTTTTAAAAAAGACTGGTTCTCTTTTATTCTCTCTCTTCTACTGTGGAGAACATAAACTTTCCCTGCAGCTCTATTCTGTTTGTCACTTCCGCGTTCTCCCAATCCTGCGGGCCCTGCTTTCACCCAGTAATCTAGTTTCCCGTTTTGTCTGCACTAATCTGCTCATGGGTTTCATTTTTTGAATATTGTAGTTATTCCATCCCTGAGCTTTTGGGCATGTTTTGTAAATCCCTGTTTCTCCTCATATCCTGCCTTTTATCTTCCCAGCCATCACAGGAATACCCCACCATATTCCTCCTCTTACCCCCATCCTCATGCAGGGAGATGCTGCCTCTCATCGGAGTCTAACATGCCTGTCTTCCACAGTGAGTTTTCCTTTCTTGAAAATGTTGTATCCTTTCTAAAAGCTCGTAATTAACAAACAATTAAGGTAAAAATAGCTCATGATCATGTTCTCTCTGTTTTATTGTTCCACTTTGTAAGAAAATATATTATACTTCTGCACCAATCCTCAGGTTTTGAGGTTGAGGGGCTTCATTGCCATCACAACAATGCCTATCCTCACAGAAACAGGTTGATATTATCTCTAGAGGTTTATACTCAGATTGTGGTAACAATCTGTTAGCAAGTAAAAGACTAAATGCAATGATTACTTAAATTGGTATACTCCTTTTTTTAAACATAGTTCTTTCATTTTGGACCTAGCTAGTGTGGACTATGTTCCTTTAATTACAATAGGTTTAAGCAACAATACAATGTTTTTTTCAATTTGTATAAATGTTTAAGGTAAGCAGTTAAGAACAATTGACATCTCAAGTCATGATTTTGAAACCTGTAAAGCTCAGAGTCAAAATAGCTAAAGTCTAATAGAATGGGAAGTAATGAGATGTAGAGGTATGCTGAGGTGAGACAAACTAAATGAACATCACTTACTTTGAATTTGTCGACTTCCGTCTTGGAGCAAGTGGCATGGTAAGACAGAACCTGTAAAGCAATGACAAAGCCACTCAGACTTCTTTTTTTTTCAAATAATTGAAATCCCCTTTTGGACAAAGGTATTAATGCATGTTAGTGGACCTCGCAGCAGGGGAATAGAGCACTGATGTCAGCACCATTCCATCACTGGTTCCTCTCATTTCCTGAGAGAAATGCTTTGCACAGACTTGCTGCTGCTTATTTGATCATAAATGCTCATGTTTATGCAAAGATGCAAGAAGCAGAGCACACAAACTTTATTTCATTCTGCTCCTCTCATCTTAGAGCTTGATCTGTTTCCAGCTATCTTTTCCTGTTTCTCTTTCCCATTTTGAAACACCGGTTCTAACTATCATAACACACCCAAAAGCTCCCCATTGTAATCTAAGGACGAACTGTAAAGGCTGACTAGTGCTGAATGGCTACAAACCACGGGGCAGATGAGGGATTGCTTTTCACTGCCTCTCATTAATTTTCAATAAAACCTTTGTGAAAAGGTTATCTGCAAAGAGGGATCAGCACTTTTTTCATACGTACATTCTTGTGGAAATATGAGACTATAAAAAGAAGTACAAAGACCCCTGAGAGGGAAAAAGTGGGGGAAAAAGACTTTACATTTCCCATGTAGCAGCTGTTGGTTCCTTTGACTTCAGGGTAAATGTGTCACCCTTGAGCATGTGTTGACTTTAAGGAAAAGTAACAGGAAAAGGAGAATTAATAGGATACAAGATCAACCTAAAAAAATCTCAGGGTCATAGCAAATATAAAGCCAATTCAAGTCTTGACATAAGAAGCTGAGGCCGTACAAACTGAGCTTTGGTCTAAATTCTAAGAAAGTTTGCTCTGTAATTCTGTGTGGCAGCAACTGCAGTTAACCAAAAGGTTCACGGTTGAGATGTTCTTACATCCAAAGCAACGGACTGCTTGGCCCAAGACTTCTTCACCTGGTCGTACATGATGGTGTTGTTTATCCCCAGCCCACAGAAAATCACAAATGCCTTCAAAAAGAAAAGATTATATTGAGTAATCCCAATTTCTAAACCCATGGAATATTTACAAAAAAACAAACACAAGACACAAGCAAGAACAATACCTCAAACAGGCGCTGGTCTGCATCATCAAATGGCTTTCCATCCAGTCTGTTGAGCACTTGAGCGACACCTGTCACACAAATATATTTTTTATATGTATCAGATGAAGCACTGATACTTGACTCTTGATTTGTGCTCCAGTTTTTGAAGGCTCAAACTCACAGACAAGTTATCCAACGATTAGCATTGCTGGTACACATTTAACAAAAGTATAGTTTTAACCGTGGGTAAAAGTTGTGAACGTAAAGTATAAAATGACAAATGACTCGGGGGAAGCTGACACTCAATTACTGTTTTTTTTTTTAGAGGGACAATTACTGTCCATAATGCTGCTGTGGGACCGGTTAGCTTCTCCCATCATGTAATTAAATAATAATAATAAAGCGCTAACATTTAATTGATCGACTTATTTATATTGTCACCAAGGAATTAAGCCATAGAAATATCACACAACACTTCACTATTATCATTTATGCCTAAAAGGTCACACAACCTGCCAATGTTACATTTTAATTCCAATCTGTAATTGGAAATAAATTAGCACTGCAATTTTCATTATAGAGCCACCGAATTTGAAGTGCAGTTTTGATGTTTTCTTAAATGTTCTATCATGACAATTGTACTCAGCAGTCTTTGATGAACAGCCGTATAATCAGCCCCAAGCAAAGGCAACATAACGTGACAGCTGATGCCCGTGGCAATATTTTCATCACTACCATTCTCCTACTCTAACAAGTGTTGTGAATTTTCTTTTTTTACAATAATTCATAGCTTCAGTACAAGTTTTAAAATAGATGACCTGGTGTGTTGTGTGACTGCACAGTGCAGTTTATTCACAGAAGGCGATCTATGGAGGGGGTGTCAAATTTTGCTTAGTGCTTCACAAAACCGGACCTGAGCTGCAACCAGCTCAGCACAGTGTTAACCCAAGAGGAATAATATCAACCAACAAAGCTGAATTAAAAGTTGTTTTTGTACTGGGGCTCTTTATTAAAATGGGATATGAAGGAAATAATTATTCACATTCCGTGCAATGGCAACAATAGATAGTTAGCATAACTGTTCTTAGTATTCAGAGAGATTATTATTATTTTTCCAATGCTCTACTGTAGAATATTACAGTTAATCACCTTCTTTTGAAAGAAAACTTTAACAGGATAAGTCAAAGTAATAATGTAGCCTCCATTCAAGCTACATGCGGCTTGGCAGTAATGTATGAGAAATCCCAATTTTTCAATTATACATAAGGTAAGTTCCCTGCCATTTTGGGGAAGAAAAAGCAGTGTTAGTTAGTTTCCTTTTGATACGATGAACCACAAGACCTGTGACAAATCAATGTGCACAATTCAAATCAAACTGTATTGGTGATTGCTTGTGATCAAATGGCAATTCAAACAATGAAAGTCTACAATTATTATAGCAATTCAAGTAGAAGCAAAAGCTAAATTGCTTTCACAGACATCATCTGGCTTCTTAAATGGGAGTGTTGTCATTGCATTTGAAAATAAATCCTTCACATTATAAGTGCAGTCACAGCTGCAGTAATCAAAGTGAAGTTTAATGGCACATTTCTGTTTAAAAAAACAAAAGAAGAATCAGATGTGAAAATTGCCAATAATGTGTCATGATTTCTTGTTACATTTTGAATTAGTTGGCTGTAACTTCAGCAGATGACACAAGAAAATTCATTTTCTAAGTGACTGTATCTTTGACTGGAGAATTTCATCTCTGCTGCTTTGTTTGTATAATGATTTTTCACTCAGCATCCTCAGGTGCCACCCACGCTCTGCACTTCTTTATCCCCTCACTCTTTCGGTTCTTCTTCCTCTTTCGCTCTCCCCTCCTTGAGAAATGCACTTACACCTACGCAAAGACGTGCTCAGGTCTTAACTAACCATCTGCAGCAGATATGCTGATCACTTTGTACTCAAATAAAACTAATGACTTCCTGCGTCAGATCCTGGCGGACAGAGTGGAGCAGCTATCATGACTTCCCTCTGCAATATCCAGCACCAGAACCAGACGAGAGATCAATGATTTATCAGAGTGTCAGTCTGGTGTTAGCCCACGGCTGATTCACAAACACAAAGCATGTCGGCTGAAGAAGGGAAACTACACCTCCTGCACAACGGGAATCTCATCACACACAAGAAGGCTAAGCCGTACACATACATATCCACTGTTGTTGGATTTATGAAGGGAAAAAAATGCACCTGCAACCTGGTAACTAGCATAAATGTTACATGTAGGCCGAACGTGTTTGAGGTTGATCTGATTCCATTCTTCAATCATTATACTATATGACACAATTACCAATAACTAAGTAATTCCAATCTTTGAATGGCATTTTAGACTGGGTCAATACGTGGCACCATTAACAAGAAACCTCTTTCTTGTTTCAGCTGTGTTCCACAAAAAAAAAGTTTTGGAGTAGGAAAAGTTGACTGTATGAATGTAGATCATCTTATATAACACATATGGATAAGTTGGAACAACAGCCAATGTTTTCTCGAGCGCTCTGCATCCTGTTTTTTTATCTGTAGAAAGTGTTATGGAAGGATTCACAGACAGGTTGAATAACAAAGTTAGGCCATTAAATCCCAAAACATGTACATATCAACCTAACCGATATCAATTTTAGTTTAAAATCAGTTTTAACGTTATTTCCTTCATTTCTCGTTTTCGCACTGGGAACATATTTAAGCATGTGTTGATAAAGCACTTGATAAAGATGGCTATTCTTTAACAGTCACGTGTTGTCTGTTGAGTTAGTGTACTAATGTGTGGAGAAGGGTCTATTACTTTACTTACCAATGATTTGGTGGTTGCTGTTCCATATAGGGACACAAAGCACAGATCTGATATGGAAGTCAGAGAACTGATCAGCCTACAAAAAAAACAAAAAACACTTTTAAAGTGATGAGTATAATTAGCCATTAAAAAAAAACATCAGTTAAGAATGCATTCTGATTTAATCTGAACATATTGGAAAAACATGCAGCATTAGAGGCATCTTTAAAAGTAGATTTTTTGTTCTTTAAAATGAAGCACTTAGAGGCTGAAACTCGGCTAGAGCTTTAACACATCTATTGAAAAATTCAAAACTATATTCAGGTTTCTTGTAATAAATTTACCACTGGACTATTAACTATGCATACACGCCTCAGCTCAAACAGAGGAGAGATGACTATGTACTTAGAAATATAGAAACTCCAGTGCTCCAAGTGCAAAGGAAAGCAGCATGTTGCTATCTATTCATTTCAGTGAGTGCCTGCTGGTAACTCTTTCGCACAGCAAAGCAGCAGCAGTAGTATAATTAACTAGGGAACACTTTCAGATTTTCTGTCACTGTTTCTTAAGGTTGCCCATGTCAAGCTTCTGCTGCCTGCAGCTGGATGCAGAAAGGATTGCTGGTATTTTGTCAAGATCTGTGCAATTTCAGCACCAGCTGCTGCTGATATTGCTTTCTACTTTATCCTACAGAGACAAATTGACAGCTGACTGGCACACGGTGCCAGCTAGAACAAGATTTAATGCTGGTCATGACAAAAGTACTACCTCAAGGGCAGCGGGGCCTTACTTTTGATCTTAAAGACAGTTCTGAAAAAATGTTTAAGAAAACAAAACACCAGTTTTACTGACTGACAGCCATTTTGATCTACATGAGCTCTTCATACTTGGATGGAAATATAAAAAGATAAGATACAGTTAAGTAAACAAATTAGATCCAGCTTGAAGTGTTCTTTGCAGAGAGCCTTACTGGTATGTCAGACTTTCTTATATGTGTCTGCTTGGACCAGCAGAGCTGACAAATACGAGGTGAATGGACCTTTTATATTTTTAGCGTTTTTTTCAGGAGACACGTAACGTTAAAGTCTGCTAAAGAAGTGGCATTCAGACATCTGGACATGTTCATTTTTCTGTCTGTGTTCCTCTGGAATGGGCTGAAAATGTATCTGGGATGAATATTGAAACACCCAAAGACCAAGCTTCAGTATACAGTGTAAAACCCAGATTAGTGAAAATGATCAGAGAAACGTCTATCAAGTTTTATTCTCATTTCCCTCTAGATAAAATCCCACTGAAAGGCAGCTTCTACCTCAGCATCAAAGCGAGGATCCTGATAGGCGTCGCTAATGTTGACGGGGAGTCCGGTGGACGCCACCAGCTCTGCGATGCTGTTGTTGATCAGCCAGTCGGAGTAAGACGATTTCTCCATACTGTCTTTGAAACTAGGGGCAGGAGTAAAAAAGAAAGATGACAAAAGAGCACAGTGAGTAATACTGCTGAATCCAGTTTAATTCTCAAATAAGAGTTTTCTCTTACACTTCATTTTTTCTTCAGAGAATTTTGTTTTAATGTCAAACAACTCTTTTTTTAATACTTGAAACACTTGAGTAAGGTGCTCTTACATCTCCTAAATGTCCCTAACTTACTTTAACTTTTTAAAATGAGCTCTTCATATAGTAGATGTCAGGAAATATCTTCCGCAGTTTATGAAGGTATGAAAAGTTAATTGTCTGACTGTCTTCCTCCTTGCCGGACAACCCCACATTTTTGCAAAAGGAACACCTAAATCAATGCTCACTCCTCTAATTAGGATTTATTGCAGAGTTGTTGCTGAACTGTTACTTTTAAATGAACAAATCAAATGCTCTTTTTGGTTTATTTGACCATTTAAGAATAAAGATGGAAAGATAGTGATTTGGATCCAGAGGTGCAGTGACAGATGTGAAACCCAATGTTAGCCATAACATAAACCTCATCATTTGAATGCTTTACCTTCTGCTTACTTGCTCTCTTTCCCTTTTCTCCCTGTCAGTCATTCCCTTTGGGAGCTGCTGTGGCTTATGGGCACATTAGAAATTCTACAGTTTTTCCACTTTTTGACACCAAATCCTCTTACTGAGTTACACACAGCACATTGACATTGATTCAGATGCAAGCCTTTGGGCAGACTACTGTAATCACAGAGATGCTGTACTTCATAAAATTCCAACAGACTGAAATTGTACTGTTTTATTCGTTGGATTCACCAAGTGAGGGGAAAATCACACATCAAAAAAAGATGTTGGGACAGAGAGGATGAACTGGCCTGATATGTTTCGAGTTTTTGTTACAATCTTATCCCTGCTGCTATTATGCTTCAGATTCTTAAGCATAATACATCATACATACCTGTTTTCGGTGTCGGCACTGCACTTTGGGGACAGGAGCTCAAAAGACTTTGTGAACTTGACCACCTGAAGCATGTGTTAAGATAAGAAATCATAAAAGGAGGAAGCACAAAAACAAAATTGAGGCAAATTGGAAGAGAAGGCTTGGCCCAGCACAAATGCTCTGACAGATAGACATATACACAGCAGGACAAGAGCGGAAAAAACACTACCGGTGACTCAATGTCCTCCAGCAATTGAACAGAGCAACGCTCGCACTTAAGCAGTGTCTGGGCACGGTGCATGATCTTCCTGACAATTTTCTCCAGGTCAGTCTGTTCCTCAAACAGGTCGTTTACTACCTCCAGGAGTGCCTGAACATCGGAGACAGAGAAGGAAGACTCTGGCGTTATTCCCAACAAAATGAGCCACATGACAATACAAAACCCACCAAATGAGAAATCTGCCAGCAGGTGAGATAGAGGCCACTTTAAATCAAAATGTTTTGCTTCGCTCAGCTGTTGGAGCCTGATTATTATCATTATCCTTATACCATAAACCAAACGGATGATATAACATCATTACTTTCTCCAATAAAAGTAAATTAGGCCCTTTATCTAAGGCAGTGCCGATCCAATTGAATGCACAGGCACATAAAAATCATATGGTGTAAAGGGAGCTCGCCTCATTTTTCTCTTCTCTTCGCTGAACTGTGATCTCATTATGTTCACTTCCATCACAGATCGATGTGTGACATGAATTAGTGCATCTCTTAACATTCCCGAGGAGATGTAGATCACAGACCAACCCTTCATCTGGATAGAGACCCATCCCCCCTCGACAGATCTAGAAAAAGTGCACGTGCAAGATTGCATGCTGCTCGGTTATCCCCACTGCAGTGGCAGCAAAAGGGGCTGCTGCTGATCAATAAAGAGCCTCAACGTCAGCAGTGGGGGAAGGAAGTAAAGCGGGACGAGGGGGCGATTATCCCTGTTGTCCCCGTGGTCCTTACCCGACTCCTGTCGTACTCCTTCCTTGAGGCGGCAAAGAGTTGAGCATTGGAGATGGCAATTCCACAAAAGGGCAGATACATCTGCAGGACCTGTGGACACACATTAAACCTTTATAGTATTATGAAGCTACAGGTATAAAACTGTTGTTGTGATACGTGTCCATTTTCTCTAAACAGAACCCTCTGTGCACTCACTTCATGAGCAGTGCAGAACACTACGGGACACACAATGTGTGTCTCAATGCATGCGTATCGTTTTGTTTAGTTAAAACTCAGTACGCTATCTGTAATATTATACTGTTAAAGAGTGATATTTTCTTTCAGGAAAGCTAGGCATAGAAATTGGCATTTACACATAAAACAGAAAAGCATATCAATTCAGCTAATATGTCACCAATTGATTGAATGATCTTAAGACATTGCGCAGATTTCCCTTTTCCCTTTCTCACTTATATTTCCATTCATAATATCATCACATGATATGGTCTAATGACCACAGTTCATTTACATTAATCAAATCAAAGCCTCATTCATTTGTGTTCGAGCTAAATTTCTCTCCTCTGTCCCACCTTAGTAGATTTAAACACATAGCTCGTGTGGAAATGGAAAACAGGAAGTGGCTGAGACATATGTGATCCGGATGTGCAGCTTGAATTCTCTGTCAATCGTCCTACAGTGAACCCTTATCTGGGAGACACTCACTCCCCATAACATAGAATCAATAGGATTTAAGGTCATGTGCTTGTTTCTGTGCCTCTTTGTTTCTTTATCTATCTTAAGCATCTAGCTGCTGTGTAAACAATGCAATCAGTACTGCTAACCCACTGACATTTACTAGCCATCAGCATGACCTGAAGGTCTGGACATCACAACAATGCATGAATGGGAAGTTACTCAGCTGTGACTGCTGATACAAGGGTATCTCTTTTGCCCTCAAGAAATGTTTATGTAACTTATTCACAACTCACAAATGAACATTTGAAGAACAGCATAATGTCAAATAAATAAATACATTTAAGACCTACACTTGTGTCCTACTCACGTACGACTTCCAGCTAAGAATCCAGACTGAAATCAGATATCAAAAATATCATTTTTGCCTTCCGCCATTTTATGGAAGTGTGTATTTGACACCTGCCACACTTTTATTAATATCTGTTTCCTATTATCCGTCCGTTTTAGAGTCTCTTTAAGACAAGATACATTTTTATAATGCTAAAATTGACCATTCTAATTTCTAAGTAACGGAAATGTTTATAGAGTGCCCTATTTTTATTCATCACAAAATTCACAAAAGCAGAAATCTTTTGAGGCCTGTCAATCTGATGTGTACATTATAATGCGCATCAGAATCATGCCAGGCAAACAATGAATCATTCATTTAATTGCTTACCACATAATTAATCACAGTGTGATATGAGATACTTCTTCATCATGAGTAAATCAATGCTGTGCGCTTCTTTCAGTCTCTCTCCATAATCGAGTGTCTTATGCGCTTGTTTTCAGATACAGAGGACACATGACGTTAAGCAATAAGTCCATAATAAGTCCATACGTAATGCTATTTCAGCTGTCGTATGGAATTCTCAAATAATGATCTTCCAGAAAGGCAGTGGCCATCAATATCCCCAGCAGGAGCAGATTCATTAGCGAGCAGGACTTTGGGGATCTGGCTATAGATCTGCCTGTGGAACTAACAGGCAAGCTCAAGAAGAGCGCTGCTCTCTCTAATTACATTCTGTCAGGGAGGCCATTACACAAGGTTGCATTATAAACAAGACGATTTTGCCTGGAGACCTCAGAACTGACCAGTAAAGAATGGTTTAATAAAATTGAATAAATAAATAAATAAGTCAAAATAACTGGCCAAGGCCCAAGGGAATGTCAGTTTCTCTAATCTCAACGACTTTCTTTTCCACGACTGTTATTTCTTGTGAAGCGAGTGGAGGAAAATCTCCCAGCCGACCTTTTATTTGTCCACGTCTCCATGTGCTCACCTATTAGGTGACAGAAATGTGTTCTTATTGCATTTAGGATGAGGATAGTTTTGTCTCTCTCATGAATAAAAATGTTTCCAAAAAGCAAAGGCTCATTTAGTGCCAAGATCAGTTGAATCAACATATACCTGGCAGCCACTATACCTGGCAGTCATTCCACAGGGGGAATTACAGGCTTGTGAGATCACTAAGAATTAATGATCAAGAATGATGTCATGTGTTGATCTGCTGTGTGACAGTTGGAGGCAGTTATGAGTTTATTAGAAAATTTAAGACCTTGAAATTGAGTGAATAAAGCAAAAATGTTTTGGGGAATTTATTTCAAAATCTGAGTAGAGCAATGTGGCATGCTTGGAAATGAATCAAGATATATCTATTTCAGCTGGAGCTCTCTGATGTGTGGAACAATGTTTGCTCAAATCTGTCTCTGGCGGCCTAACAAGCTACTCGCTCTCTGTATGGCTGCTTCCTTCACGTAGCAATGAAGTAACAGCTAAGAAATATGTTATGATGCCTATTTTTCAAAGCTGTCAATATAAATCTTGGATGATCTAATAAAGAATAAAGCTTTGGTACGGTATGCATGCTTACACCTGACACTACGTGCACTAAATGTTTTAGTCCAACTAGTAACATTAAAATCTGTTCACAGTTGTGGTATCTTAACGGCAACGTTTGTGCAATTAAGTTGGCCTTACTTGAAAAAAAAAAGCAGTCACTGTACATATTTAAGTGAAAAACTTGTTTTTGACCAATGTAATACAGAGAGAAAAGATTTGGGCCAGCTGCCAATGGGGGTCAGTTCAACAACCAAAACACGGCATTTTCACTGCACTGAACAAAAAGTTGTATGCTTTCTTACCTTTACAATGTTTGCTGATACTGAAATGGCTGCATGCATAAAAATTAAGGAGTCAACGGTGAAATGTTCTAAACGATAAGCTTTCACCCGAGAGATTGCTGGTTCAAGACTCATCCTGCACAATTTTTCCACAGTCGTTGCACTTTTCCACTTTCCTCCCACTTGCAATTAGTTTCTCTTCTACTGCACTGTCACCCATGAGTGGTTAAGACATAAAAATAGATAATTAAGATTAGGGTTTATGCACATGGTTAGGAATCCATCTCATCGAATATACAGTTGGACCCTCTTAAAAATATAAATGATCTTACATGTTTTACTATGTGCATTGTGCATGGACACACAATGCAATGAGAGCTACTACTACGACAACATTTTTGGCGAGCGGACAAATTTAATGGCTGAACATTTCCTGGAGGAAAATGGCTGTTTGAGATGTTAAAAGGCCGTCTGTCACTGCACCTCGGCTGACAAATGTCAAGAAACCTGAGGCTTTTGGAACTCTCTGCAGTTCTGTTGGTGGGCCCGTCTCCGTTCAGACATATGAAGAAAAGCCTGACACTGGTAAACCACTCACAGTAAAGAGTAAATCCACTCCAAGCAATTCAAGCCATTTTCTGTTGTGCTGTGCCAACAGTCAGAGACCACTTCCAAATTAGATTTTAGCATTCTGAACTCAATGCGTCTTCAATGCATCCTGAGCCTTTCCTCCTGTTCCCAGGCCACACGTTTGAACCTGACGTGCACGGGACCCTAAATTAATTCCACATGTCATCTAGAAATTAATGAGACCCCACAGGATGTGTGTTTATGGGAACCATATCAACAAATTTAACCTTTTTTGACAGATAGGATGTGCTATTGCCCATTAACCCGGCTAAGATGTAAAAGAAAGAATAAGTTATTCCTTGAGACACTTAAAATACACCATGCACTGTCATTAGTACTTAGTTTTTTGCTAAAAAAGCAGCAATACATTTACCACTTTAATACTTCATTGTGAAATTTTAAACAAGTCCATATTATCTGAGTCAAGAGAGAGCCAGGTGGGATTTTAATGATACAATTCCAACTGACAACATGTTCATTCATGAATTCATGTCTTTGTTCACATTAATGGAGAGGTGTGTTGCTCAACAGGAGGTGATTTGGTGTCTCGTCTGACGTCACCTATTGTCACCCCCAAGGATAGCAAACATGCAGAGAGGACATAAATATTTCAGATAGAGAGAGAGAGACTGAGATTAAGCTTTAACTTTTCCTTTTCAAGTGACTATTAACAGGGTTTCAGGCACATAAGGCTTAATACAATCAATATGTTCTGACAGAAAGATTTGTATTCTGACTGGGCTAATACTGTGGTCTTTAGAGGATTATGGGAGGTCCTGTGCATTCAATCGTACAAAACTTCATCCAAATTGCAATAAAAACTTTTTTTTTAAACTCTCAAACCAATAAATTAGCATTAATAGCAATGCTGAAGCAACTGTAAATGTATCTTTTCTCTCTTCCTGTTTGTCCTACCAGTGATAGAAAAAGATCAATTCAAAATTTACAATCAGATCATTGGGCCCTTGCTAAAGGGGCCCTTTCAAAACTGTATTTATTTCTTTATTTATGCTTAATGTTCTACTTCTAGGGCTTCTGGTCTTTGTTTTTGGTCTTTGGTGTAGAAATGTAACGCTTTGCTAAAGAACGTGTACAATGTGACTACTATTCGTTACCCAATAATCTAATTTCCTGTCACTCTCAAAGTATTCCTAAAGTCTCTATGTGCTCACAGAATCTTCCTTAAGAGTCTTCTTAAAGGCTAAACTATATTCTAACATTTAAAATCTACTTTGCAATCACTGTTGTTGTTTCTCTGCGCTTTAATAGTTTGCAAAGAAGATTAATATAGACATGTTGTCTTGCTATCACATGGGACACAGTTAGCAAATATCACTAAGTGGGACTATTCTCTCCCGATTCAAGAGGGATTCTGAAACATTTTTAGCACTTTGTAAAGAACATGTTATGATGCTCTGTATCAATTTAATTTGATCTAATATTTCCCTGGAATGTATTAGAAACATGTGGCTTTGGCCTGAAATTGTGTTTACTATTCTTTAACTGCAAATTTAAATGAGTAAATTGTGTGGAAGTGGTTATTACAGCATTGCTTTGAGACAATTTGCTGGGGATGTGGCAGCCAGGGGGAGCTCAGTGATGAGAGCAGAATGTCTTTTGAAATGAACTCACACAGATGTTAAATTGTTTTGGCAGATGGAAACTGCATGGGTGAACTTGGAGCTTGGTAAGAGATAATTCAGGAAAATGTCTACCTGGGAATAATGCATTTTATACTAATGCTGAAACAGGATTGGTAATTTGCACCAAAAAAAAAATCAACTTTGAAAAGTAATTCCAAACACACATAGATTTAACATTTTAAAAATCGTCGAGTGTCAACAGAACACAAGGAAGGCAGTGTGGGATTTAAAAGCAGCGCTGTAATGTGCTCGAAAATATAAGCACGTGTGGAGATAATTACTTTTGATGAAGGTACATTGAAGCCTTTAATAACATCTGTTACTGCCATGTCATTTCATGCTTTAAAAGTATTCATTTTCTTATCTAAAGGTCTTCCATAAAAGCAGAGCTGCAGCTGTGCCGTGCAGGAAGCTTACTGAGTTCTCTGATGCTTCCATCGCTTTTCATTACTTATTCAGCGGTAGCCATCCTGGGCATTAGGGTGATGGTAATGCAGTGTGAAACATACTCTTAAAACAAGGGAATAATAAAAAAGAAACCCCTATTATGAACACAATATGTAATTTATGGGTGTAATTCTTACAGTAGAAGGCCACAGAAAAAATAAAGTGTACCGAGAACCAAAGCCCAGAGTTATTTGTTGAAGTGAAACAAAGAATAAATGCACAAAGGGCTTTGTGCTTTCATGTTTCATCTTCCTTGCCTTTTATGGCCTCATGCAACAAGAGAGCAAGTCAGTGTATCAGGCTGTCATCGCCACTCTGCTACATCTATTCAGGCGTGCTGATGGACCTAAACACGTGCACCCAGTGCCTCTCTGGTGTACAGTCATTCAGAAACAGAAAAGCATCTATCTCAGCAAGTGATGCCTTCCCTTGCTGGCTGTTTTAACTTATCAAATTGCATACTATATACATTCAGTAATATCCATATCAGTGTTTGTGGCTGTTTAAAATTGACTTATCTGATTCCACGTGGAATTTTAAAAAAAAAATCAAAAGTTCAGAGTAGTTTAAAAGGGTTTCTTCACAGATCAGACGTATTTCAGAAATCCCCATGAAAAACTGGAACAGCTGAGGTGTCCAAATTGGCATTAAAGGTCAATGTCAAATGTACCTTAAAATGGTGACACTCTGGTTGTTCTCCTCTGCTGTAAAAATAAGCAATGACTAAAATGGGTGTTCAGCCATGTTTTTTTTGTTGTTGTTTTTTTTTTTTTTTTCTTCTTTTTTTGTGGTAATATTCTGGCCCTTTCCCGGCTGCTGGAACAAACTTCCAAAGGAAAATTAATAATGTTCTGAGACAAACTACAGTCATGTGGGCAGATTTTTATTAAAAATAAAATAGTCTTTCAGCTCGTAGCTTTTATGGATCTGGACAAAATAAAAAACATCTGGTGCTCACCCGCTCTAAAAGTCAGGTAAGTACGACCTCAGATGAAAAAGGCCACTTAATATATTACAACACTTCATTATTTATTAAGCAAAAACTAGGCCAAAATGCAGAAGCACAGTGTGATAAGCCAACTGCACTTCATGCTGGTGAAGAATGCTCTTGCTAATAGAGGCACCTTTAGCAGGAAAAACTTGAAATAATTATTTTCTGTTACAAAGACCATTGCGAAACGCTGGATTCTTTTCAGTTTTAGCCACTATTGCAGATTTTCTGTTGTGTATGGGATCACTGCCCTATCACATTAACCAATTTGACTGTTTGGACTATTAAGTAGATAGATACCCCCAGATTTGAATTAATAACAGTTCACGGTTGACTTATTGAGGTGTTTAGATCCTATAACAACAAACAAGTCCAAATTGTCAGTCCTCCTCCACCACGCCTGACAGTTGGTATGAGGTGCTTTTGGAATTTTTGCTTGCATGCACCCCGTCTCCATAGTTAGACTTTGTCAGTGACTTTTTCAGCAAAATCAACCTGTGGAATCACCAGCATGGCAGTCCAAGAAAGAGCATAGTCTATCTGGCCCTTAAGCGCAGGCAAAAGGTGCACAAGTCAGACAGACTATCCTCTCGTTAGCCATTTTCATTCTTCCCTAATAAGCAACACTTTCACAGCAACATGTTCATGTGGAGTGAGGAAAATGAAGGCAAGTTGATAATCGTGACTCAAGAGAGACCAGCTCTGTGAGACTTCACCACAAAAGCACATCGAACATGCTGCTATGTTTACAATTTTCTCCATTTAATTTTTTTAATCTACACAATTTTCCAGTTTACTTTCTTTAAACACCATACTAACAACTTCTGCTCTTGTGAGTTACGTCTTTGTGGACAGGCACTAAGATTCAACCAGCCATGGATAAAATGTTTCATGTGTGTAGATCAGTACCCAAACACATCATACTAAAGGGTAATAAAGAAAAAAATGGTTTTAATGTTGTAAACTCCTTATTCCCGCCTGCAGGCCCCAGCTGACAATGGGCGAGAGGTGATGTACACCCTGGACGATGTGAACTCATAAGACTGACGATAATAGGATATCTGATATTAATAAGATATGACAGCTACAAGCTGTCATATAAAAAAACAACAAAACTGAATAACATCCCTTGAAATGCCACAAATGAATCATAAAGCATGAGCATTACTTTGGGGTTCTTCTTTGCTCTGTGCTAGAATTCAGCTTGCAGCAGTAATAACAAAACAGCAAATGTTACACTTCTGTAAAGCTGATGTCGGACGCTACTATTGTCACTCGTTTGACTTGGATTCTCACTCTCCATTTTGAGAACATTTGTCATCCAATTACTTTTAAATCAGATGTTATGGAATTACAAAAAAATCTCCCCATGTGGAGAAAAAACTACTTTTTATAGCACATGTTCATTAATCTGATGTTCAACAGCTACAACATGATATCAGCGTCAAATGACACTATGCTGAGTCAGTAATTGGCATCAGTCAAAGAAAATCAATTTTGGGTGGACCACTAGTTTTCTTACTTGTCATGATAAGAGGCTTAATTCAGTGTGTTAGTTTAATTAAATTTGCTACCCTGGGGGCAAATCATGCCATCAGTTCAGTGTTTTAACCCAAAACCATGACAAACGCAACATTTTAAGTGGAAAGGTCACAATATGTCACCCAGAATTTGTTCCTGTTTTATGGCAATTTTGCAGTGATAAGATCACTGATGATTTGTCCTCTGAGGGGCTTTGATGACTGCATAAAAAGTATAGCTTTGCACACTTTGCTGAGCAGATTTTTTGACACACTTTTGCATAAGGATGAAATACCTAAATGGACAGCTGTTTGAGCGATAATTGCGTGACTTCCTCTGTTCATTTGTGACAGATAGAGAGCAAAAACATGACATCCACGGGGTGTTCAGGTACTTTGATGTTTGGTGGGACTTTTTTTTTTTTGAGGAAGCTGTTCTATTTATACATGGATGAGAAATGGTCTGATGTAAAACTGTCCCCATTGTCATCTCTGTTTGTTTTAGGCTCTATAAAGTTGACTGATTGTGACATTGAAACCTTCTTTGAGAGAGGGGAGGGAGGAGAGGGATGGATGTTTACAATTTCCTGCCATGAAATTTACGACCTGTGAGACAAACCAGTACTTTAGAATGAAAACTTAAAAAGCAGATACATCTCGTCATGATCACCAGTGTAATGGTTCAATTACCTTCTCGTCATCCTCAGTGAAAAGCTCTCCACTTAAGGTCTTGTTGATGGCCTGAGCAACTCCGATGATCTCACCATCACTGTTGCGGATGGGCATGCACAAGAGTGACTTGGTTTTGTATCCTGTCAGCTTGTCAATTTCATCACTGAAGCGCCGATCCTGCAACCCATGGGTAGAGCAAAAAGTAAAGACACAATGTAAGAACCTCCTGGAGGGAAAAGGGAGAAGCTTTTGCTTTTCATTTTCAAGTGACGGAGCTCTGAGGGGTGTTCCTGCTCAGATCAACCACTCACTCACATAAAATGTCTGCAGTGGTGGTAGTTTGTTACCATAATGGTAAACTAATACCTGACTAAAAAAACATTTACACAAAGAGAGCTCATTTAGTCGGAAGACTTGATGATACTCTTTTCCTTTTTTTAAGAAGACTCTAAATAGTGGTGCAGGACTTCTGGATTGTTGCATGCTTTAACTCATCAACAATCAACTACGTGAGACACAGTGACAAACTGTGAGAGGATGGACCGTCTCCCTGCCTCTGTCTTGTGAGTCAGACTCGTATGCACACACGCCTGCATGCACAATAAGGAGCAGGCACCTGATAGGCGTCAGGAATGTTCACCGTCTCTCCGTGCTCAGCCACGTAGCCAATGATTCCTTTCCCCCACGGCACCTGAACTTCATCTGAGTTCATTGAGGGCAAAACGGTGGTGCCGGCGTGCACGTCAAAAAATTTGGACACCAATGTTTTCTTGTTGCCGGTTCCCTCCACCAAAAACAGGGAGCAGCGGTCTGCGTCCACCATAATGCAAACAAACACCAGGATTTTGTAGCTGAGACTCGTTAGATCCAGGTCGTTCGATATGTCTTTTACGAGCTCCAGGAAAAACTCTCTTTCGTTGTGTTCCTTGAGGTAATACTTAAAATCCACGGCCGTGGACGGGTACTGGGGGATGTTGACTCTGGACTCCAGCAGTGCGCTCAGGATGTGCGCCGTGGTCGGGGGCAGAGAGCTGGCTTTCCTGAGCAGAGCTCTCCTCCTCATGCTCGTCAGCGGCTCCTGCGCTCTGGTGTTCACATGTTCGTCGTATGTCCTGTTGATGTTGATGGCCTTGGATCGGGCGAAAGTTTTGCGCAGCTCCTTCTGAGACGCTCTCCGCTGCAGACCGTCGCATTTGCTGGCCCAGCTGTCCTTGCACGGGGGGCTCTTCTCCTCCCTGCAGGGCTCGGCGGCGGGAGCCGCGGCCGCCTGACTCTTGCGCGCCTGGTGATTCTTGAGCCATTTCTCCACCATGCTATAATTCCCCTTTCTGTTCAGGTAGTCCTCGAACAGGTCGGGGTGCGAGTCCAGAAAACTTTCCACGTCAGAGAACACCATATTTGCCACAGCCATGTCTGTGCTTCAGGTGGTCCTCAGCGAACCAAAGCCATGCAGCCGCGCAGAGAAATGTCATCTATGAGGCTTTGCAGAGGCTAAAAGTAGAGAATCCCGCCTATCCCACAACTTCCACGCTACACTATGCAGGGAACACCTCTGGAGCTACATTTCCAGTTTCCATATTGCGATGAGAGGGACGGGGAGTCCTTTTGCGCGCCGGCAGATTCCTCCTCAACATCTCCACACCGTTCGTTTATGCAAGGATAATCAACTTGGACCTTAAAGAGGCAACGTAGACGCACGGAGATGCCCGCGCAGACTGTCAGAGGCTCAGAAAAAACCCTCACACGGAGCCAGCGCCGCGCATCAGTGTCGTGTGTGCCCTCTTGTGTGCGGATGACGCCGGCTGTGGTTGGCTCGCTCCCGCTGATGCGCTCCTCGTCACACAGTCAGGAGCTCAGGGTTGCTCCAGCGCTCAGCCCTCCAGCCGTTTGAACCATTTGACCTCCTTTACAGAGGATGCAGAGAATGAGGATGATGATGATGACTTGGTTACATTTAAGGAACAATTTTACTAGATGGCGAGGATGCGTATTTTACACATGTACAATATTCAGACAAAAGGGATTTCCCCCGTTTATTTACTGTGGTCTCTGCCGTGTGGTCCTAAACGCATAGGACCACGTGGTAGCGTGATTAAACTCAAACCTAATAAACGAAAGAGCTCTTATATGGAGAGGTGGTTTGACAGGACGGGAGACACCAGCAGCCATACTGCAGCACCTCTGTGCGTCACGCTCCCCAAACCCCAGACTTTGGCAAATTCTGTACCTGCAGTGATGCTTAACAACTTATACAATTCTGACTTTTATTGCCAGAGTGAGCATGTCAGCAAATCAAATTCCTATATAGGTCCATAAAAGTGAGCGAAGTGCCGTTGCGCCTTGTGGACACAGGAGGGCGGCGCGCGCTGCTCTGCTGGATAAGATGCAGACTCAGCAACTGCTGGGATGGCTGCACAGCTTTGGCTGATGACGTCTGAAATGGCACTCCTTTTCCAGGGAAATCTTTACCTCCAACAGCCAACTGTCATAGATGTCACAGTATAAACTCACCGCAACATACGAAACATGTCTGACACTCAGGCCTTATTGCGCTCCTGTTGCCTTTTCATGGCTAAAGTAATCCCTTATTCAGACTTATTAGAAAAAGGCAACCATAAATCCATACGTTGTTCCATGTTAGAGGAACAAGGTAGCTGTTAAGAAATTAAAATATAAATCAACCAAACACTGTCCCGTCAATCACACCTGTGTGACATTGTGCAGCTGACCATTGTAATAAAGTATAAGCCCCATCAGGGCACAAATAAACATTTTAAAGATTTCAACAAAATGTCACTAAATCAAATCCTTTCTCAACCTAATTTTTTCCATAGGACCAAATGACTCCACCATAACTTTGATATGCAGGTGTATCTAAGGCCATATTCAATGTGAGAATCTCAAAATGTCATTTAGTGTCAGTTTTATTTACCATTCAAACAGAAAAATGATGAGACAACAGCCGCCATAATGACATTCTTCTTTTTTTTCTTCTTTTGGATGAACAATATAGAAAACTACTCAGAAAAACAAACAGACAAGAGGATAACGGTACAGTGCAGCACTCAGCTCCTCCATTCTGAGTGCTCGTTACATTGACTAATAATTTATGCTAGAAAAAGGCCTGTTAAAACCAGGAAATATTTACGCACCAGCAATTGATATCAAAAATCAACGTACAGATACAACCAACATGGAAACTTTGAACACATGGGGACTGGTTGCTATTTTGGTGCAATTTTGGAAAAAAAAAAAAAAAAAAATCCTGGTTTCCTGAGCAGTTTGTCAAAATGTGAAGATGGTTAAAGCTGCACAGAAGAAGAGCTCTTTATGAAGTCGCAGACTTGAGGTATGCAATGAGGTCAGTCCGCTCATTTTTCTTTTTGATGCCAGCAAAGATCATCTTTGTTCCTGGAATGTATTTCTTGGGGTTCTCCAAGTAAATCATCAGAGTATCATCATCCCAGACAATGCCTTGAATTATAGTGAGAAAACAGAGGATAAAAAGTTATTAAAAATGCTAAAATCAATTAACAATTAACAATAAAAGGCTGCCAGTACGGATGAAAAGTAATTACCTTTGCTCTTGTTGGCGTCTGTGTAAGAGTAGCCCTCTGCCTGGCCCGTTTTACGCCCGAACAGGCCCCAGAGGTTAGGTCCAACCTTATGCTTCCCACCGTCTTCAACCGTGTGACACTGGGCACACTTCTGGACAAATGCCTTCTTGCCTTTGTTAATGTCCCCAGGCATATTTCTAAACCAGGCACAAACAGAATTATTTAACAAACGAATACTCACAAACTGATGAGAACGCACACGTGAACAGCTCTGCTTTCAGGCGATTATTCAAAAATCAATCCCACCGTTCAGCCACAAGGGGGCTCTCTCCTCCCAGTTACACAACTACATTTTTTTGCTAATGTCATAAAACTTCGAGATTCAATAGTCCAGCTTCTACTGATGTGCTCTGAAGTTAAAACCAAAGCAGTTGTTGGGTGACTGTACACTTGTGCTTTCTTTATAATGTAAAGAACTTCTCCTTAAAGTTATATCACAGTTTCATCTACGGCCTCCTAAGTACTATTCAAATGTGGCAAATATGTAAAAAATAAGGCTAAATTAAAGTACTGTGTTTTGATTAAACGAAAGAATGAGACATTGTGCGAATAAAACGATCCGAAAAACGGTTTCACATCGAAACCAGACCACGTTGTACGTTAGAAGGAGGGGGGGGGAAATCTTCCCAAAAACGCTATTTTGGGTAGTTTTAAACATCACACCAAAAGTGGCCACGCACGTCAACAAACAAAAAAAACTAATAAAACTTGACTTTTTAATCATTATCGTCTTACCTTTTTTTCTGTAAGTCCTTCTTGGGCGGTTTAAAGTAACTTGTGGCTCCTCGGAATCCGTCTTCCTGCCGGCTTCGTCGCTGTGGTTGTAAAAAACGTGTCTGAGTTCCCTGAAACCAACTCCCCTTAATACGTCAACGGTCAGCTGACCCGTTTCATCACCCAGTCACGTAAAGGCCGGTTGCGAAACGTCAAACTTCCACACTCTCGTTGATGAATTACTTTCAGATCCCAGAACATTCCTCACATATGTTGAATTCCACTTACACACCTCCATAAATAGAGAAAAAAAAAACTTAAAATGCAGAAACGTTTCCCGGAAGCAGACATAATTTGAATATTCTGGACTGAAGCAGGAAACTAAGTTTGAGTGTAAACTAGGAAGTGTTATGGCCCAAGGTTAGAGGGTCATGAGCCAGACTTAGGCTCTGACGTGTGTCGGGTTGGAGGGATGTTTTTTCTCACAGCATAAGCCATCCTAGACGTGGGTAAATGGCAAGTGGTGTGAAGCCCAAGGGGGTCCCGAAGGCCAAAAGAAAATGTTCATTTTGCCCAAGTCTTTGTTTTTTAGCCACTTGTACCCTGAAATGTTCAACCAAATGTTGGCCATGGGGCCAAACAACCTTTGCTCGCTGGGTTTTAGCCATAAAATGCCAGCACGTCACGAGAATGTCAGAGTCCAAGTAGAGGAATCCTTTCCATAAAAGGTGATGGTTAATTGTGAGACGAGCACCAGCAGGTGGAAAAAGTTCCCTCGGACTTTTCAGAAAAGCGACACTCCATTTTTTTTAAGATAGAAAACATTTTGAATTAATTCCTAATTTGTGAAAACTCCAGTTAAACAAATATCAAAAGCTATAGAGAGACAAACGAAACAAAAACCAAAACTGTAATCCTTCATTTTTCTGCTGCTGTCAGTGGAACAGGCTCTGCCTCACAGTTGAATCTATCCACCTCAGGCCAGATATCTCCAGGTGAGGTGACCTGTACTTTATGCTCCAGTTACTCCATGCTGACAAGCAATACTACATCTGTTTACAAAATTCACTCCACTGCACCCCTCTCCATAGACTTCTTTGAAGTTAACCCTCACCACGCAGAGTTTGTTGTTTGTCTAATCTCGATTTAAGATTGACGCGTTGACAGCGGCACTCCTGTAACAAATATTATCACTCATCACCTGACTTTCTTGAGGTTGTCTACACTTAACAAAAACAAGTCTAACTGAATGACATAATTTGAATTCTGGCACAGAGACACAATTTTATAAATTGATTAACCAACAAGCATTCTGATACTATATTACTTGTATTTTGGAAAGAGAAAAAAAATGCCATGATAACTCTCAGTATTAGTTATTCATTTGTAAGTTGTAATGTGCAACTTAGGAAGAAGGAATAAATTGTTTGTTGTATGTAATAATAAGGCTTTCAAACATCAAACTTTGAAAACTCAGGTCTGCATACAATATGCATCTTGTCTACACACATATTGAACTGATTAAAAAAAATAATATTCAAATTCATGTGTATGTACATTTTTTAATGATTTGTTAGAAATCATCAGACATTGGCCTCCAAAAAGCAAAGTAAAACAGATGATTATCGCTTTTCTGTCCACCAGGAGGCACTGTTTAAACCTGTTCCACTGCATGCACCTACATTAAACAAATAAAGTATTTTTCTAACACATGTGGTTAAAAGTAGCGCGATGTATGCGTACTCAACTTGTGTTTCCTTCTTAATTGAAACAAGGCTAAAAATGTCAAATGGCGAGGATAAAAACTACTCAGGCGACTTAAACTGTGTTGTTGCGTTTACTTACCCCCTTCTAGAACCATCCAATGGCTGTTTGCTGCCCATAAATGTACAGATGGGTGCTAAGCGTTGCTAAGCAACCACACTGCCCGAGTATATGCCCTAAACTAAAGAGGGGCACAAAACAGTTTACTGTACAGCTTTTTTTTAATGCAGACAGCAATTAGTCGGGGTTTTCGAATCATTTTTACTTTGAGTTTAAAAAACAGTGAGACTGAAGCAGTAGTATTTGCCCTGTGTTTGGTTGACGTAAGCTTTGTCCGTTACTCCGTCACCGTTATTTGACGCGAGAAGTGCACGCGGTGTTCTAGAAGTGGGTCATCTTTCACAGGCACTAGTCCGGATGCGGACCCTGTCGCCGGTTCCAATCCGACATTCGGGTGGCTCCGCGGCCGTGTTTTGTCCCCACCCCCTGTCCGCCACTTCTTGATCCGTTCCGGCGATTTCTTCCCGCTCAAAGCCGATGTTGCTGCAGGGAGGAGCGAGCGGGGTGCAGTTGAGCAGAGCTGAGCATCATAGCCCGCATTCAAGGAAACGGGCAAACACAGCACATTTTTTTTCTACACTTCCTATAATGTGTTAGGCACGCTTTTGCGCACGACTTTAACAACAATAAATATACCTATTCCACGTGGAGCCCTATGGAAGCCTCTTGTCTTTGAGAGGCTGGGTATTTCTATCCAGCCAAGGAAGACCCCCTCAATTGTTTCCTGCGCCAAGAACTGTAAGAGACATGATCATCACACCGCATCCGAGGTGAGGCAGTAAGATTTTCCTCTCTTCATCTCAAAGAAGCGCGAATGCTAGCATTGCGTATGTAAAGAAAACGTCCATATTGTTGCAGTGCTGTGCAGAGATGGGGTAGGTAAACTCTGTTTTAGTGCTGGGATCCGCCGCTTAGACCCCAGCTGCCGTCCTTTTGTATTTGCATCCTCAGAAAAATCACCGAGGACCAGTCAGACGTGACCACATAGCTGCTGTTGACTTAGCTAGCAGCTGCTAGTTTAAGACAGGGACGATAACTTCACGTAAACAAACAGCCCAGCATCACACGGACCATATGGTGGTCCAGGGTCCATAAAACATGGATGCTCCGTTGGAGTAACACAGCAGCCCACTCTGCAACTGACTTTGATGATGTAATGCGTCACTGACATTTTCACCTCTTTAACTGAGCCTTTGGGCTTTCCTCCAGACCCAGCTGTCTCATGTTGTGGAGTCAGTGAAGAACACGGTCTTTGCCCATAATCCTCCACACTCCACTCATTATTGTCGCCTGTGCTGGAATGCCAACTAGACTGAAAGTTAGCCAACTTTTGTCATTCCCAGGATTGCTCCACACCATCACTCAGCCTCCTTCTTCAACTGAAGGTCAGCCAGTGACTTTGCAGTAATTCAAAATAGCCTCAGATAACATAAATTAGGGGACAGCGGTGGGGACAGAGGAGCTCAGAGCATTTGTACTTTATAACTGACGTGCTCTTTGAATAGATGCCGCTTTGATCGGCTGTGATTATTGATCCTCTGACTTATTGCTCGCCCAGGCCTGAAGAATCCTCCTGCTGAAGGTGGACTGATCCCATTGAGATGATGTCTTTGCGACGTGACTTGTTTTGTGATAGATTGAAGGGATGGACAGAGGGAGTCGTCCTGTCTTTGAAGTTTGAAATGTTAGATGTGGGTTTTCTCTGTTTTCGGTCGTGTGAATCAGACAGTGCCAGTGGCTCATTCTTGCTCTGTAAACTGGTTGACACATCCAAGTGCTTAATGGATTAAAGCTGCAACAGACTAATGCATGGATGTCAGTTCGATGACTCATGGATATCCATCCCTTCTGTTTGCTGTAATGATCAGTTTCTGATAATTACCACCATGTTTGTTGTGAGCACTGTTATTTACTTGATTAGTTTTATTCTCTGGCAGCTCTGTGCTTAACACAGACAAATGACAAATTCAGGGATAAATCGGTACACACTCCTATGTTGAGAGGGCCTCTTATAACCTCGTGCGTATTTTTATGGCTATTGTCCCCCCAAGATGGAAGGATTTGCTGCAAATTAAGGTTATCACTTGTCAAGTGATAGCCTTTCTCTCACAGTGAATAGTTTCTTATGGGAGTGATGTCTTTCAGGAGGACAGTGCTCCCATTCAAAGCGAACAATGAGTCCCTGAATGCTTCAATGATTATGAAAATGATTTGAATCATAAGTTACAGTCATAGTCACCAGATCTCTATAATATGTATTGGATATTGTGAATGAATCGGTTTCATGCGGCCATCCACTACCATGATCATCTTTTAGAACACTGGTGTTCCATCCCTCCTGAAGAGTTTCTGAGAGGACCTGAGGGCCAGTACATTATTAATTAGTATTCAGTTTATTACTCAAAAGGATGCCTCATAGAAAAATAATTAACATATATAAAAAAAAAAAATATTGAAATATGCCCTTTAATCGGGCACAATGAACTCATCTGCTTGAATTCTGTGCCTTTTTGGACTTCCTCTCCGACATGGACGGCTCTACCTAGATGATGTAATGTGTGCATTCTGGGGCAAACTGGCCCTGTCCAGTCGGCCTTGTTTGGGTGGGAAAAAAGACAGACCTACTTTAAAGAGATGTGATGCTGACTGCTTGCAAATGTCACAGAGGATCTATATCCATTTAGTCTGATATTGTACACTGAGGTAGAAAGTCAACCTCAATCAATAAGCATTATTAGCCAGTTGTAAATTCAGACAACACTTGTCCTTTAAGACCCTGTAATATGATATAAAAACATGAGGCTGCTCCTGTTGTCCCACTTTAATTATGCAACAAAGAGGGGGGATCGGCGAATCGGTTCACGGAGGAGCGGGAGTCAATACTGTGAGATTGTGTTCCTTGGATGTGGTGACAACACAGACATGACTCCTGTCCAACTCTGGTTACAGCACAGCTACTGTTTGTCTGCATAGTGTTACACGTTTGTGGTAAGTGGATGCCCCCAGCGTTTGTGCTGCTCTTAACGTGCAGTAAAGCGACAGTTTGGAGTGATTCATGGCCGCTGTCTGATCTTTGCCAGTTTATTTAATATTGGATCTTGCAGAGCGTGACATACAGGGCATCGGAGTCCTCCTCCCTCTCAGATATCGCACAGCAGTGCGCAGTGATACAGTGGAATTACTTTGGCCTTCTCTCTGTCCCCACACAGTTCTCCCTCCTCTTCTTGGCATTACCCATGTGAACCAGGTCATAGTCTCTGCTTTCTTTGTGATGCTTAACTGATCCCTGAAGGAGAAATTTGACTGTTCTCCTGCCACTCCTGTGGAGTTCGCAGCAGAGGCCACGTCTTTGGGGCAGATTTTGTGTTTCTATCTGTTGCTCCCTACCTGCCACCCTGCTTAATCTATTTCACATTTAAAAAACAATTATTTAAAAAGGCAGTGATGGCTATTCATTTTTTGTATGTGTGTCAAAAACACTGCATCTGTCAACAAGAAAATGATGGCAAAAGAGGGATTGCATAAAGTTTGTGCTTAGTGTTTGGAGCTGTTCACTGAGCTCTGTGGGAATTCTGTAGTAGAAATAAATGAGCTCTAAACACGTGGCTTTGACGTTACATACATTTCATGGTGTACGATCACATAGTTCAATGTCTTTTTTTAAACACCTGTTTTATTTATTTTAGATAAGAAAAAAGACTTCCTTCCCCAAATCCGGAGCGTGAAGTGAAACAGATGGAAATGATTTAGGAGTGTTTCAGGAGTGCTGCTTAAAGTGAAGGAGACAGACCGGAGAATGCTGTGCTGCCTATAAACATGTGCACATGTCAACGTAACTTTATTCACATTTCACTAAGATAAATCTGTCTCCAAAATGCTTTATCCTAAGACAGGGGCGATCGTTCAGATCGACTAGTTCTGGGAGCCACCCCATCCCCTCACTATAAAAGTCAAGGGCTCACTTCCTCCCTCCCATATATCGCCTGTCTGTTTATTTACAATGCTGCATTTCACAACTGTTACACCACCCATTTGTTTTAGAACACCAGCCATCCCCATACCTTCTCTGTTTGTCGTGACTGTGATAAAGAGGCGTTAACAACTTTTTTTTAAATCTTAAAGAATACCCTTCTATCTTTGGGAGGAATGTCTTTGTTTGATTTGAATGACTTTATTTTTGACTTCATTAAGAGCTGATTGGATTTTTAAACCACAGTGGACTAGTTCCGATGATGAATGGGATCATTTGACCTGTGAATGTGCTCTGTCTCTTCAACTCTAAAAAATGCAGATGGAAACATCTTGGCCCCATACTGTTGCATGTTGTTGGTTTGCGCAACTGAAGGATCCTTTTTGAGTGGTTAGATCTTGTCATGTCACAACTTCAGTTAACGCTTTTCACCCCATCTCCAAACCAGAGTCTCCGAAAAGGAGTTTTACACTGAAAAGTAATTGGATGGAATGGACTAAATGATGCTTACTTTACAGCAGGAACACAGGTGTCTTCTGTAAAATGTCAAACTTTATTAATCTTTGATGTACGGGTGTTTTCTTTGACCTTTGTAATGGCGGTCTCTTCCCTATTTTATGCTCGTCATAAATACATCTGTGAAGACACTCGGTCTGACATGGTTGCAGTGACTTCATTGCATTCACATGTAGCCTGCTTTGTCTTCCTGCTTAGAGGGTCATAATCATTGGGACTGGATTTAGAACTATAAGCTCATGACTAATCAAGCAGTGGTGAGACGTTCCCCGACATGATGACTGTCTTTCTATGGAGCCTCCCTGCCGTCCATCCAGACAAGAGTCAAACACACTGCACTTCAAGCGTCGGTCAGATTTACGATGCTGGCATTTTTATTTGCTCGGGAGTCTGATTTGTTGGCCATTCGGCACAACTGGTTTATACTACAAAACCTCTGTGTTGCTGACATCTGTTAGCGAAACAAGGAGTTATGGGCTTACAATGATTGCCCCGGTTAGACTGTAAATTCAAATATAGTTCAGTGCATTATCACAAAAGCCACTTCACATTTCCACCAGTGAAAAAGAACATCTGGCTTAAGTTTCAATAATCCCGGTCGCAAATCGCTTCATAGCCCGTTTGACATCTTTCTCCTCTTTTTTATCTGCAAATAGGTTTCATCATTAGTCTGTAAATGTGCCAGAGTATTCCACATTGCAGTAAAATAGTGGAAACTGTGGCGATGAAGTATTGGTCTTCTCTGCTTTTGTATTGGGTCAAGGACAGTCATTCTATTAAATAGGCTGAGTAGAATACACTATCTGAATGGACTTAGTGTCTTGTCTTACAGTAGCTTACATCCACGTTGGCTTAAGGCAGGGCGGGGATGATGACGTCGTCGAAGGATCTGAATTATAGATTATAGTGTGTGAAAATAGTGCACAGTGGCGTGCGAGCGTGCATACTGCTGTAGCGTGCGGGGCTGCTCTGTGGACTCAGGATTCCCCCTGACACATGGGAGAGCCTCACAGAAGCATCCTGTAGTTAAAACCACAGAATGCTCGGGAGCCGTGTGCAGTATCTTTCCACTATGTGAACACCAACTGTCTGTAGTGGGAGCCCATCCGTGCCTGTGGTGGACTGATATTCATACACCGCCGCTCAGTTGTATGTCAGTCTTATACCAGTTTATTCTATATTAGATTTGGATATCCATTGGTGCCTTCATGTGAGATTATTGCAGGGGTATTCTCTGGTGATGCTGCTGTAATACTAAGGCTGCAATTATCAATACATTTATTAATCGATTAATTTTTTTGTGACGAAGAAAAGTATCTGTTTTATCAGCGCTCAGGCCTGTGGAAAGCTTAGCTTATTCCACAGCAACACTGCATGCGGCTTTATGCCAGCGTGCACCACCACTAATGATGGAAACCAACACCCCCTGCTGCTCTCCCAGCTTAACCTGTCATTTTCAAGCCAACCTGTTTGTTTTTTTTATTAAAGATGTGGCTCGACTTTTACCCTGACAGCTTTTGAAGTGTAGTGGATGTTGATATTGTAGGAGCTGGTCTGAAGGATCAGGAATAGACCTTTTCCATCTCTTTTCGACTAGGCATAATGAGGATATGGGTGAATACATTTCTTATCATTTAAATGAAATCTTCTAGTATTTAGTTCACAAAATATTTATGTTGATTGTTTTTGTTACAGTGGAGGTAATCAGCAGTTAATAGTAATAAGCTTCTTTATTAACTGGTTATAGTGGTGTTTATTCTGTATTCTGTTTTTTCCAGTGTTTTATTTGTCATGGCATGGCCTGAAAGATGAATGGACTCCACATTCTGGATTAAAGACTCATAATTAGAAATCTTGATTACATGCAGCCAGAATAATCCTCAGGTTAAATTAGATTCTGACTCCATCCAGTGAAACTCAAACCTCAGCTCGTACACCCAGTTATCCTGAATAGCGCTAAGCTCAAGGAACAAACAAGATAGAAGGCTTCTGTACTGCACAAGTAATGAGAGAAAATTCAAAGACCCACGCTTCAAAGTGAAGCTTTGGGTTTCTTTACTCAGAATATATGACTCAGACTGAAAAAGCAGAAATGGGGGGGGGATTGTTCTGAGAACCGTGGAGAGGCCTCGGATAAAAGTGTGCGCCACAGTATAACCTCCTGATCCTCCCGTTTCAGATGAGCAGCAAGCAGTGAGCCTGAGGAAGTGTCAGAGGATGGCCCAGTTCTGAGGGAGGTCCACACAGCCAACTGGTGTCCAACATGTCCCAGCATCACCACTACCAGCGAGGCCCCCACAGCCGCACCATGAGCACTGAGGAGAGGAGCTCTACGCCAGTCATCAAGAGCTCCACCCCAGTCCACAAGAGCGCCTCCTCCTCTTCCTCATCCCAGCGTGACAGCCGGCAGGTATGCTTCTAGAGCATCTAGCAATAGATTCAGAAAGTGGCAGCACCTGGAATGACAGCAAAATGAGCAACGAAGTTCCGGATGGGAGTGAACATTGGTTTGGACTGCTGCTGTTTTTCATCTGTGAAAATCTTTGTAGGAACATAAAATCGGACAGAAAAGAGGAACTAGGCAAAAACTGTTTCAGGAAATGGTAAATCATGACACATGCAATACGCAGTTCTGCAAACACGGAGCAGGTGCTGACAAAAGTCAGTTTTATTCCAATGCAGGGCCGTCAGAACATGTGAAAAGATCATTCAGTAGTGCCAGAAATCCCTAGTCATCTGAAAGCTAAATAGCCTATCGAGTAAGAAATGCAAAACAAGCTAAACAGTCTGTATTGAAGAAATTTATCAGCAAACCGATAAGTTCAGTCTCTTGACTTAAGTTATTTCTTTACGTCTCAGATGGACGTGTCCATACAGGACAGGAAGTGATTAATTATTTATTCAGTTAGAAATCTTTATTTAAATAAAGCCAACCAGCCATTAACCTTACAAGACCTTATCAATTGATTAGCTAACTAATCAGCGAAGAGAGAGCTGCCTTAATTCCCTGATTACTAGGTGTAAGACACAGTAAACAATAAGATGTGCTCTTATTACACAGTTCACAGGAGATGTGCATAAAATTACCCCCTGCAGCCATCTGAATCCCGCCCTCTTTACCTCACTGAGCTGCTGTGTCACTGCAGGCATGCAGAAACAGGACACCGACACCGGAATCTCTGACATCACAGCTTTTCCATCGGCGCGGGGGGATGAATATTTCATGAGGGACAGGCGGACGCTCGGTGCTCCACTGAACATGTGGCACACTTTGGTAGGCCATGTGGGAGCATAACTTAGCATGTGCGGGAGAAGAAAGAAAAAGAGGCCTTTTGGAAAGTCTCAATCGAAGGTATACGACTTGATGAAGCGGTTACTTAACCCTTTTAAATGTGCCCATTCATGATGACTTTATGTGATGTCACGATCCTGCTTTTAAAAGCAAGGTTCAATATTTTTTTCCCAAATGGCCTTTTCATTAATGGTAATGTAATTGATGGAGTCAAGTCGCAGCCAAATGGGGACCTACTAAGATAAAAAGTAAATCACTTAAGTGTGCAGTACATTCTCTTAATTTTGTTTACCTGGTTGATGAAGACCTCCAGATAATCAGCAAATCAGTAGGACAGGACTTGAATGGAGAATTGTTTCCTGTCGTGATTTGCCAGCGAATGAGGTTGTGGTGGTGGAGCTGGGTCGTCCAGACTACTGCAAAGTTGCTGTAACTTGCATGTTTCGGCCTGGTGCATCCATATACACGCTAAAAGAGACATGATATATTTCGGTACAGTGTAAAAAGAGTTCATGTCAGAATTTCTAGTCTTCAGTTTTGCATCAAATAAAAATTCAGATTATTTTAAAGCTCAGCTCTGTTTTCCATGTCGTAGGGCCTAAATCATTAATGAGGCCAAGCGCATCAGCAGCTAGAACTGTTTAGTTAAGGCTTAACTCTGATAGATGCCATAATATTCATGTGAAAAAGGCTGAAGTTGTCACTTTTCATGCTTTTGGATGTGAGTTTAAAGCGGTTCGAGAAGCAAAACATGGATTTAATTGATCCACAGTGGGACACGCTGGTTATAGTGCTGACTGTTCTGTTCTAATTCCAAGTATGAGAATTTTTCAAATTTCAGGTACTGGAGAGACCATCCATCTTTTTTCTATACCATTATTCCTTATTGAGTCACAGGAAGACTATCCCAGTTGTCATTGGGTGACAGGCGGGGAACACCCTGAACATTTTGCAATCCTTTGAGGGGCCACACAGAGACAAACGAGACACACGATCATGTGCACTGACGCTCAGTCCTAGCGGCAAGTTAGAGTCTCCAGTCATGTTATTAGCATGTTTCTGGACATTTGGAGGAGGCTGGAATGCCTGGAGATAACCCACACAAACACAGACAGAAGATGCAAACCCCACACAGAAAGAGCTCCAACTGGCTATCCTTGAAATAATTAAAGTGAAACCTTGATATGGGAGTTAATAGACTATGCTAATAGATAAGAACTGTGACGTCGCTGAGGTGAATGAATGATACCAGTATAAGACGTCATGGAACAGCAGAATCAGTGCCAAAGAACTATTTGTTACTTTAGAAAATACAAAAAAAGGAATAAGAATGTAATTCCTGCGTCTTATTATCTCGCAATTACTCAAATGAATTGTTATGCTATTAAAATTAAACCAGATAAATTGAATATATAAATAAATTGAATATAAATTGAATATACCTAAACTAAGTACAGAGCTGGGAATCTATAGATTTTACACTGTATTCCACTGTATTCCAGAGCAAATCAGAAATAAGAATATATCACAATGTTAAGCAGGTGTACGCTTGGCTCTGATTGGTTCATAAAAGTATGTTGCTTGGCAACTGCTAATATTCCTCTGTGTTCCACAAAACACAACCCCATATTCTATTTCATCATTTGAGTTGCCATAGTAACAGAGCTGAGACCATATAAACTGAGTCAGGCTAACCAAACGAAAGAGGGTTTTTACCCACCATGAGCGGTAACTGGGAGGATGTACGATGCAATGTGAGAATGATGTAAGCATCCACATAGCTGATCGATAGGGTTCTACCCCCAAGCAAGCGCTGTGCCTGAAGGCTATGGTCCATCATTTTGTTGGCCTCCAGCTATTGTACAGTGCAAAGAGAACAGAAGAAAACTAGTTGTGTGTGCATTCAAGTAATTCTACACACATGATAAGACTGGAGTATCTAGCACTCTGTGTTTCTATTTTTGTACCAGGTAGATGGAGCAGTTATTTGTCATTTTAGTCAGTTGGATAATAATAAACCATGTTTTTTAACTTCTTCTGTTGAGTTGTGAAAACCATTCGTAACATTCATTTTAAAGTAAGCGTCCGCATTAAGGAAATGCTAAGCTGCTGTGTTTTCCTTGTGTATTGCGCTTTATGACATGGAAAGCAAGCGCTCGGAGAAGAGTAACTGCTGGCTTTGCTGTGCCTCAGGTTTGATGGGACACAGCTCTGATAGATTTTGTTTGGTAAAGGCACAAGTGGGATCCTGCCCCCATAATTCCATTGGTACGTGCCACTTTACCCTATGCTGAAGTCTGCTGACCACCTGCAGACTGACACAAGCTCTCTAGAAAACAGGAAGATAGAATGATGCTTCAGAGATATGGGGAAATTCTAGAGTCAATGATTGTTTTTGTGAAGAATACTTTATGTTATTATGTTATTTTTTATTCAATGTAGTGCCGCGTGTTAATTTTTTATCAGCAAAAAACAACCATGTACTAGACCCAACAACTTAACAACCAAAGCTGATTCAGTCCAACCTAAATGCTTCCTGTTTAAGGAAAGGAGTGTAATAGTGAAAAGTAAAACAAAAAGAGGCTGTTTTTTGTTTTCAAATTCCAAATGACAAATAAAGCAGTGAAAAATAATCTGTTTTTGCATGCTATCATTCATCACTATATTTAGGTCACTGATGTTGCTCCTCTGGTAGAAATATGAATGGATCAGTAAATTAGATTGAGTAAATTGCCTGACACATTAACACTCCGCTATCTTTCACCTGCCAGCTAGCAGGTGACGCAGGCAGACTGTGGACGTGTAACGGAATCTGATGTGTTTACACAGTGCACGAGTCTGTTTTTCTATCAGGGTGTTAACTTCCTTTTTCATGTGGTGCCCGACCTGGAATTCTGAGCTTTACTGCTGAGCCAGCCAGACGGTGCCGTGAAAGCCATCCTCGCAGCACTTGTCCTGTGGTGAGGCGCTGCTGAGAGATCCTCTTCCAGTGGTGATTGTGGTAGATTGTGGTGAATTCTGTCTGTTTCTCTGCACGATGCATTTTTACTTAGGAAAACATGCAACTGCCTTGTATTTATTTATTTTTTATCATTAAGTGAATTGAGTAGCACGCAGCCACCTAATCTAATGGCCAGTGGTGAAACACTTCTCAATAACGCAATAACGCCTGTAAGATTGAGTTAAACTCTCTAAGATTGACATGGGCATTGTTAGAGATTTATATAAAAATGTACGTAATGATTCATTCAAGATGTCAACATAATGGGATAAAGTAGAATTATTTCACAATTATTTCCCATGACCTCCTTAGTTAAATTGATTCGGGGGCTTTTCCCCTTGTTGGTTTAGGGGGATTGTTTGGAACAGATACTTCCATTTAAAACTCCCCTGAATGCTCTCTTATGCTTTTTTTTATACACCGCCGTCACTGACTTTAATTCTGGGCTGAAGATGCTGTTTTTGATCACATGTAAATCAATGTCCAAACAAGAGGCAGACGTGGAAGGCAAAAAATGATTTTCAGAAGGAGGCTACTGCACTGATATTTATAGTGCTGATTTAGCCTAAGGTGTCCCCAAGGAGTGTTTGTCCTTTTCTCTGCTCCTGGAGACCTTAACTGTAATAGTTTGATTCATTGCATCATTGAAAGGTCTGCTGAGCGACTGTGCCAAGTGTCGCTGCAGGTGATGAATCCCTGAGGACGTGGCCGATGAAACAGGCACAACTCAGTGGATGGATTGACTTCCCGTCTCCTCATTGAATTTATTTATTTTTTTATTCTGTTATCCAAACAAGCCGGTCTTGATTTTAGGCATCTGTCTACAGGGGGAGATATGGAAAGGTGTTGACTGTCAAAGTAACCGGCTTCTGCAACAAGCCTTTTTTCTTTTTAAACCTCCACTTAGGAAAGCTGGCGGCCTCTTACCCAGTCTGCCACAGCGTCCTTCATTAAATGGGTAAACTTGCAGAGCGGGACTTGCTCATTCAGCTGTAAATTATTCTGCACTGAGATCAATGAATGAGAGAAGAGTGCAGGAAGTCACTTTGGCCTAATTCAGTTTGGTTCTCGTGCTGAAATAACAAAAGCAATTCCCTTCATTATAGCTGTCATTTCCACACAAGGCAGGAGTCAGCATAAACCAGAGCCAGACGTCCTGGATCCTTTTAATTATTTGAATTTGAAAGGACTGACCTGGAAAGAGTAATGAGTTTAAATGTTTACGGCACAGGCAGTTTTTTTCATGGAGTGTTCCATTGATTTATCAGTTTGTGGGTGAGTTGAATGTCTGTAGTGCTGCAGATAGCACGCAGGAAGCTCGGAAGCATCTTTCTGTGACTTCTGGTTCATATTGCCTTTGTAGGAGGTTGGCCTTAAGGCAGCTGTTGTGTACAAAGTGATGATGCATTGAAACATTTATCATTTCACAGGTGACATCATACACTTTTACAGATAATGAAATAACGGGCTCATGCTCTCATAATTGGCCTGCTGTCTTTTTTTATGATGGGATTGCTTCGAGCATTTAGCTGAATTCTGCTAATGAATTGGAGCTCCTCTTCCTCATTTTCTCAAGGAGAGATAGAAGAGGAGCTGCCCTCGGTAACATGACCTCATTACCGCACAGATCTGTTCGCTCGGTTGTCAGATTAAACAAGCTGTTGTCTCCGTTGTTAAAGGTCCTGCAGACCAAGGTCGCCCGTCCTCATGCACGGGCAGGGGGATGACTCAGGGTTTCGGCATCACGTCGCTGAGAGCCACAGGCCTGCATTTGCCATGCCAGGGAAACCTGTGCGTGTTGAGTTGATTTTTGCTTTAGAAGCCTGTTGCTATCGATTAAAGTTCTGGATTATAAATTGCAACGACACGCAGGCATGGACAGAGGACTTTGCTGTGGAGCTGCGTCAAAATGCTTTTTCTTGACTGAGCAAAACATAAGTGCAGGATCTTTCTTCAGGACTTGTTTAAAGCTCTTGGAAAATGGGGTTTCAGTTAGCTAAAGGTTTAAAGTCAAAATGTCTTCTTTGCTTCATCGGGAGTGGTTTGACGTATTCAGATCGACACAAGCTTGGCAGCATCATTAGGACGACAGCACGGCACTGTTGCCTCAAAGAAAAAGTCTGTCTGTGTTGAGCTGAGTATGGCCTCCTCATTCCTCTGTGGGCTTCATCCAGAGACTCTTCCTATGACATTCCAAAAGCATGCGTGTTAGACATATCAGTGCCTCTAAATTGACCATTGGTGCAAGTGCAAAATCCAAAACGTGCAAATAAAGTACGGTAGCCTTTTAGACACTGAAAAGGGATCATGTGAGTTCCTCTGTCACGTGTTAATACCGTGACCCTGTGTTTCCTCATATGCCCTGCGAAGGGACCGTGGTGGGATGTTTCACCTGTCCCTGGATGATCCGGCCTGCCCTCCGCTCCAGAGATGTCGCTTTGATTTACAGACCCTCTCGGAGCACGAAGAGCAAAGTCAGACAAAAGCTAATGGAGTAGAAATGCTGACAGAGTAGGAGGAACTTCAGTGGGGCAATATTTTTTTCAAATGCGTAGTACAGGGGTAAGAAGAGGTGTGAACATGTGCTCTTGTTGTTTTCCACGTGAAAGCAAAACAGGGCCATCTTTTCTATTTATCACAGCGAGTTTAACCCCATTTGCTTTTTTTAGGCTGCCGGGATGACTGGATTAGTTCTGACACATCCGTGATCTTTCTTTTTCTTCAGGAGGCAGACAGCTGGGAAATAATCGAGGGGCTGAAAATTGGCCAGAGCAACGTCATGAGGCCTGACAAACACGAGGGCTTTATGCTGAAGAAGAGGAAATGGCCCCTGAAAGGCTGGCACAAGGTAGGATCCACACATAGTGAGTCGCAAAAGCTCTTGCCGCAGGATAAGAGCTCTCAAATGGGACCACGACCCGACTGTTTGCAGCCCAATAAAATGGTCTTGGCTTGGAGACATTACCCTATTATTTTGCTAGGTTGCTTATCATTTTTTCTATGAATAGCATTAGTGGATGTGCCATTCTCTTTTAACATAAGAATAGCAGCAGCAGACAGTATTACTTCATTATCACAGGATTTCACAGCGCAAAATCAAAAGCCTTACCACAAACTATGTAACAATTAGCATAAAAAAGCTTCACTATATATATATATTTTTTGTCATTTAACCAACACAGTTTTTCTGCTTATTTTCTTTGCAGCGTTTTTTCGTTCTGGACAATGGGATCCTGAAATACTCCAAGTCCCCTCTTGATGTAAGTAACCCTGATTTTAACCCAAAGGCTGGAACGAGGCAGCCTGGCCTGACCCCAGTTTGGTTTAACAGTGAGTCAGCTGAAAAGTATAATGTTTCCCCAGCACGAAAGCCAAGACTAAATTGATGTGGAAAAATATGACATTAAGAAACCAACAATTCCAACACACTTAGAAGTTAATTGTAATCAATCATTTAACAGATGAAAAGACTTAGTCTTTTCATCTGTTCTGCCAATGATTAACGTTTATGCAGCTTTAACTCCGTTTCACCTTCAACTTTTTTATATAATGTTGATCAAGATGAAAATTGAAAAGCTAAATTCTAATCTTTTCTAATCTAATCTGTTTAGAATCAGTGTTTTGCAATAGAAGCAGAAATGTCTCTGTTCTTCTTTAGTGGCACACTATTTAGGCACTCAATAGCAACCAGTGAAATACGCGCCAAGCATGTCTGAAACAGGTAGTCTTTATATTAAATAATAAATTGGGCAGGTTTTTACCTTTGTCTGGATTTTTTTCTGGTTCTCATCTGATCTTTTTCTGAGTTATAAAGTCTCACATCTGCAACAAAGAGCCCTCCATGCAGCACAAGCAGCCCTTTCTCTGAATTATGATAGAGCCCTTGTGCATATGACCACATTTTTATACCGTTGGCCCTTTTTTAGTTATACCAACTTAATGTGAAAAAAAAGCTCTTTATGTTTGCATCATCCACAAAAGGATCTCTTATGTCCTTAGATTCAAAAAGGAAAACTTCATGGCAGCATTGACGTGGGCCTCTCTGTCATGTCCATCAAGAAGAGGGCACGTCGCATCGACCTGGACACCGAAGAGCATATCTATCACCTGAAGGTAACACAGATCTCCCAGTAATCGCCACAGAGGCTCTGCGGCTGACTGAGATCAAAGCTCATTGTCGGTTTCCTCTTTAGGTCAAATCTCAAGACATATTTGATGCCTGGGTGTCAAAGCTGCGTCACCACAGGCTTTATCGGCAGAACGAGATTGTACGCTCTCCCCGCGAGGCCACCATGCGAACGTTTCCTCCCTCTGCGGCTGTGGAGTCCCCACAACCCACCCCAAGCGCAGTAAACGAACCAAAGGTGGGTTCCCCTCGTCAGCGTAAACATTTGTCCCAGAGGGTAAATGTTTCTGGCTTTTAAGGTAAGTTAAGCCAAACAACTGAAGCTGCTTTACTGGTGGAGTATTGATCTTCTTATCCAATACTTGGAAGAAGAGTAAATTTACAAAAGTCTTCAGATTATTCCCTACAAATCTAAGTGTTTATCCACACTTTATCTCTTTAAGCTGGCAGTAACTCTCTTGGCCTTCGGCAGACTTCAGTTAATATTTAGGGAGAGTGCCTCATGGGTAATGAGAAAAAGATCTGGCTTAATCTTACTGGAAAATTGGGTTGTATGGCAGGATACCTCTCTGAAAAGTGATAGAAAAAGCATAGACATGTCTCTAAAGCCGTGCTGACGTCACACAGGTCAACAGTTGGCAGCAGCAACTGTCCGGTAGCGTTTGACCTGAAAACCAAGGGCCTGATTTGTCTCCTGCATTATGCGGCTAATTGCCCGACTAATGGATGTGGATTGTGGACAGATAACAAAATAAATCTGATTGAAGAGGTAATTGTATCCAAACCACTAGGATTACAAGATAGGTTTGTTTGTCATGACAGTTTCCAGTGTCGTATGAAACTCAGCTGGTGAGTTTGAAGTGTTGGTAAATGTGAGGAGGTAGTAAGATCGGCTTCTCCCAGGAGTGATGCTTCATGCCTCATGGAGGCCATTAGATGTGATCAGTAGGATTTGAGTTCAGAGCATCTGGCTGCAGCTTGATGAGCTCTCTCTGAAGATCAGCTTAAGAGACGAGACAGAATTATCCGCGACATCAAAGACTCACAGAGAAGATAAGATCGAGCAAATAAGAAAAGTTCAGCCAGCTTTTATACAGGCACAAAGCACTTTCTGTTTTAATTATTATTTCTTTTAATAGTAGTCAAACAACATATTCTTATGGGTGGCTTGTCTTTATCAGGGACACCAGATATTAAAGTGGTTCACCATTTATGATGTGGGAGATACTGAATAATCCTTCATATTTTGAAGATCCTCTGAATGAAAGACTTCTTACTCAGGAAGAACCAGGAGTCACACCAGGAAAAGGCCCAGTAGCTTTGAAGTTGTTTAAGATCATATGTTTTATTATAGTAGAATTTTAGAATGTACCCTTATTATATATCTTCAAGTTCAAATAAAAGTGAAATCTAAAAATGAGAGAGAGAATTAATGGAGATCATTGCAACTGGTGCGTCTCAATACACATATTGATTATAACTGCAGGTAATTGCAGCTTTCCGCTGTTTAATATGAGTGTTTGTTTATTGTTGCTTGGTATACCATCATTCAAGCTTGATGTGCCCGGTGAGCCTTGTAGCCATTTTAAATTTGACTCTCTTTGCACTCTTGAAGGATTCTGATGATTGGGCAGATGTTACACGACATGAAGGCCTTGCTGTTGGTAGAGCAATTACGAATAAATCCATAAATCCTCTTGGTTCATGTATAATTCATGACATTTATCCAGAGTATTAATTTTTAAGCAACATTAGTAATTTCACTATCTTGCGGGCGATGACTAACAACTGTGTTGTCGTCGGTAACAAAGTCGGACATGATGGCTCAGAAAAAGCCCAGCGGTTCCTTTGACCCTGTCCTCCTCACCACAGCAGGCCAAGCCGAGCAGTTTGCCATGGCAGCCGGCAGCCCCCGGCAGCAGCAACAGCAGCCTGCCCGCCTCCTACAGCAACGGCCAGAGCAAGGTGGCTGCCTGGCTCCAGGAGTCAGAGGAGATGGACAAATGTGCAGAGGGTAGGTGGAATTCTCCCTCCTGGTGCTGCGCGAAAAAAATCTGAGTGGATTAAACCCATGCCTCCCACCTCTCCGTAAACGCTCCGGAGGTGGAACGGTGGCTGTTTTGTAATGCGTTTGTGTGCTTGTGGGCGTAAATCGTATTTTCAGAGCTCGCACGCTGTCAGTCCAACCTGACTGAACTCAGCCGGTTATTGCAGAGTCTGGAGATCCTACAAAGGACGCAGTCAGCACCCAACTTCACAGATATGCAGGTAAAACACACACACGGACATGTGCACACACTCACAGATGTGCATGAACATACAGGAACTCATTTACACTAAACTAGTCAGACTGTGTTTACAGGCTTCTAATTCCAGACTGATCTCCTCTGATCTCCTAACAAAGTTAGAATAGAATGTTGCGTTAATGTGTGAGGAAAAGAGCAGGCAGAGAAAGTAATTATGAAAGAATTTCAGTCTTTAAAAAAGTGAAGCCTTTTAAGACTCCAGGCTGAATGCTTGCTAATGACAGCACACCTGCTGCTTCTTAACAGATCACAATGCTTTCATTTATTATCTGTTATTTTTCCTGACACACAAAAAAAACATTTCAAACTGCTCATTTCATTTGTTGCTTCCACCCCATTCCACTGCAAACCTGTGTGCTGCGTCTTTGTTTTGTGATGTGTTTGTCCTATTAACCCATACTTTGCATATTCTGATCCACATGCGCCTCAAAGGTCAATTGCATAGAAATGTCAAAGAAAGAAAAACGCTTGAACAGAAGATGGAGAACAAAAAGTGTGGGAAAAGATGCAAAATTCCAGCTTCAGGTACCGCTCTCCAGACCTCCGCTCTGTCACTCGCAGACACAAACACACACTGGCAGAATCGGGGGGGCTGACGTACGGGCAGATCTCAGGACCTGACACAATAGTGCATGCAGTAAATTTGACAATTCAATATGCAAAAATGTTATTTTGTTCTTTGAAGACAATATATCGAATGACGACTATCTATACTTCCAATAGTTCATATAAAGCATACCGTTTTGATGCATCAGAAGTAGGTTTTTGCTTTCAAAATAATCTCCAATGAAATACCACAGTTTGTGCCTGTAGATGTTTTGTTTCTCTTAATTTTTCTTTTTGTTCTCGAGGCTGCGGTGCAGCACACATCGTACTGCCTGGCTCCAACACCAGCTGCTTTTCTACCCCCTTTTTTTTGTGGCTGTTTTATTCATTTGTGCTGCCTGATGTGTTTCCCCTGTGGTACATGCAGCTCTCACATATCTGTGATAGAATAAAGCCTTATGCATCTTATACCTTTCTGAAACCAGCAAGTTAAATGGCTTATTGTGTGGTAATAGAAAGGTTTCACCACCCATCCGCTAAAGCAGAGTCATAAAGTGGTGAAACATTTCCCAAACTAGTTCTACTTGTCCTTGTGAATTAATTGAATTCACTGTTAATAGTTCTTTCCAGTGTGACCTGGATTTCTCTATTTTCCAGAAGAAATATGATTTAAAGGATTTCTGATCTAAAGAAAGACGTAAGCAGTGTGCTCAAGTGAATCAGGAAGTAATTCCTTTGTTGTGTTTTCCTTTAAAAAAAAAAGGAAACAGTTCACACATTCAGGGCTGGTTTCTGTTCATTTGTAGGACCAAGGTTCCTGGTCCTCACAGAGGAGCTCTATCAGGTGACCGACAGTTGTCCCCTGTGCTCGGGTTGTCTCCTCAGGTTCCTCTGTCGGCGAGCATGTCCCCTGTCCGCCTCCACTCATCCAATCCTAATTTGTGTGCGGAGCTGGTGGACTTTCAGCCCCCGGTTTCGCGCTTGACAGACAGCATGGAATATGCCAGCGACTACATTAAACTTCAGGAGGAATTCTGCACCATTGCCCAGAAAGGTGAGCAGAGAGCATGCGTGCATCCCACCGAGTTATCTTTGTCTCATCCAGTTCTTGTTGGTTATATAATTGCCTTATTGATTAATTACACGGAAGAAAACCCAATATATTCAGGCAGTGCCTTCCACATCCATCTATCCATTAGTGACATCTGCCTTAGTTCAGTAATTTTACGGAAACTGAACCCAAACATGCAACAGTGCTCCAGCTCTCCCCAAAGCTTTATGATGGGGTTCATATTTATGTTTGTCAGAAAGAGGGATGCATTGTAACAGGGAATCAGCCACAGGCTATTTTCCATTAGTGGCCCAAAAACTGGTTTGTTTTTGTGTAAGCTGGCGGAAAAATGCTGTGAGTCTGCCTATTTGACAGAGGAAGGATTTCATTACATACGCAGAACCATGACTCACAAAAAAATCACAAAATAATAACTACAAATTCATAGTTTAAAGAGAATTTGTTTGAGGTTTAAAAAAGGTTCATATGGTAAGATAAACACACAGATTTGTGGGGCAGCTTTGACCTACATCACGCCCCACGGATGGAGATAAACACTCTTTCTGTTCAGATACGTAGTGTTGCTACCCGGGTACCAATGACTTTACTATTAGTTTCTTTCCCTATTTTAACAGTGTGTCTAAACCAATTCTAGTCCAAATTCTTTCTAATCCACCAGTTAATGTGAACGTGACAGAGCCAAAATGAACTCTGTTATCGAGTTGTCATGACAGTTGATGTTCTGAACGTGCATCTTGCTGTCAACAAAAAAAAGGCTCCCATGCGTAAATGACATATTTCAGATTTAGCCGTAATACAGTATGTTACACACGAGGGTTAAAACAGTTGATTGATTCTTTCCACTCAGGCTCATTGGGCGCATAATTGACTATAACAGTTGCTGTAATGAAGGTAATAGATTTATTCTGGAAGAGGTTTTTAAGAGACTCCCACAGGTTTAATTTAAGAAATTAAAAACACATGCAGAGTTGCACAATCATCAGCAACACTAAACACTCACAGCAGTGGGATGTGTCTGACATTTCAAATAGTTCAACGGGGGGTTTCAGTCTCTCTTTTGAGAGTGAAGATTCCATCCAAAGATAATGGCAAAGCGACTGTTCAGAAGAAAGTGTTGTGTTGGGAGGGTGATCTGACACTTTTTTGCTTTTATCCCATCTCCCTCCAGTGCACTCGCTGCTTAAGTCGGCCTTCAACACCGTGGCCATCGAGAAAGAAAAGATCAAACAGATTTTATCCGAGCAGGAACAGTCAGACCAGTCGGCCCAGATCAACTCTCTCAGGAAGTCTCTGTCACAGGTGACGAACGCTCAAAAACCAGCCATGACTCCTCCGCTGCCGTTTGCGTTTCATTTCAGTCGTTTGTTGATGTACTTTCACTTTCTAAATGCCAATTACGATGTTTCACACGCAATTACCCAGAGAAATCAGGACATTCTGGGAGAAATTACTGCCGTCAAGAATGTGACTTTGCAGTCAACCCCTTGTTTGCAGTTGCCTTATTATAAACTGTCTCCTACTGACAGACACACATGCTATAATTCACCCGAAGCAGTCACAGTAATGACAATTAAGAAGGAGGCCATGTGGAGATCGGAGCACAGGCAAACAGGTCATGAAAGTCCAGTCAGACTTTCCTGTATTAATTGGTGATGGTGAGAAATGTGCAGTGCAGTTGATTAGCTGTGCTCCTCAGGGCTGTCTCTCTGCCACAGTGATTTAATTGGACTGTTGCTCTGCTAACTGTTGACATAATCTCAGAGAAATGTTTCACTTGCCACTTTATCCCCGTTTTGTTCTTAATTGGCTGTTAGTGTGACACGACTGTCACAAGCTGTAGGGCAGGTGACATGGCATAGCACTACCGGTGACTTTAGCTACAACTGTGTCATCCATTTTAGTTTATTGGGGATATTCATGTTTATTTTGTATTTTGTATGACATGTTATATATATTATAACCACCCTTATTTCAGTGTGTTTAAGATTATTTGGGTTTTTTTGCGTGGGTAAAATGTAAATGACAGAACGGAAACAGAGTAACACAACAGGCGCTTGACATTAAAAGACGGGTTACTCTCACCCCACAATGGACGGTATACAACAATGAAAAGCTTTCATTCAGTGTCAGTACATCAACAAATGAAACAAGCCTCTTTAAGCAGGGCAAAGTGGGTTTGGAATCAAAGAATTAAGAATTACATAGATTTACTTCCTCTTGCGTTATTTAGGCCCTGTCCCAAAATGCAGAGCTTCGAACTCGCCTGAACCGCATCCACTCTGAGTCTGTCCTTACTGAGCAAGTAGTCAGTGTGAACATCATCGCTACGCCCGACGAGGTGGGTCAACGCCGTCCGTCCGCCTGTGACACAGCTACTTACTCATGCTCGTATGGATAATACTACATCTTCCATGGCAGGAGAAGTACTTGAGGTGTTCCCCTCCCACACTTGTCATCTGCATTATTGATTCCTGTTCTCAAAGATTTATAGTTTTTCCATCAAACGCTGGCAGGTGAACCTAAAGGATCATTATTCTATACAGAACCTGACATCAATGCTAATGGGGAAAAAATGACTAATTTGAAATGGATTGGGGCTTGTCCTTTGGCAAGGAGGCTCATTCTGCAGTGCTGTTTCATACATTTTGGCTCTTAAAGCAGTCATCTTATTGAGAAAGTGAGCAAATACTGTGTTTGTCTGCAGGCCGTGGAACAGATGGGGATCCCTCTGACTCAGCAGGCCTCTAATGAAAGCCGACTCTCCATGTCAGAGTCTGTCTCTGAGTTCTTTGATGCGCAGGAAGTGCTTCTGTCAGCCAGCTCGTCAGAGAATGAGGTACAACATGGGGTCGTTGCAGCTCGAAGAGAGTGTGTTTTTTTGGACTGTGAGGTGTCTATTGTAATGTAAGTGAATGAAGGGGGGGTTGAATTAGCACGATTTTCCTTGGAATAGCTCTTTGTGGAGCAGGAGTTTGTCAGCATTTAATACAAGAGCCATGAAAAGGAGACCTAACATAGAACAGGATATAAACCACTCTCGTGGGAGCTCCTTTGGATCTCATTCCTTTGCTGGTTCAATTAATCTCTCACACGTGATTGATGACTCCTGTTAATAAGTCAGTTTGATTCACTTCCCGAAACAAAACTTCTGCCTTTTTCCACTCTTTTAAAGCTGTGAACATCCTGCTCCACATATTCTGTGTAAGATCTCCTTTATGCTGCGAAGCATTGCAGCTCCCTAGACATGCACTGAGCCATGTTGAAGGATAATTCTCCGAGGAATTTCATCAGTTCCCCGCCCTGTAGCTCTAATGCCAGCTCTGTTTGAATCTGTTTTTCACTGCTGACTGAACCCTCACCAACAGCAGAGGCTTTTACAGAGCGGAGTGACAATGTGCTCCCCTCTGATGGCATCAGTGGCCTCGTTGCATTTCTATATATAAAGTATGAAAATGCTGCAGTGTCTCGTGCCTGCTGCTGGAGCTGCAGTGGGACAGATAGCCAACCACTGCTGCAGTTTGTTAGCCGCTGGCAAACTGCAATGACAGGGAGAATGCATGTGTGACGCTCAGTTTGTCTCCTGTTCTGACCAGCTTCTAATGTGCTCCCATGCTCTGACTCACTCTACGTCTTACCTGTATCCCTCACAGGGCTCAGATGATGAGTCATATGTCAGCGATGTGAGCGATAACATATCGGAGGACAACGCCAGTGTTACTGATAACGTCTCCAGACAAAGTACGTCCAAGTCTGCACAGCATGCCCTGTTAAAACATTTTTTAAAAAGAGTCAAATGCAGCAGCTTAATGCGTCAGCCATGCTCCATAACGTCACAGGTACTCTCAAAGACACGCTCGCACTGGAAAGTGTTGACTTTGCAGCGTTGCTGTATGCCAAGAGCTTCTGTCAGGCTTTATGAAAGAAGCCTTTGAAGGCGTGACGCCATCTTCCACCTTCATGTCGTTCCCTACAAACACACTGGTAGAATGTGGAGCGCAAAATGTCTAAAGATTAAGACAACAATTCCTGTTGTTTGAAAATTATCAAGAGGGGTTGGACATGAACCATAACATGAACCGGACCTTTCAAACAGAGAAATCTGTATGGATATTTGTAGTTGTGCTCAATCAGCTTCCTGGCACAATTTCATTTGTTGAAACGTTGAAGATGAATCCGTTAATTCACTATTCATTTTATGTTTGTTAACTATTTCAAAAGTTTTATCCCTGTAAGTGTGCTAAAATTGATTTCTGGATTTCTAATTGCAGTTCATTATGATTATAGACCATCAGATTGTACAGACTGTAGCCATAATATGTTTAATTTGCTTTTCCCAGTGGCCAACGGAGACTTTGCTGGCTGTGCCTTCCGTAACGGGCGGCGCATCTCTCTGCCGGCACCCTGTCCTGACACCAGCAACATCAACCTCTGGAACATCTTGAGGAACAACATTGGCAAGGACCTGTCCAAAGTGTCCATGCCTGTGGAGCTGAACGAGCCCCTCAACACCCTGCAGCGGATGTGTGAAGAGCTGGAGTACAGCGAGCTGCTGGACAAGGCCGCCGAGACCAATGACCCCTTTGAGCGCATGGTAAAGAGGCTGACATCCGCAGGGATCACACGCCTACGAGCTGCAGTCACGCTTTACTGCAGCCTCTGAACATCCTAAAGCATTCTGCAGTGGGCGCACGCAAAACTTGAATGTCCACTTTCTTTGTCGCGTCCTTCCCACTGAGTATTTGCTCATTTAGGAGCCCACACTGAAAGTCACATGTCAACAGAAATAGTCTCTTGCTGGAAGGCATGTCTGTGAGGTGTTGATGCGCTTCAGTGCAGCCGTCGACCTTGGGTCCTTCCCTCTTCTCATCTCCTGCACCGCCGATAATGTTTGATGAAGACTCATGTTTGATTTATTTGCTGCAAAAGCTGCTCGAACAAGCCGGTTAATCCCCTCCTGTTTGTTTTTGTCCTGGCCCTGTTGCAGGTCCTCGTTGCTGCTTTTGCCATCTCAGGCTACTCGTCCACTTACTACAGAGCAGGAAGTAAGCCATTCAACCCGCTGCTCGGAGAGACTTACGAATGTATCCGGGAAGACAAGGGCTTCTGTTTTTTCTCAGAGCAAGTGAGTCCATGTGAAGACTGTTGATAGCTCAGCTCCCTTTAAGTGCAGAAGATACCTAGAAGCCTGTGTTGTTGGACTGAATATTATTTTCTGCCATCCTGGCTTCCATATTCCAAACTTGCTTCCATATTATTAGACTATATGTTTACTGGTTGTCAATATCTGTCACTGTAATGGATGGATTTTTATAGAAAAGCAAAGATTGAAGGGAGATTCACATCACTTTAGATTCATCTTGAGAGACTTTGTCACAGTTTATCTCAAAAAACAACTTGGTATTTCACATTTCCTGTTAGTTGGGTTATCCCTTTTTACTGGCAAAGGAAATAGTCAGTCTTAAGATTTACATGTGTGATCAGTGCGACAGCTGTCAGACTATTTCCTTTTGATCTTATCTCTAAGGTGAGTCACCATCCTCCTGTCTCCGCCTGCCACTGCGAGTCTAAGAACTTCACCTTCTGGCAAGGTAGGTTTCCTGTCCAATTAGTTGGAGACTATCCTCATGAGAGCCACAGCTTAGTGGCTTAGTGGGTGTGAGCCGGATCCACTAGATTTGGAGGTTAAGATACACATTTTTGTTCTTCTTTTCCAACTGTTTTCTGTTGTGTTTGCTTTTAGATGTTAGATGGAAAAACAAATTCTGGGGAAAATCCATGGAGATTTTACCCATCGGATCTGTAAACCTCACAATTCCCAGGTAATTTCCACTCTGGTGCTTTGTGTAGTGAAGCTGAAGCCAGGCATTTAATTGTAAGTCACAGTTACAAGCTTGCCTCTTCGGTTTATGTTCCTTCCAAATTGTAATTATGACTGAAAAACTTTTATTTTATGGAGAAAAAGCCCCACCATGGTCATTAAATCTGCCACACCAATTACTGTTTTTGATAATCTCAGTGTACTCATTGAGCAGAGGGAATGAATAAACAGTTGTTAACTGACATGTCCCGTTCGGCAAAACTGGAAATGAGCCCACTTTCTGCTCTGTTGACATAAGCACCTGAAGATTAGCATAATTCATCATAAATATGCGAACGGTTCTCGGCCGGTTTATCAACTAATGCAGTGATATAAAAAACATTGTACGAAATAGCTTCTCTTCTTCTGTTTTCAGAACAGAATAAATTAAGACCAAATTACATTAGCTGAAGGATGAATCCATTTGTTCTGTTTGATGGTGGAAAATTTGACTACATCCCATTAAGAAATGTATGGAAGTAAGCTGGTGTAGTTAGTTCTCTTTATTTATGCAGATATGAGAAGATATGTACAAAATATAGACATCTAACCCATAATTATATATATTTCCTTTTAAGTTGGGGGAAAGACTACACATTTCCAATGTAAAATGATGTAGAAGGAGAACTTGAGGCTTTAAACTAACCTGCCACATCAAAAGAGGTCTATTTTTCTGTGAAAAAAAAAACAGGAATATGTTAATGCAGGCATTAGTTTTCTTACTTAAGCCTGTCTTTTTACAGCCTTACAGCTCCCATCTCTCCCTTTGTAGGTTTGGAGATCACTATGAATGGAACAAAGTCACCACCTGCGTGCACAACATCCTGAGCGGGCGGCGGTGGATAGAGCACTACGGGGAAATCACTATAAGAAACACAAAGAGCAGCGCTTGCCTCTGCAAACTTACCTTTGTCAAGGTAAAGAAACTGCTCAGATTTAGCTTCCATGAGATTGATACAAAGGCCACACCCCTAATGAAAATGACATTACGTGCATTGTAGGGAAACTATTGGAGCTCAAACGTAAATGAGGTTCAAGGATTTGTGATGGACCAAGAAGGGAAAGTCATCCACAGGCTCTTTGGAAAATGGCATGAAGGCCTTTACTGTGGTGTCCCGCCATCTGCCAAATGCGTCTGGAGGCCAGGTAGGCATCAGCCCACAGCCGTATGTCCCTTTGGTCTAGCTGTGTGAAGTCCAGCGTTTAAGCTAATGGGGGGCTTTACCGGCTTCCTTTGTCAGGCTCCATGCCCACAGACTATGAGCTGTACTACGGCTTCACCAGATTCGCCATCGAACTGAACGAGCTTTGTCCCGAGCTGAAGGACGTCTTGCCGCGCACAGATGCCCGATTCAGGCCCGATCAAAGGTACTGGCGAGCTGACACTGTGGCAAATCTCAGGGTGCTTGTTTCACTTCACCTGATAGCTGAAATGCATGGTATGTCACAGGCATCTGGAGGAGGGGAACCTGGAGATGGCATCGTCAGAGAAGCAGCGCATCGAGGACTCACAGAGGACCAGGAGGAAGTGGAACGAGGAGAACAACATCAAACACGAGCCACGCTTCTTCAAGTAAGGGCCGAGCCTCCTAAATGGAAACGGAAATAAACCATTCAGACTAGCCACCACAACTCTAAATATATAAAAAAGCTGTTTTAGAGAAGTGATACCAGCAGCACTACTGAGTGGGTAACTAGCGGTTGATAGTTGTCCCCTCCTTTCAGAGAGAGGAAAAAAACAAGATAACCACTTTGAAATGTATAATAATGCAGATATAAACTTAGATGTTCTCTGTTTCTGCCTTCAACGTCCCTGCTTTATTCTGCTATTGTGTAGGGAATTTGAAGTTTAAAAATGTTTGTGTACCATCATCAGGTTTTCCTCACTATATGGAACAAGCTTACATCTACCCCCTTTTGTCTTTGTCCCAGGAAAGTGGTGGATGCCAATCACCGGGAGAGATGGGTCTCTAACAACATGTACTGGGAGCTCCGCAAAAACCCCGGCTTCATCAACATGGAGCCGACAGTCACCCTGTGGTAGCACACCGCTCTCTGTGCCCGCCGCCACAGACCGGAGGCCTGTTACCTATGCACTATAAGGCGAAAACACACCCGACAACATCTGTGTGCATGGACATGAGCAGCTGTGGGTGGCCCGATGCCCGGGGACCCTGTCCAGGTTCAGAGGCGCTGCTGCCACAGGGGTATCCGTCCATGGAAACATGCTGTAGGATCACCTTCATCATGCTTGTCGAAGCTGGGTTGTCAGGGCAACAATATTACCACTCCAGTAGATCTATCCTCTGCTCTTTTAACCTCCGAGTTTGTCCTTGCCTTAAAAAGACACCCATACAGCTCACTGGATTAGGCGCCTTTTAGTTGAAGCCATTTGATTTCCAACTGGAGTTTGGATAGAATAGTCTATAGAGTAGACATTTTGATTACCTAGGATACTGTGCATGCTTAGAGAGCAGCTTTCACTGGCATATTTACTATAACATCAATTACTGTAGAAAAAAAAGAGGTATTTTTATAAAATATCTTTAAAGAAAGACTTTAAAGAAAGAGAATTATGTGAATTGGCAGATTTTATTTATTTTTGCTTTTTACTACTGTTGAATCTATGAGATAGCAGTACTCTCTCAAGGGAAAGGACTCTATAAAGCTAAATGCAACAGCAGAGGAAGCCGGACGGCATTGAGCGTGAGTCAGTGTGGTTTCAGGTGAAGAGCGGACACAGATGGTGGGGTGTAAATAGCTGGATGGCCCCCGTCCTTCCTCTCCCACCACACTGTAATTTTAAACATTATTACATGAAACCAACTCTTCTGAATCACATGGTTACATAAAGTCATAAAACTCTCTTTCCATATATAGTCGGCACAGGTTAAGTGTCTTCTCTCTGGAATGTGCTGCAGAAAGCAGAAATGATAGACTGTCGGCACAAATGCTGCGAGGGCTGAGACCCTTTGTGATTTTAATCCGTATTAAGAGAGCTCTGAAGGCCCTGTAACACTTCCATTTTAGGTCTTAGCATCTACAGTTATGGAACTATGTGATTTGTTTTTTTATTTATTTATTCATTGTGAAATATATCCAACCGGAAAAAAACTTTTTGTAGAAAAAATAAAGAAAAAGAAAAGGAGCAAATTCCTGTCAAAGTTAACCAAATTTACATCCTGATTCTAAGACACCCAAAAAAAGTCATTTACAATCATATAAAACAAGAAAAACAGAAGATTTAGGATTAGCAGTTTGGTATTTGTCTTGATGAATTATTAATCAGTCATCAAATCATGGCTACTTTGTGTCTTGTCGTTCAGGAAAAGATGATTTTAATGGGTCCACTCTGAAACACCAGAGACACCTGCAGGTCCTGCTGGGAAAAGGCAGGAAACCTGCCGTATTAGACGCAACTTTAGCTTTTGTTGAGTTTGTGAGTGTTTAACATGATCAATCCACACCCATTTGTACAGTAACAGCATACTGTACCAGAGCTACTGGAGCGTCCCGCTTCCCCAGAGAATTTACTGCTATGTCGAGGGCTTCTACAAAGCACCGGGTAGTTAGCAGTTTTGTTATTGCAAAGCATATGAGAAGCTTTAACGTTGAACTAGCGCCCCCCTTTTTGATTTCAAGAGTAAGGAAAAATTATCTTTGATCTGCAGCTGTTAGAGAGCACGTTTAGATGGATCTAAATCTTTCTGGACAGCAGGGTGTGGACACTGAGGGAGGACATAGAAACAGCTACACTGAATGAAGCAAAGCCACCCTGCACTGGTCTCCTGGCGCTGTAGGTTACAAAACAAAAAAACAAAAGGGTACTAGTGCTTGTTTTTTTCTTTCCCAGAAACAATTGTGCATAGTTTTATGATTCCCGGATCACACAGTCAGCGCTACAACCCGTCAGCGTCGGTTTCACTTGCTGTGCCTTAACGCATTTATTAATGCCTCACAAACACACACCTGATGGGAATCCCATGCCAAGAAGAAGGTATGCCATTAAGAAGTCAATCCCTGCACACTCTCCACTCCCCGCCTGCCACAGGACCATCCTCATTATGTGCACTGAGGACTTGACCGTTGACAGAACATCACCCAGATTGGCTCGCAGTGGCAGAAACAGGCTCACGCCGCTCTGTGACCGGGTAGACTTTTGAGATCACCACATCTGGCCGCCGCAGTACTCCTGCAAAAGCTGATTCATTCCTCCGCCTACATCGGTGACTAAATCACAGCAGTAGCGCGCAGAGGTCAGGGCAGTGCTTTGTGTAGTGTTTGTATCATAGTCAGAATGTAGAGAGGGAAAAAATAAAATAAAAAAGTCAAGCTCTCTTCTTCCATTGTTCCACCTGCATGTCTAGACAACTTAGCTTGCCAATGAATGTTTGTGATGCCTTATCAAAAAAGAACAAAAGAAAAAAGGTTTTTGTTTTTGCAATTGGACAGTTTTTCCTTTGGACTGACATGTATCATGCAGCACCATGTCAGCTCAGTTTCTTTTCAATCTATTTCCTAATGGGTACCTTCTAAAGTGCAATTTTAACAAAGTACATATCTTTCCATGAACACTGTACACTGCTGCTACATAGTGCTTGTTCTAATAAAACTGCAAAACTCAAACGGAGAGGCATCCGTGTGGTTTGTAGGCTTCTTCATGCCCTCTTAAGCCCAACACACACAACCATGAACTGAAGAAAGTGGATTGGTATCAAGAAACATCATTCAACTTCCCTTGGCTCTGCAGCATAAGCTTTGTTCAATATTTTAAGTATTTTCTTTACATCAAGAAGAAGAAATTGACTTTGTGTGCCCCAAGAGGGAATCTACATTGTATTATCTACAAGTCCAGAAGTCACCCTGTCCGTTGAAATGAAAGGGTTAATGCCAAAAAAAAGAAAATGTTTGAGTCTGTGGGACAGCAAGGAACTGAATGTATTGTATAGCAGGAGTCTGGCATGTATGGCACTATCCTGCCATCAAAGCATTACTTTCCATCTAATTTAGATACATTACAGCAACGAAAATGTTAAAGGAAAAAAGAAAAATTAAGTGTCTTTTGACCAAACAGGACCTATATTTGCTGTGGTGGATTACAGACCTTTTCTGCATGCTGTTGGTGCTTCACTGCATCTCAATTATTCAACAGATCCAGACTGGTGCAGCTGGTCCCCGGGTCAGTCACTGGATCAGTCACTGGATCAGTCACTGGGCCAATACGGCAGGAAGTGCAGCTAATATGATGACTGGCAAGTGATGAGCTCCCTCCAGAAATCTTTGACTCGGTGTCATTGCGACAGCTCTGGGGGGACACATGGCAATCTGCTCCCTCATTACAGCCTTTTGTTTGAGCATTAACAGACACCAGCAGTCATTAGCGCTGTTACCCAGTTTATTCTCTGGATTCATAAACAGGTGCCTGCCATCTTCCCCCACCAGGGTTCAGTCCTAACGATGAAAACAAGTCTGTAAATTTGATAAATTTATCACACGTGTTGCTCCCTCACAAACCACAAGCAAAGGGCAACAGACCAGTCGGGAATAGACGGTTAATAAGCAGGAGCTGTTCAGAGTGTGTTTAGACAGATGGACGAGCAGGCAGGGAAATAAATAAATGCGTTTTTGATGGCATGCTGTCTTTACAGACAAAGTCATGTACACTAAAATCTCTTCAATCCCAACAGATTTAAAGCACTGACGAGAAAAGCTAACTGTAAGGATATTAAAAAAAAGGTTTACAAAACACCAAAAAAAAGATAAATAAATGCTTTGTAATAGTCACTATTGTGTCACACACCTAAAGTCAAACATATCTACATCTTAATCTGCTTTTACAAAATGTCCTTAAAATACTGCAGTCCCACACGTTTTTCTCAGAAATTCTAAATGGTTGAAGCTGCTCTGGGACCCTCATGATTACAAAAATATCTCTGGAGCTCATTATTGCACAGAGAGCTGGTGGTGGCGGCTCAGGGGCTGATGGACCGCGTGTGCCAGAGCACGCCGCTGCTGGGGGTGGGGCTTATTTGCGGGAAGCCATGATCTTGATGTACTGGAGCGCGCTGTGCGCGGCGTCGTTGTGCGCGTTGCTGCAGGAGATGCCGGTGCCGTGGCACACGGTCACCGGAGAGGTGGACAGCTCTGCCAGGCACTGGTACTGACCGTTGACCGTCAGCTCATCTGCCAAACAGGGAGACACGGAGCCCACGTTTAGGGAGCACAGAGGGTCACTGACCTTTTGACCAAAAGGTAAGTAACGCACAGATGTGCACTCTTAACTTCTTGTTTGAGCTTTTCTGAAAACCTGTCACTGTGATAGAGGACGAATAATGATAAGTAAATGAAATGGTCAGTGCCTGTTTTATGTAAGCGACTGGACTTGTACTGAGAGACCAAAGCCGATTTGAGTGTGGCATCTAGCTACAGAGAAAATACAGAAACTAAAACCTTTGTCTTACCGATATCAAAGTAAACCACCTCAAAGCCCTGCTCGTTGGAGAGCTCCAACAGTAGCTGGATGTAATCTGTGTTGGGAATGCTCAGGGGGTTTCTCCTCAGCAAAGATATCTTCTCTGCTGTGGAGGTCTTGATGCTCTCAAGTCGGATGTTTGACTTTGGAGTCTGTGTGAAGAAAGTGAGGATAAGTTGTAAAAAAATATATATATTTTTTTTTTTTTAAAGAAAGGAGTAAGAGCCGAGTGTGAAAATCCCACGCACCCACGTGATTTCAGAAGAGCCTGACAAACTCTGCAGCCTGGCCACAATTTTCTCCGCCGCTGCCTTTTTTGCTGCTTTTTTGGAATTTCCAACAGCTGCAACACAAAACGGGGATTTAGAGCAGGGTGAGAGGCGCCACAAAAATGAAAACTTTGTTGGTTTTCATAAATAACCACCTTTTTCTGACAGCGACTCCATTCTACACATGACCGAGAACTCTCTCAAATGCGGCGGGCCGGCCTCCTGTAAAACTGTGTATTCAGGACGCCGCCATCCTCGCTGCAACGCCACCTCCTGAAAGGAAGAAAATCATTCTTAACTCTTGTCAGCCTCCAGTGCCTACTGCAATCACTTTCGAACTAATCTTTGGATTATTTAGCAATAGTTATTTATTCAACAATAAATAAAGTGTAGAAAGGAAAGAGGAGAGCCTTGACTGGCAGACCTGCAGTAAGCCCACGGCGTTGGGATGGTTGTTTGTTTCTGCTCCATCGCCATTAGTGTCAGATCTCCCAGCTACATTCCTGTTGGGCGTCAACATCAGAGCACATCAAAGCTACGTGTCAGAGATCCTCTTTCAGAGGATTATCTTTAGCTGCCATATAGAAAAGATCTGTGTGAAAAGCCTCCAACAGACTAACTGCTACATCGATAGCACAGATTTCATTTCTGTATTCGGTGATACAGAGCCTACTTCCAATCTAAGAAAAGCACATTTATTTGGGCATTTTTGCCCTTGAAATAATCCCAAACAACGACATTCTATCCACATTTCACATCCACTCACCCAGTTCTAGCTTCTATGTTCAGACAGCTCAGCACAGCCTCCGCAGCCTGATGTTTGGCAGCTTTTTTACTCGGTCCTTGACCTGTCGCAAAATACAGTCAAATATCTGTAGAACATACCAATAATTATTCCCCGGCTTAATTTTATTAGGAAAAGGTTAACTGTCGAGGAACAAATTGGAGAAAACGTTCCTTTCATTTTGCTCTGGGGTGTCAAACTCCAGTCCTCGAGGGCCGCTGTCCTGCAGGTTTTAGACATTTTCTTGCTTCTGCACACCTGATTCTGATTAAATTGGATTTCCTCTGGACATTGTTGAGCTTTGCACAACCTGCTAATGGCACTTTGATGTGAATCAGGTGTGTTGAAATAGGGACACGTCTAAAACCAGCAGGACAGTGGCTCTCGAGGGACTGGAGTTCGACACCTATGACATAGGGGAAATATTTAAGAGGATATGGTATGTACATAACACTTGGAGTGGACAGTGATCTCTGAAAGGGCTGTGTGTGGGTTCCAGCCTCCAACAGAAGGACTGGATGGTACCTGTGCAGCTAACGTCTCCAATGGTCACGCTGAAGACGAAGCTGGGCTGGTGAGCCTCCCCCTCGGCCCTCTCCATCACGTACACCGGGAGGCTGCCACTTTTGATGCCGTATTCATGTAGGATTTGGATGGGGGTCTTCCCAGGACTGCTCCTCGGCAAATCCAGCTCGTTGAAGCTTGTAAAGACAGAAAAAAACTCTGAGCAGAGCTAATAGGAGCTGCACCTTGACGGCTTGCGAAATTATCATAGATTTGAGCAATTATGTCCCGTAGATTTCAAATATTTCGTTGATTGACATGTGCATTTGATAAATGAACCTAGCCAAAACCCCGCAGTAGCTTCTGGATTTACACCCGTTATAAACAGCATGTGCTTCATTCAGTTAATTGTCACAAACGCCGAAAACGAGTGTCCCTTTTGACGTCCTGTTACAGGTTAGTTTGATTCAATTAACATGAACGTGTAAACAAATAAAACTAGTTGTTAGCTGTAGCTCGTGCTACTCAGACAGGTAATTGTTCTCAGCTTTGCTGTAAAATGTGTTTTCTGTTTCGATTCTCTGTTGACCACATTCATAGAAACTGGCTTTAGGTATCGTGTTTTGAACAGTTTCTAGCGCTTATGTTAACTGCAGTGATGGCCTTTAGGTTTTCAAACACCATCAACCAGTCTCTGGAAGTGGATAGCAAACCCTGAAAAACGAGTGAGGGTAAAATCACCAACCTTGTGTCGGGGGTAGTTTTCACTGCTGGTGACTGATATCCCTCTTGAGACATGTTTACCGTTTAAACTCACTCTTTTAGCATGGAAATTGCACAATTTTTTGTACGCCAGTTAGATTTACATTACGGGGCATCAATCTATCTATTTCTTTATTTATTTTTCCTAAACGTGAACGCTAATTTGAGTTGTAGCCTTGGCGGGGAGGTTGCCATATCAACATCCGGGTCGTTTCCAGTCAACAAAGATGTCCAGCGCCACCTGCTGGTGGCGGTGGTCCTGACTCCCGAGCGGCATTTTTACAAGGATGTCACTCAATTCTTTCATCCTATTCTGGAACTAACAAAGCAACAGAACCACGACTTGTAAGATAAGAAAAGGTTGAAAATCTCTATCTAAAAGTGTACTCAGTAATACACACCTTATAAAAATTTATTTAGACACGTGCACACAACTGATATTTCAGTATAATCTTAAAATATCTGTCTTCTTAAAGATGTAGTCACTTAAGCCTCTCTCGGCACAGACTGCTTCCACTGGTTGAAATGTGAGTGCGCCTGATTATTCCACCAACTGCTAAATCACTGTCAGAAGTCACATTCAGGGGTAGAATGACATTGTATTTTATTGCAAGTCTGAGTTAGCTGACAATTATGTGATAAATGCAGATTCTAGAGCGTAAAAATATTATACTCTGAAGTGGAAACTCCTGTCCCTAATTTATGTCAAGAAAATAAAATTATAACTTTTTAAATAATCGTTATTCATAAAAATCAATTGATTAAAAAACAGCATTTTAAGATATTGTTTTCTTCTTGGCAAAATCAGTCGTAGACAATCATATAAGTTACCATGGTAACAATGACCCAGTCTTGTAAACAGTCAAAGACTACTGAATACCAAACAGCAGTAAGTATGAAGAGCTTGGTTTTGGCCAAGGTGCGAAATGTACTCTTAAAAATCTGTGACAGAAGTTCATTGTGTGAAATCACATCATCAGTCCTGCAGACTTGGTGGAGGGTCCTTGGGGACGGGGAAGACCACTTTCTGGCGGAGTGTGAAGGCCGGTTGAGGCATCTGCTTTTTCTGACCGTAGGGATCACTCATCCTACTGACATCTGCGTTCACTTTTGTCAAAATGGAGACAAGGTCAACCTGGCTGGAAAGACAAGAGAGGATGGCATTAAAATTAAGTCATTTTCTCAAAGAACTTTTCTCATATCTAAACACAGAGATAACTAAATAAGAAGTAGGCAAAAATATTCAATTGGTAAACAAATAAGCCAAATATAAAAGACTGACCTAAACATATTGAGCTTAATTAACTAATGACTTTTGAGTGGGAAAATGGAATTGGATATGGTATACAGGATCAGAGGAAAAGGAGTGGACATCCAAGAGTTCTGATAACTTTTATCAGACTTAGAACTTTACTACAAAAAGGATAGCGCTTGCTCATGAACAGTTGTCCATCCAAAAGTCTGTTATATGGCCTTAACTACTCAAAACACCTTTACAGTAATATCAAAGACTCCTTTTTACCTGGTTGAAAAATGCTATGTCAAAGTTAATTACTTAACTGTGTGCTAAAATATTGGTTGAGTATTCACTTCAAAGCAGTTCATGGCAGCAGTTTGACACTTCCATAAAGTGTTTTTTTAAAGAGTTCAAGTTTTTCCAAATAGTTGGTCCCAACTATTTCCTAACCCTCAGCTGTTTATTACTAAAATAACACAGTTTTATTGTCTTGGGTTACTAACCTGGGCACCATCTCGACAAGGTTCTGGCACAATGACTGGATGTACCATGTGCCAGTCTTCTTATGTCTGAAGGAGACGTAAGAAGGAACAGTGGCCATTCCCAGCAGGAAATCTGCTCCTGATGGGATGAAGTCTTTGTTTGGCCGTGCGTCAGCACAAAGATCACCGTCAATCTCCACAGGTCTTTGCTCTTTGTTCCCCTGACAGGCCTGGATAAAGAACAGTTTGGGTTTTCCCGCTAAAGAGGGGCATTCTGGCCCATCAAAAGGCTCGGTCAGGTCTTCCAGCGCCACAGCCTGGCCGTCCACGCCGCACACATTCCCCTGGTGGCCGTGGCTGAGGACGCAGACCACCAGGCAGTCCATCTGACTGTGGTCTCTTTTGCTGAGTTCACGTAGCACAGACAGAATCTTCCCACCGTCGCAGTCAGTGTAGGTCAGCACTTGGAAGCCAAGCCACTCAAAGACCGTACGCAGACTTTCTGGAGAGAGGAAAAATGCATGTAAACACACAAGCCAGCACCGGGATACGACCAAACCCTTGATTTCACTTGAGAAATACAGGAATACTGAAACTCAAGCTTACTTTCGTCAACCATGGTTCCCTCACGCTGGCGTTGTCTTTGGGATTTAGAGAAGTCGTAGTTGTTGACTATCGCACAGACACCTCTCTTTGCTGAAGCCATAGGATACGTTCCCAAAGTCTACAGAAATAAAAGCAATAAAACTGATTTATTCATTAAAGGACGGTGAAGTAACACTTATAAAGATAGAACTTGTGTTTACGAGCCATGAGCACAATAACAGGGTAAACATATGCTGTACATGTAAAAAAAAAAAGCTCTCTTCACACAATTATCATACTTATGTGAGCAAGAAAGAGAAACAAGATCACAAACCTCGTTTTTTGTCTGAGCGGAAGCGTTGTTTTCTTGAGAAGGTGTGATTACTGTGTGCAATAAAATTTTAGGAGAGAAGAGACATTATAATGGGAAAGAGACATTATAATGGGAAAATATGTCATCTGGCAATAACTGACAAAAGCTAGATGGAAGACAGACAGGAGATTTTAATTATGCATGTTTCTGTACCTAAACTGCCAATTCCATGCGTCTCTGGCTCACATTTTTCTGTACGTTTGTGGAAGTCTAAGGGACCAATATAAAGGTCAAAATAATTAAATGATGAACTCTTTAAAAAGTAGTTTTTCGCCTTTTTTTAATGGATGATAAATTGACTTACCGAGAGATGTGCTGGCAGAATTTATTGACTGAATGGGATATAAAGAGAGATCAGAAATAACGATTTAAGGCAGGCATTTAAACGATAGGGAACTTCTAGTCACTGAGTTCTGTCCGTTTCTTACCGCATGTGCTGCTGGCAAATCTTCATGAAAGGAAAAAATTGTAATTAGGATCATAAGACTTTGAAAAATAATTTTACCAAACAATGTGCTTTTAAATGTAGTTGAAAAATTTAGCTTTTGCTCCATTTAAACTGTAGGATTTTGGAACTAATTCCTAAGAAATCCCAACAAGCCACATTCCCAAAGACCCATGCAACAAAGTCCTCTCGTAATTCCCAGCAGAGGCTTTTGAATCTGAACTCACCTGCTGTGTCAAACGAGCCAGTGCTCCGAATAGACCCCAAGGACTGGCAAGAAATAGATTAAAAAGACATTAGATAGCTGGAGCAATTATGGATAACGTGGATTCAAAGAACCCTCGCAGCTTTTACCGGGTTTGAGGTTGAAGGAACGGACGAGGATCTTGGCCGGCCCGTTTCATGGGCTGTGAAGTCGTTAGAATGTCATGTGAAAAACAAGAGAAATGGCTAAACTGGTCATTTGCAAACAGATTATTCAGATCGTCTTAGGAGTTGCACAGCTAAATGTGTCCTGAGCGTTCACGTTCATCATTCTGTACACTTCTTCTTGCTCAGACTGAGTTTTTAGTCCTTAGCTGGTTTTTGTCATGCAGTGCTGTATCTCAATAAAGATTTGTGGGAGTAAACCCACCTTAGCTCCCAGCCACTCATTCTAAGTGTTTAATCCAAAATGTGAGAACATGTCATTTGATTTATCTCAACTTCTAAATTGATTTATTAAAAGACACATTGATTGTTTGTTTTTAATCGCGATTGTTCTGCACTTTTGGGTGTTTTGTGCTCATGTTTGGACGCTCACCCTGCTGTTCTTTAAAACGGTTGATCTTTTCACACAGAGCAGGGTGCACAGTTCTAATTATATACTCCAGTTTATTTAGATTAGTGTCACTAAGGAGGTCCCTTCTTTCCATCTCCAGGAAAATTTCCAGGGTGGTCTGAAAACACAAGCAAGAAACAATGTTGCAAGGCAACATTAGATACAATTACCCTAATCTGTCCCGGGAAATGTCCTTTTTATCAATGAAATTCAGCTCAGCTTAATAAAATAAATGTGTGATTTCTGACTGTAAGATGAATTCTGACAAATGAAGATTTTTTACTTTGATTTAACATGTTTGATTAAGGTAAAAAGAACTCACAACATGATCCTCCAATTTTCTACGTGGGACGTCTTGGCCTAGAATGAATTTGATATCTTTCAACTCTTGGGCAGTAATATCCTCAGACAGTTGGTAGAGCAGTGTTCTGCAATTAAAGAAAATCTCTGAAATGCAAAGCTCCAACTGAAAATATTACATTTCAATCTTTTACATTCTTGAATTTAAAAAAGGGGCAAATCAAAGTCAAGTCCACAAGTTGAGAGGTAAAAAAAAATCGGCTTGACGATGAAAAAAAATCCCCAGAAACATAATAAATCGCTTTTCTTTAAAGGCGTTCACACTTATATTAGAAAGAACTGAACCTTCAAATGGTTTGCATAATGTAAACAAATGAGTCTGCTGACTACGCGTGGTCAAACAGTATGGCTTGGTTCATCCACGTCTCAATATTTTCTGTGTTTCTATAGTTTTGATGAAAATGAACGTGCCCAGCACACCTGTAGGGAGAGATGAGTCTGGTTCTACATTCCGGCGACGGGAGATGGAGGCCCCGCAGCAGACGGTGGCGTTGGATGGTGCTGAGAAGCTCTGTGAGCAGCTGTGGGTCCTCCGCTGACAGGCGGCCCTGGTCAATCAGCTTAGAGAAGAGGTCACTCGCCGATTTCACCGATTTCAAGTTTTGGTTTAAAAGGTCAGTGCAGAGAAAGACTAAAGCATTCACTTCCTCCTCACTAAGAGCGTTGGCCACATCCAGCAGCAGCTTCTGGAAATCCATTTCCTGCAGAGAACAACAGCAACATTTTTTGTGGGATATCTCAGGTGGAGACAAAGGAGGGGTAGGCTGTCGCTAACAAAAAAAAAAAACCCAAATAACAAAAAAAAGAATAAGAGTGAAATGTTCCAAAAGCTGTAAAGTGTCAGTTCATCTGTCTGAGGTATGAAACAGGGGGATCATGATTGATCATTTCTACTAATCCTGATGCATCTGGTATCACTTCATAATCATTTAAAAATTCAAGTGTAGCCTCACAGTAAAATAAATAAATATTTTGCTTGACTGTTACTGAGAGAAAATATTTCATTTCAGGTAAACACCTTTCATTCTAATGTCAATCCTCCAGACTCACACAGATCAGCGTTTAACTTAACTGCACAGAAACATGCTGTTCGTTACACGTGCAGGAAGCCATGGAAGCCACGAGAGTGACTGTCAGAATCAGAACAGTGTGTGAACAGGATACCGTGTTAACGTAAAAAAAAAAAAGTTTTTGTCAATGGAGTCTGGTGAATGTTGATTTGAATGCAGATCACGTGCTCTAACTGCAGAATTTTCCTTTTCACATAATCTTCCTGGGCATTACTGAGGAATGTTTTCCTGTCCCACTGCTCGGCATCTGCTCTCTCCTTTGGTGACTCATTTGATTACATCAGATGTGTGCGTACGGTGAAATACTCCACTTTTTTGTTGTTGCTGACACAAACACGATATGCCATGGCAACCCTGAAAATCCCTGCTGCTCAGTTGTGATTAAAGATATTTCTCCTTCCCCCATCAACAAACTGTATAAGTGATAAAGGGGCACAAGTGGCTGACGTTGCCTGAATCCTGCACAAAACTGCAGTAAAAGTTGATATTTTAAACTATGATGTCCTGCAGAAGAATGTGAATTGACTGGGTTTCGAGCTACTGTTTAAGGGCAAATACTGCTGTCACCTTTCAGAAGACTTAGCCAGGGATGCCGCTTACGCCAGGCCAACAGGCATCTGGGTCAAAGGTGGTGAAAAGGAGGTTGAAAGCTTGAAGTTTGACGGGCTGAGTGATGAACGATGAACGTGAGTAGACATAACTAAACCGAGACCCTCAAAATGATGATCTACTAATATAAGAGGTAAGTAAGCAGTGATAGGTGCTTTTTAGGACAAATAAACAACAACCCCTAAGTTGTGTGTCCCTAACACACACCCTGGATGTCTGAAACAGGAAGACCCCCAGAACAGTGGCTCAGCAAAACAACAATCACCAAGTTAAAGGCGACATAAACCCATAAACTAGGTGGAAACGTTTAAGAGATTTAAGAAAATATGTGTGGGTCCAAGTATCATTACGCACAGAGGAGGATGACTCAGTCAGCCCCAAGGTTGCTCTCAAAACCGAAAAAAGGGTAACTTCATAAAAAATCTTCCCTCAATCTGACAGGATGCTTCAATTCTGTCCCGGAAAACTGTATTTGCATTTTTTTTTAGAGAACTCTTGCATGGAAATCTATGATTGTCCTGTTCAGCTTTCCACCTATTTCCACCAAAAACTCTTTCAGATATGGATACAGGCTGGGATTAGCAGAAAACCGGGCAGAAGTGCATTCTGAGCTGCTCAGAGCGCAGAGTCCGGCCCCAACTGACCCTCACACACACACAGTTATTCTCATTACATAACACCGGCACAAGCTGACCAGCTCACAATAAGGAAAGCAAGAATGACCCATTACCTGTAGGTCTGCCCGTCGCCAGCGCACACAGCCATTTGTCACATCTGGATAATGGTTCCCTCCATTTTTAATACTCAACCACACATGTGCCAGTGAGAGTCAGGGGAAGCTGCATACCTGTCCGGAGACGGTCAGACAGCGGCCAGCTGTTCAGCGGCTCCGTAGCGACCCAATGTTACAGTGGAGCCAAATGAGGGAACTCATGGAACATCACAGACGAACTTATTGGAAACCGACAAGCAGGAAGTAGAATATCGAAAGTGAGTCTCAGCCGCAGTGACGTAGGGAGACTCAGCAGTAGTGCCTGCACACAGGATGAGCAGTTTCTATGTAAATGTCTGTTGCACAAGCAGACTAATAGTTAACGTGGAATGTGTTTTTTTATGTTATTTATCGTTAGTGCTGACAGATAACTTCTGTCAAATCATGACCATCCAGATAGCAATGGCACCAAAGTGAGTGAGGTCAGCTTCAGGTTAAAGGGCAGTGGCCACAGACCTATGAGCCTGTCATTTCCTTAAAAAATGCATTCCAAAAGGGTCATTTACAAGACATTTCTTAGGTCGTGCACTAAAGGAAAGTTGCTAACTGCATTTTGAGGTATAGCAGGGTTAATGGCAGATAAAGAGAGTCTAAAATCTAATGTCTAATGTCAGAAATATTTAAAACATCAATTAAACTGGGATTATTGATTAGTCCTGAAACCTATTGAGTATGAAATGTTAGATATTTGTGACTAGTCTACAAACAGAAGACAAATCCTTGTTTAGCTTCTATTGCATTACTCACTGTGCTCTCTTTATGAAGTCTAAATGTATTTTGCCCCATTTTTTACATTTTGTCTGAACACAATGTTTATTGAGGAAATGCTCATAAAATTATGAAACAAAAACATCAGACTCTCCTACACTGGTAGAAGATAAAGGTTTGTATTCACAAAGGTTTTGGCACAGATGTGTCACAGCTTTTATTCATAATTCAGTCCTAAATGTATAGTGATTTGACAGCTTCATCTTTATTGGCCAACTGTGTGACAAATGTACAAATATCCTGAGAGTTCAAGACTTCAAGAGTTCATAGAATGAAAAAAAGTTTGGATTGATATGCAGGTTGTAGCATTGCATAAAACATAAGAATGATGAAGTTAACAGTTAGCTCCTATGTAAATATGTATATATACATATATATAAATATATTTGCAATGAGCAGTGGAACAGTGAGACATTAAAAATGTTGAGGGTCTCATTGCGGTTCAGTCTTCAGGGTGGTGATGTGTCCTCTGCGTCTCACCCTGACACTGAGCCATGCCCGGCTGTTCACTCCTGAGCGGTTGAACCGGAAAGACTCTGTCAGGGAGAAAACACACGAGTGAAAAACACAGTCAGTGTGTTCCAAAACTGGTGCTAACACTGCACCCATACGCTCAATTCAGAGATCTCCATTTCTGCAAAACGAAGGGAGGAATAAGAGGAGTGATGTCTTCAACTTAATAAAGAGACTTAAGTGGCAGTTGTCATTTTTTTCCAGCTCACTCAGTTTGTGTTTCTAGAATAACTTTTGAATGTTATAATGCCTCCATCTGACTCTTAGGTGGTACTGCGGGTTAAGTAATCAAAGCGGAGGAACGGCTCATAGAAATTCCGTCACTTCATCTGCACACAGGCTGGGTAAAGCACTGGTACCTCACAGGCCTCAGTGACAAATACTTTTATGTCCTGGTGCAAATATTTGACTTGTAAGAGGCAGATAACCCTAAAATTAACCTTAAATTAGAATACACAGATTTATATTCCTTCTGGTTTTTTATACCCGCTTTAGGTTTACAGGTTAACAGTTCAGTAGAAGTAACAAGTAACTAACAAGAGTTTATACACATGTATCTGCACCCTTTGTAATTTAAAGCATAACGGCATAACCTTTACATGTATATTAAATTAATTTAACTGAAAATGCTGCTAATCATCATTGAAAAATGTATAATAATTATCAAATAGGAAAGAAAGTCATTAAGGTGAGAGAAGAAAATCCAAAACAAATATATATAGTTATATATATTTACATGCTATTATATACTAACTTAACTGAAGTCCTTTAAACTAAAGGTGAAAAAAAAACAGTTAATCATCAACTGTATCATCAAAGACCAAACCCCTTTGTTAAATTAGACAGGACCTGTATTTCTGATTAAATCTAAAAACAGAAACAATAAATGTATCTCTGTGTTGTATACAGTGTATTTCCTTTCCAGTCTTGAGTCACCAGACTCAACTCTCTTCCTTCTGATAGCTCCTGTGTTCATAACCTCCTACTCAACTGAAAATATGGTTAATATTTGATTAATAAATATTGGGAAGCTCTAGACTGTTATTTATCTTCTGCATTATTATCAATGGATTATCAATGTAATAAAATCCCTTATGAGTAAAATTATTTTTAGAAAGAAAAAATATTTTAATGATTTGTTCAATATTAATAGGAGCTTTTGATGGTGGTGGTGTCTCACAGCAAAAAGGTTCAAGGTAGGGAATATGTTGTCATGTGGTTTTACTGACAGGATTACAGCTTCAGTGAGCTGAAATCTTTTTAACCAAATGAGGCTACCATTGATGGGAGTTCTCATTTATGATTTTCTCTTTTTTTTTATCCAGATCTACCTGTAAACTCTTTTCCATCTGTCTTTCAACTTAAATGAGCAGATTAAAGCAGGCATGAGTGTGTCTGTGAGCACCTACTGTCAGTAATGAGGGAGTGGACTGATGCCATGTGCCTTCGGCCCAGGCCGTGACTTCTGGACAGGACGCAGTCCAGATACATGTCCCAGAAGACCCGGGCCAGGTCCCAGAACAGCGCCGTGTGCTTGCCGTTGTCCGATGACCTGAGGGACTCCATCAGGTCCCAAAAGGCCGGCACCGTGTCCGCGAGCCTGGGGGCGCGCATCTCCAGCAGCCGGGCCGAGGACGCGTCCCAGCACTGGGGGTCCGCCTGCTGGACCGCCAGGGGGTCCACCTGCCCCGGCCTCTGGCCCTGCAGCGGCACCGCGCACAGGCTGGTCAGCACGAACACTGCGGCCGCGGCGGCCAGGTTGGCGAGCACCGGGACCATCTTTAAACCCAGGAAAACACGCAGCAGGTTTTCCAGTTAAGCTTCCATTTCAATACATTTTTTTTTTTTAATGTTGGCTGGTCTTTGACAATAGCTACTGAAAAGTTATTCAATTAGAAAGGCCTAACATCTCAAATATAAAGGCAAATTGTACTTTTCAATAATACATTTGGACTTACCTCTAAAGCTGGTCTGTCTACTGTTTTCAGTGTTGATGGGGGTAATAAATATCTGTTGGTCTTAACTGACGTCAGAGCCTCCCTCCTTTGCAAGCCGCTTCTCGTTTATTAATAATATGTTTCGTTTCTTTTGTTTTCCATTTGTTATCTTTTAGGGATTTTTAGAGGTTTATTACTTGACTTTTAGCCTGGATCTATCTTTTGATTAATTTTTCAATTAAAATAGGCAATCCAAAGCAGCTTTATATGCACATCTAATACACCAGGGTGGCACAAATAGCTTCAGAGAATCATTTAACACACTTAAAATCAACCATTTAAAAAATAACAATGACCAGAACAAATGTAGAATATTTGAAATTCTTTGAATGTAGAAAAATGTCAGCTCCTCAAAATATGAGAAATTATGAACAAGGTTGCATTCTGTAACAAAGATGTACAATCTGAAACCATGAACTGATGAAATCGAAGGTGGGCCCAGGTGCGGAGTCAAAGGACTCAAATGTGACAGAGGTTAAAGATATTCTAAAAGCCTACACAAAAACAAGTCTGATGATTATGGGAATTTTTCGTCACAATATAAAGAAATACTGTCACACATAACCATTCCTTTTCTCATAGTGTTGACCTGTGTTTGAAATCATCATTGGAGGCCCCTTTCCAGAGAAAGCCTTTACATTCTAACAAACTACTGCAGTCAAATCTGATAGGAAACAGCGTTTTATTCTCATGAACTAACATTGAAAATGTCTTAAATCATGGTTGGAATTGTTTAGAACATAAAAACCTGATTTAGCTGATGGCTTGAATAATGAACAACAAACAGTTTCTGTCAGATGTTGTTTTGCTTTTTTTTACATTCTACTCTGTCTCAGCTCAGAGCTTTCAGACAGTATGGTGCTCAACGTATAGCAATGACACCCCACATATAAGCAACATGACCTCTCAAAGTTGGGTAGTGCTGCCTTCTGCAAAAACAAACTTAGAAACAAACGGTGTTCCAGAGAGAGGTAAACGAGTTTCGTCTCTGTGCTTTTACTGAAATGTCACATGCATGCCTGATCTCAAATGTAATTACTTTCACAGTGAGAGGCCAACACTAAATGTACTAGATGGCTGTCTTACTCATTCAAAACTCTGATGATTGGAAAAAAAAGAAGAAAAAAAACAACCATTACAACATTTCCGCCGTCTGAATAAATTCTAACTTTTAAATGAGGACCGTTTTCCTGTTCATACTTCAGACACCAAATGTAATGTGCAAGGGAGGTGTGTTATGCCCAAATAATGACATTTGCTCATTGTGCTGCTTTGTGTGTGATAACATCCACCACCAGTCTCAAATTACTGTTAATTTAACCCCAAATACCTTTATGAGGGAGGTAGGGGATGCTGGACGGTGCTCATCCAATGACGTCTGTTCAATTGATAGTTTGTTCAAGACAAGTACTGCGTGTCCAACTGCACCCTTGTGTATTTTTACGTCCCCTCCCGGTCTAGATGTTCTACTTTCCACTTCATCTTTGAATGGTTAGGAATGTGTCCACGTTTTACATACATCATACATCGTATGATGCATCTACTTTTAAATGCATCATAATGTTATAGCTAAGATGATAAATGTCAAGTACAAATGGAAAAACTGCCCCCCCCCCCCGCCCCCCTCTCACATCATGGTATGAACATGTGTCAGGCTGTAGACAAGCTGTGTTCACAGATAAGTGGTGTGTTACCGTGAGCATTTATTTCCCCATTTCAGATTTTTTTTGTACAATATCACACATTCATTAATAATTTGGTTAATATTGCAGTCACAACAATATTACATTGTTCACAATCATGCTTATTGACTTTATCTTTAGTATTCTAAATTACATGCATCCTCTTTTTAAAGTACCTCTTCTCCATTGTGCTGCAGAATAACCAGTGATCAGACGTAGAGACTTTAACCACTAAACAAAGCACTCAATCAGAGATAATGAGCACCACTTGACAATGTGTGTGTTAAGATTATTTTATATATCACAGACGGCATATCTTATCAGCTCTGTGGGAAGGGCTTTTTTAGTTTGATTTTAATAGTCCCATTCTGTTCATCAGGCCAAAATGTGTCCTACAGTTTCACAAAGAGACAGCAGGTGGCATCCGGATAAGCCTTTCCAGCCTTCCTGACCTCCCGGCACTTTTTTTAATATAAAGTGTAGAATTTAACAATTCATTAATAACAAACATCAGTGTTAATGCTGTTAGCTGTACCAAATATAAAAGTAAGCCCTTCTGTGAACGTGTAACGAGAGCAACACAAGAAAAGAAACAAATGCTCAGATAAAATTTGTCAAATTTGTTTTTTAATGGGTCCAACTGTACATGATGCAGTGAGAGAGGGACACCAGACCATGAGCAATATGGAGGATTACAGCGATGCCAGCGCTATGGCAGCACCTGGAACACACCAACTATCAGCTGGATTGGAAATGGTTGCCCTGCACAAGGAAACTGTTCAGGCCTCTATATGTACAGGCACCATACAGAGAGAGTGTGTGTGTGAGTGTGTGCGTACATGTGTGGTTAAAAATGTCAGACTGGATGAAAAACACACAAAAATGATTTTCAGTTCCACAAATGTAAAAGGGTGCGCTCTCGCTTTTCATTGGAAATATTGATCAGATTCTTTTGTATTCTTTTGACTTATGTGTCCGTCCACAGTTTGAGGCGAAATGAAATACGGAGACGTGGGAGTAGCCAAATACAAAAGATTAGCAGATCAGCAGAGGTTTTTGAAATTCCATGTCTACATTGATATCACTATAACCCATACTTTTGTGCAATATCTCTCTTTGCATAGTAAATAAAAGTTAAATGTTTTTGTTGTTGACATGCACCTATCTTTTGTAGCATATTGTTCTTGCAGATTTTAGGGACTCCCATATAGACTTATAAGCCCGCTATAATGATTACATGCAGCGTTACCAGAAGAGCTGAACTTGACTTCTACTAAGAGTTTATGAGAGCAAAATTTAAGCCAATATAGTGGGTGTTGATGAACAGGGGCTGTTCGGAGACACCTGGCTGGACAGGTGTGTGGACAGAACTCGTGCCCTCAGCAGTACGAGCGGCACCGTTAGCTGCAGACAGAGGGGGAAAGTGCTCCGTGTGCAACAACATCCATATGTTCAGGTGATTGGTTCTTTGGCTTTTGAGTCACCGTTGGAGATACTTCAGGGAGAGATCTTGTCGGATGTGGTCCCAATCTGGATCCCTGTAGAAATGGCATGCTTCCAATTCGACACCACCATCTAACAAGATCGGATCGTTTTGGCCCACAGTCTTTGCCGCGGCTTTTCTTCAGCCGCCGTGCTAAAAACGCCCGCCAAGCAACACGCCGAGATAGAAACCGAGCACGCAATGTCTTGTGAAATACGCTGTCAACTCCAAACCTGAACTCATTATTTATTTACAGTATTGGGTGTGTGTGTGGCGATGTGCATGTGTGTGTGTGTGTGTGTGTGCATTCACTGTGAGGTCTGCACTTTCCTGATGAGTCCTCACATGCAGCCCCTTAACAGGAGCTCTGACCGGATTTCCACTGGGTTTGGTTTTAATTAGGCTTTCTCCTGCACTAGCTTTTTTTTTTTTTTGTTTCTTTTGTTGTTGTTGTTTTTTTAAAACATTTTCTGTCTTTGTATGTTGTTTTTTTTGCAGTATAGTCATAGCTTTGGTAGCCATGCTGAGCCCTGCTGAGGCTCTTCATGCCAGGGGGGCCAGCAAGCAGCACACTTTGTGTGGATAATCATGCCAGGTGAGAAGATGGTGTGGTTTCCGCCTGAACGCCTGTGCACTGGCACTAGAGAATGGAAGAGGAGATCTGTCACTCTATAGAGATCGGGGAGGAGGGGCTGGGGTGTTACATGGGTGAGGTGGAATTGAAAAGGCTGCGTTGATAATGTCACTACGATGGAATTTGTTAAAATGTCCACTATGTCTTTTTCAAGTAAATCTAATGCCAAAGATCAGCAGCAATAAGTGCAGTCCAGCTGTCAGGTAGCCAACTAAGGAAGCCTAGGAGGAGTCCGTCCGTATTTATCCTCTCTCCCCAAGTTAAATGGCTGAGGCGTTGGGGTCGTATCGCCGCTTCTTCACATTTCTTATGAGGAGACAAGAAAAAAGAAGTCAGTTTCTGCTGTAATCCCGTCTGTAACACAGCTAGTACAACCTGGACAAGCAACCGCACTCATCTCCACAGTTTACAGTGTTGGGCCGCAGAGAAAATTCTCCAGATCGCTCTGTAAGTGGTTGATCTATTGAAGAGCACCAAATGTAAAAGAAGAAAAATCCCAGTGTGCAATTTTTGAGAAGTGAGTTGAGGAAAGGCTGGTCCATGTTGGCCAGTTCAGCCTTGACTGAAACGAGGGAGTCAGAGGTATTTATAGTCACAAACTCATGATGGTGTAGAATTTGTTTTGAAAGTCAGCGTAGTAGCATGACAAATTCTGGAGGCAGGAAGTAATATTTACTTCCAATTAACTTAACATTTTCTCCCCTATGTGCGTATAATTTGTAAGCAGTGGATTGATGTGATACCTGTAATTGGTCCTGTGAGCCAATAAACACTAAAAGTACATTTTCAAATACAGCAATCACATCATTTCTAATCATTTCTGAATATAAATAGCCTCTTATTGCCCTCTTGCAGTCAAGTTCTGATTGGCTCTGGTCGTGCAACAACAGTTTACACAGTGAAGTGTAGGAGACATGTTTCATTACCAGTTTTGATGGGAAAGACATTATTCCACTTAAAACAACCATCTAGGAGGAAAGAGCTAACATAAAATATACTCTACGGGGGAGGAAAAGAAGAGACAACCACATGAACAATGACAGCAGCGGCAGCAGCCACAAGAACTACTACCAACAGTGGGACAACAAGTACGACAACAGGAGTGATGCATAACCTCCCCGTACTGTGGCTTGCTGTGGGGCTTCTATCACTCGGTCATGCACCTTTTTCCAATAGTAGGCCAGTAGAGGGTGGCACTATTGCTGTGCGTGGGTCATGCAGTGCAGTGCGCCGTGTCTGTACCAGGTCTGTGAAGCAGGCAGCAATGGCAGCTGGTGTGGGCGGGTCCGAGAGTTCTGCTCTGCTCTAGGGCGGAGCCTGGCCATCCGGATGGGTGTGGCCAGCCATGGCACAAAGGCTGCAGGCAACAAAAAGGGTCCTGGCTTCTCTCTGTGTGTCTCTCTGCTGTCGCTATCACCACTCCATTTAAAGGCTCAGCCTCCAACAGTAACGGATTGGGAGAAAGATCATGGAAGTGATGAGAGGGCGACAACTCCGGACCAAATCGCGGGTGGGTTTGGCTCAGCCTTTGTGCAATGAGCTGACCTCCTCCAAATCAACAAGTCAACATGCAGAAATGTTTGGGCTCTTAAACGGCTGTCTGTCCTTATTTATGCTGGGTTTTGCTGATAACCATGATGCTTTGCTATCTGGCATGCTTTGGTGGCTGCAGGATTATAGTTCTTATTTAGTTCTTAGTTCAGTTAGATTAAGATGGTAACACCCCTGCTGCTCAAGACAGCAGGTTAATCAGCGGTAGCCTGAAACTCAAAATACATCTGATGACTACTCAGAGATCTTTTAAAGGTGTGTCTTTAGATTAGAGGGGGATACAATTAATTCCGTCTAGCATAGTTAGTTTGTTAACCATTTAAAAACTAAAATTTGAGAGTATCCTTTCCCCTCTGCTCTGCAGGAATCTGATTGTTTGCTGAGCATGCATATCAAGCTTTGAGCTCTGCCGTCCAATCAGTTTGAGGTTCTGCTACAGATGCACAGACCTAACCAGTGTCTTGAAAACACATTCAAATTCATACTGAACTTTATCCGCATCCTCCTCCATAAAAAACACTATTGCATTTTAGTTAAGTCTCGTGCTCTCGTCAGCAGCGCCTTGGTGCAATATGCTTTTTGTGCATGTGCTGTCCACCTTAGGGTCCATATTCTGCAGCAGGAGCTCAAACCCTGGTGTCTAGAAGCAGCAGGGATGCTAAAGTTACAGCAGGAGAGGCATGCGGCGTGTTGCTTACTTAAAGCCCCATCCAGTCCCCCCCAGCACTATGGCAGCCACAAGGATGGCTCCGGCGATGGAGCCTATTATTAGATTGGTGGCACTAGGACCTGTAAAGGGTTATGGGGAAAAAGACATGAGTTTCTATACTCACTTACTGTATTACTGACATGTAACTATACAATGACGATTTCACAGAACAGAAAACATACCATAAGTCTGAAATTACAATAAAATGACCGGATCTGAGAATGCGTGCTTTCCAGCCCCCTTTATTATATGGAGAGATTTTTACACTATCAAGCCAACACTGTGGGAAGATTTAGATTTGTCTGTTGTCTGTTGCGGTTATCAGTTATTATGCTGATAAGGTTGTGTAGAGAACTAGAACCTGGGGATCCATCACTGAAAAGGTTTGCATGAACAGAGATTGACAGGTATTCTACGTTTATGTGGGTATAAAACGTTTTAGGGGTCCCAGTCACCACACAGCCTCTGACTGACGCTCAAGCCAGGTCGCCATCTAGACACTTCTCAAGGACTGTTTTCAACTAAATGCCCCACATGCCCCAGAAAGGAGAGGATCACAGGAGCAACCACATGACGACTAAGAGTTGGAGAGACGAGAAGGACGAGAAGAGGGAGGGGGGGAGATGAGGAAAGAGGCTTGTTGTAATGGGGAACAAGGGGAAGTGGCAGAAGAAAAGAAGGGAAGGGGAAATCCATCAATCAACCACACGACACCGAAAACAACCAATCACATGACAATTATATGGTCATCACCAACACACAAGAAAACACAAAGCCACCGGGACGCACACACGGGCTCAGGCCGGCTCACGAGACCGCCCGCACACTGAGGCACCACTATGAGAGGGAGAGCTGTGAAAGGGTTAAAGATGCTTACTCTATTCCCCACCCTGTGCCTCCAAAAATCACCCCCAGGGCCAGAATGGTCCCTGCTACTGCCCCTATCAGCCTGTTAGTGGCCACGCTCACTGTGCAGAGGGAAAAGGAGCATTATTACCACCCTGTCAAAAAAAAATAGCAGGCTTCTGCTTCAGTCATGGATGAAGTAACACGATCCCCCCTTTGGCGTTTCCCGCCCCCTAGAACACCTCCCCTCCCCACTGTGGTCAAAGCACCACAGTACAGCCGAACTGTGTTTATTTCATCCATAGAATTAGAGCAAACAGCTGTCTTTGTGTTCTACATAAACCTCTTCTTTACACTGGAGGTCTATATGACCCTTGTACACCTGTAAAACTCTGGTCTCGACTCACATGTAGCAGTGAGACCACGAATGAAATCATACTACTGTACTTTAACATTAGGTAGTATGCGTTTGATCGATGCTGTCTAAATTCAAAAAGAGCATAAATAGTTGCGTGTAATTCGTTTTTCGAGGCGGGAGCGGGTGAGATGGGTAGAAACCGACCCTTGGGTTCTTCTTCTGGTGTGATATCGGGCTCCTTTGGCGGGTCAGGCATGCTGCAGTCCGTCCCCGCCCACGTGGTGTCACAGGTGCAAGTGGCTTCATTATTACACACCTGTTACGTGGGAATGAATACGATTATGGGATAAAACTGCTGATAAATCAGGCTTCTTTCATCAAGCTCATAAGTGACCAGTCTCAGCAGCCGTGCCACTTTGTGACACACTTAAATGGGTACTTTTTGTTCATCACATGGCCTCTGTCTATACATTCAAAAGCACTCCAGGATAAAATCGTCTTTTTTATTGAAAACTAAAACCATCTTTTTCTCTTAAAGTGCCATTTACTAAACCTGGGTTTTGTCAGTGTTAATATCAATGTTAACAGTTTTGTAACCAAAGCATTCAGACTGTCTTCACATGATCCATTACCTTTGGATGGATTGAACCTAACCTGATTATATGCTTATGGGGCTAAGAAAAACAAATGCTAGATTTGACAGGGTTGTGAAACTTATGGCCGCTATCAGGTGGGCCTGGACTCACCCCATGGGCAGAGCACACCTGTCCGTTAGGTCCAATAGGGCAGGTGCTCATATTGAGTGACTGGATGGGCAGACACTTGCGGTCAAGGCACATCATTGACGGCCCACAGGGAGTCCCATCCTCCACGTAGCCTAAATCAGTGTCATCATCTAAAAGGACGTGGGCACCACTGCAAGAGCAAGAGGAGGAGAGCGGAAAAAGGAGGCAAGTCTCAGAGGGAAACGGAGCAAAAATGTGAGTGTTGGGAAAAGGTGAGAATAAACAGGTCTTAAAGCAGAGAAAACATATTTACGTGCACTGTATCACGTTGCCTTGGTGATTGAAGGAGATGGGAGTAACATCTCCTTTCATCACTCCGATGCGTGGGATCCGTCCCACGTTGGTACACAGAAGATAACCGCAGAACACATCACTAAAAAAGACAAGCAAACTCTTGTTTGACAACTTTAAAGTCTCTGATTTACATTTTCTTCTTTAAGACTCATTAATGTCCAGCTATGCACATGAAATCTTTAACCCTTAAAGTCTGATCCAAGAAAAACTAGGGGGAAATATTTTTTTGTGTTGTTTGAAATCTTTATTTGGCCCTTAAAAAATAAACTGAAATAACTGGTGAATGTTTATCATTTATTACCGCGCAATAAGTCAAGATGATTGCCGTGTAGTCTTCTGTTTGCCGTTATCAGGTATATCTGACTGTGTGCAATAAGGGTTTGAGCAACGTTTTTACCACTAAAAGATGCTAAAGGTTTCAGATGCAGCACAGTTCAGAAGCTGTATTGATCATATATGACACACATGGCATTATAGGGTTAAAGGGATGTCTGTGTAAGAAACTACAACTTCGTGTCTACCTTTCCCTCTGATGTAACCGTATAAAAACAAATTAAGACGAGGCAAATTTCCTTTTGTTTCTAGTTGAATATATTTTTTTATTGCCATTAATGGGGTAGTTTTTATTTCAGATTTCTATCTAAAAAGTGACCAGTTGTGTGAAGGGGAACAATATTTCACCCAAACAGTCCACATATTACATTTTTGTTGTTTTTGTTTTCTTAAACTTCTATACTTAAACTTTCTATAATTTCACCTCAAGTGGCCTCAGAATCTAATAGTAGTGTCAGATTATTTTTTCCAACTTAAATAATAATCAACTCATAATACTTAATATGTAAATAGTGGTCATTTAAAAACCAACCAATATTTTCCTGAACATACGCATAAAGAAAATGAACTATTTCTATGCTTTCTCCTGCGTTGACTTGGAAACTCACTGTTTGCTGCACTGGATCCATCTCTCTCCATCCTTTCCACAGTTGCCCTTCTCTGTTCCTTCTGTGTTCAGCTTCTCATAGCAGAACTTTTCTGAACCTTCAGCCTCTGAAATGAACAGAGGAGGGACACAGGATGACAAAAGCCTCTTCAAACATTTGACTCTAAAACTCCACCAACATAAACCAAAGTTAGCAAATTCTTACTTGACCCCCAGATGTATTTACACTGGTTATCTCTGATCTTGCATTCTCCACTGTAGCAGCGGCCCTACGGTCCAAAAGCAGAGGGAATTTATCTTAAGTTGGCCATGCATTAAAGCACTTTCTTGTATTGTGGATGCTTCTGATTGAACCGTACAAAAGTCTGTGTTTCATACCTGGTTAACCTGACAGACGTAACCATCTTGCTTATGCAGGTTTGGAGGGCACTGCAAAGTCAGGGTACATCTTTTTAGCAGCTGTCTTTAACATTTCAAAACCCCCAAAATGAACTACTGAGAACAAAAAAATATTAAGAACACAAGAACACCTGTCCAGAGTCTCCAGTGCATGTCTCTGAAATGTCACAGTCGTTCACAGCATAGCGGCAGCTGTGACCGCGAGGGTAGAACTGGTGAGAAAAGAAGAGGATGGACACATTTAGATATTCAGTCATGAAAACCACAATGTGCGCCCCTATAATTTCGAACCCATACCAGACATGTGTTATTGCAGCATGGACCATCACTGCAGTGAGCCCCGTTGGCAAGGGAGCACTTTTTGCAACATTCCTTGTAGCAGTCCTAGAAAACAAAGGAAAAAAAGTTGGCCATTTGTATTAAACAAAAAAGCACACCGACACACACATAAACAGTATAAAATATATATATATTGCCATGATAATTTAAGACAAACTTACACTTCTCAGTCCACAGTCACACTCCTCTCCCACTTCAACAAACCCATTCCCACAAAAGGGTTTTTCATACAGCTGCCAAAAGAAAACCAGACGGTGTCAAAGCAAGCATGAGCTGTTTTTATTAACAGCTGTGACATGCAGAAAGAGGTGTGGAACATTGGGAATCTAACCCTTGTCGGCCTGTTGAAGAGACAGGACCCTCTGCCTTTTAAGAGGAATTCTTTGTAGTCTGATATGCTGCATTTGGAGAATTTCTGTGGCTTTTGGACTCTGCGGGGGCAGAGAACAGACAGAGTTCAAGCAAAGAGGTTGGAGCCCAGTTTCCGGAATATATCTGAGGAGATGCAGTTCTCTTGTGAGTTTCTTTTTATTAAAATCCTAACTCTTTTAAAAATTACTTGAATTTAACTGATAAATTATTAAAACCGTCTGAATCAGCAGGGATTCAGACCTCATTAAAACCACACATCAGACCTCATTAAAATCACACATCAGTGACTGAAATCAAACATCATCCTCGCAGTCCCATAGGGCTTAGTACTACATCACTGAGTTTACATGAACAAGGATCTGTGTGTGAGCGTGGAGCGGTTTGAGCATTACCCAGCATCCTCCATGATGCAGCCTATCCACAGGTTAGCACAACCACATTCCTCTGCAAGAGGAGAGCAGAAAAAAACATTAGTTATCATTTAAAAAATACGTATTCCCCAACTATCTTAAAAAACAAAGAATTCCTATGCTATGTAAAAATCATAGTCCTTTATGTTCCTCTGATGCAATTCAGATGGTAAAATGTGTCATGTATACTTCTCTTGGATGCCGGATCCCACTGGATGCCCAGGTTCTGCGCCAGGCTCTGGGACAGAGACACTGCCATGGACTCTGCGTTCCCGTACTGTGGGCAGGGCGGACACCAGAGATTATGGAGCTGAAGTGACACATGCACAGAGTGACGCTGCACATCCAACGGTAAGTCTCACCTCATTGACCCCCACTCCATGGCTCACAGAGCACATGCCTCCAAAGTATGCAACGCTGCTTGTGCGATAGTGGAAGGTCACATTTCTACAGAGGTGATGGAAGACAGAGAGAAGGACAAAGACAACAAATGAACAGTACAAACAAAACTGATTATGCACAATCACATAAAGAGAAGGTTCCCCTTCTCTCCCTTCTTAGGCTTTACTAAGAAAAAAAGTAATTTCATTCTGAAGTTGAAAATAACCTTACACTATTAACTGCACTACAAAGTAAGATTGTACCATCAGTTTTGGAGTCAATTTATATTCCGTTTTATCAACAACAATGTTTTCTGAGAATGGGGTTACTGCTGATCATGCCTTTTGCATCTTATTTACACTTTGCCCTTGGGTTTACCACAGACCCAGAATAGATCCAGATCAGAAAAAAATTAAGCATGCTTGTCTGAAATGATGATACCGCCTAATTATCAGTTGACACTTTAAATCCATAAAAAAAAATGTAATACACATTGTGGTTGTTCAATTTTCAACTTTTTTTCTTTTTTTGGAAATCATTATGATCAAAATTACTGACTTTGGAAATTCGGAATTGGCAGATTAAAATTTATGGTGTGGATTTCACTTAAAGATACAATAACAATAGCACCCCAGAAAATGTATGTATGATAAAAACAATGGAAAATGACTCAATTTAGTTTAGTGATTAAACCACGAGTTCCAATGATTTTCTTATTATTGTTTCAATCAACTAAAAGCAAACGGATACAAACATGTCTTAAACTCCACCAAATGGTAATGTGGTCACTTACGAAAGCAGCTGGACAGAATCAGCTTTGAACTTGATGTTTTGCTGCCGGTACTTGGAGAAATCGCGCAGCATTTCCAGCGGCTTCACGCTTATGGGGATGTGATCCTTATCCGTCCAGACCACCACGGCGACGAGGACCACACGAGTGTGCAGCTGGTCTTTGAAGATCTGTCATTGAGAGGTGAAGGGAATGGAAGAAATGAAGAAAGACTTTAAGAACCGTGTGAGGACACACACTGGGATGTAAAGTGTTGGAATATGTGAAGGATTAGATGGCTCATGATGGCGGACTAGTTTCTACTCATCCAAAATATAGATTTGAAGTCACGTTCAGGACCAGGTGGACATACACCAGATCATAAAGTTGTGGGTTTAGAATATTAAAATGACCTCTTTTTTACGATAAAGAAGTTACTCAATTACTATTCATTTAAAAAAATGTACACTTGGTGAAATATCCAGTTTGGTACACACGCATAGAACAAAAGCTAAGCATTTATCGAATGAGAAACTAAAAAGCTTACTCACGCCATCCACAAGATTCACCACTGACTTGGCGAAATTATTTGTGTGCTGCCTGTTCTGGTGACGCTTAAACTGCAGACAGACACAAAAGAGAGGCACACTGAAGAAGCTGCAGAGTGATTTCATGGTGCACACTCCAGGATGCGCAGTGCACTACATTTAGCGACAATGCTCCCTCTTGTGGGTCTAAAATATTAATCAGTCAATGCTCAGCATTTCCTGACATTTAAAACCTTGTGAGCATTTACTGGTTCAGGTCAGTTAGGCCAAGTGCTTTCTTTTTTTTTTGGGGGGGGGGTTACAAAGATAATGAGGACAGATATTCATCTTAGCTTTGATTTTAGTACCTGGACACAAAACAGTCTCATCTGGATTAAATGTCATTAAATGTTGAAGGGAGCTTCAGCATTTAACTTCAAACAATACACTGTTCCCAGTCTCTTTTATATGGCGGTTAGAGACCAATAGTGACAGTCAAAAGGCTGCTACTGGCCTCATTTGCAAAACATTTTCAAAACAGCCTTTAAATTATGCCAAACTCAGAATACCAACAACAAGTCTGTTGAGTCACCGTTGAGGTTTATTTCCACTGAAGTTGTCATGGTGCACTTTTTGTTTCATAAGCCTCTTGGGCATTTCTTCAAGAAGTACATTTCCAAGTTCAGGAAAAAAATATTGTGCAATTCAATGTTTTAGTCAGTGTTCAGGAGAAAGGAACACTGGAACAGTTGAGGCGTTTCTAAGAGATTATTTTAGCTTTTGGGAATTTCCATTGAGACCTGAGATAAAGGGCACACCACGTTTGCTAAAGTGTGCTCCTGCCACACTGGTCTAACAAGATAACAAGATTAAAACAGGAAAAACTTTCAACTGTATTATTTCAAATTCTAATATTCTGAATTTTGGGGGGATTTTGGAAGGTTGTATTTCGTTTGCGTTTCAGAGCTTAACTTCAAAACTACCAGATATTACTGTTTTACATTCACTCGCTTTTTATTCTTGTTTCCAGACACGGGGAAAGCTTTGGCTTCCTCCACAAAAACAATCTTACCAGGTATCACATTTGAATGGGTTTTGGGGTATTTTAATTTATACTTCACAAGTTCGCCAATGTCAAAAGTTTTTTATTCCTCAGTATTTTGTTGCTATAACCGTGGCTACATCCTCCATCCATTGTGCTCTACCCAGCCTGTGGCTTATGGCGTGTCTCCTCAGCTGACTGAAGTGGGCACAAGGGAATTTCTTAGTCTGAATGTTGTGTTAACAAGGGCACCAACTATTACAGCTGTATGACTAAGACCGAACAGTTTTAGTTGTTATTGTGGACAGCAAAGCTGAGATGACTACGATATAAACATGAAAAATAGATGCTTGCATTGAAAGACACACCCCAGTAATCTCTAAAGTAAAACCTTTAGGGCAAATGGAAATTGTCCTCCAGAACTCAATTTAGCCCACGTTCAATAAAAAAGTAAAGGGCAACAAAAGCAAAGTATTCCCTAAAAGGTCTCAGCTCCTAAAAAATATTTAGTTCCAAATACACAAAGCTACAGAAAGTACCCCCTCTTTAGGTAATACGATGGCTGTGCTTTGGTGGGGACATAAACCATCATCATTTCAGTATGTTTGCAAACATGAGACAGCATCAGTGCATCAAGTCTATAATTGTACATAAAAGAATGAAGGAAGTAAAAGCAGAAACAAAGTTTTAGGGAAGATCACATACCATATTGTGGTCACTGACAATCATGACTTCCAAATACTTCATCTCTTCAAATATGTTACGAGGGATCTGCAAAACACAACAGCAATCACACGTCACTCCTACGCGTTTCATTTGGAACAGTGGAATCACCACAGCTGTTAATGTGTGTAGACTGGCATGGAGGCATGGTGGTAAACAAGAGGGAGGGTGAGCTTAAGGCGATGCGTGGTGGTGAAGATGGGTGAGGTCAAAGACGTACTGCTCGCTTTTTCCTGCGCTTCAGCCAAGATAATTCATCCAGCTCTGAGAGGAGCTGCTCCTCCTCCTCTGCAAACGCACACAAGACGAGGAAACTGTGAGTGCTAAGCACCATAGAGAGCATTTAGAAGTGTGTGGGTTCATGTCATGAGTTCAGGCCAACAGCGGTGGATTTTTAATGCCACAATTCCAGAAGTGACCTTTTCAATTTGCCACTAAACAGTTTGTACACAGACGTCTGATGCTTTGTACAACTTAACTATTTAAAAGCACTGATTCTTGTGCTGTGATTGACATTACAGTGAGTTTCCCAGATGTTTTCACTTTCTAAAAAACTAAAGCTTGAAACCCATTCAAATCAGAGGCTTCACCAAAGACCTCCTTGACCGATGTGAGGCTGAAAGAACTTCTACTGTCTGGGCTGTTAGGTGTGATGATGAGCGGAAGATATCGGAAATGTTACCCTTTTCTTCCGAGCCACTGCTCCGTAGATTGGAGGCTGTCCTTCTTAGTTTATGAGGCCTTGCAGCAGTATCCTGCAGTGGGCACAGGAACAAAAGATCAAAAGAAAACCAGGGGAAAAAAAACCCATAAAATTTTCATGTAAAAAACATCAAGTTAATGAGGTTCCTCAAACCGGGGGGCAAGTTTTGTCTTAGATTCACATCAGGACCACCCAACCAATTATTACATACAGGCACTGGCTGAGATGATTTTTTTAAGTTACATGTTTTATGTGCTCACTTATATAATTCAAACATTTTTTAAATTTTTACTGCAGAAAGGCAATATTAGATATCATAACAGCATCACCTTACATGTATGTAAGCTATATTAAAAAACAATCTTGTCTTGTCTATCATCTTCCTTTAAAAACAGTACAGAGCCTTGTTCGTGTATGGATATTTCTTTGACGTGTTTTATGACTCTACTGCAACGTGAACAACTTACTATTGAATGAGTTTCATGCAAGGGCTCAATTAGATATACATGGACTCCATCATCAAACATTCCACTGCCGAGCAGAGAGAGAGAGAGGAAAAGGGAGAGAGGTCAGTTGATAATGAGTTGAAGGGAGAGAAGGAGTCCGGATGAATACATCCAGAGATATTCTGAGCACGTCGAGGATTGCACACGACTCTGCTGCTCACTTACTGCAACCCGTTGCAGGTAGATAAGGCCACTTGGGAGTTATCGTTCCCCCTCACCTGGCCGTGGTAGTAACAGTGCTCACCGCCCTGAGGGAAGAAAGCACAATACTAATGCGGCATCGTGGCCAAGCAGCTTTCATCAGGACACCGGCAAAGTGTCAGTTTTCTTTTTTTTAATTTTATTCACATCTCTGAATTATCATGCGGTTCTGAGACTGTAAGAGCTGGTGTGACAGATGTCAGTTTGGCTAGTTTGAGTTGCATTCCTGCAGAGGGGGGGCGCTTAATCTATGCTTGTTAAGATGTTAAGTTAAAACACTGTGTGTCGGCTCCTGGCACTGCTTGGGACTCAGCTGACATGGCACGCAAGGGACCCCCCCCCCCCCCCCCCCCCCCCCCCCCCCCCCCCCCCCCCC